TTTTGATCTAAAGCAAACTTTAGAACAAAATTTGTTTTCAACTTCTCACTACTCATACTACCTTTGTTGTTCATTACGACGTTGCTTTCCGATTGGATTTCCGTCATTTTCCCAATCCTATTGGTAAGCTTTCAAAAAACCACAAAAACTGACTGATTTTAGAGTTGTATCTTGCTATCAACATTGTTCAGTTTGTACAAATTTTACCATTCCGATCATGGTCGACCGTCAGTGAAAGTTAGTGTCATAATTCATCAATATGTACTTATTTTAGTCGTATATTTTTAGTCAATACTAGAAAACACAATTGAAGATTATCAGCCAACGGCTTTTGTCACGTATTTGAGGTCAGTTTGGCAGGCGTTCATTCAAAAGTCAGACTCAAAAGTCAAAAGTCCTTTCAGAGCTCTCGTTCTCATTTTCACGAATATCGCTATTTTAGCTGTCGACTTTCACAAAATCTTCCCAACTAGGTAAACAATATGATTCTAATAGCCAAAATGCATTCAGATTCATGAAAACAATCGGATTTGGTCACAGTTTGATGGATGTCGGTGTGGCTGGTTTCACGTATATTCTTGGTGTAGGTCGAAATGTCAGGAATCGAGCCAAATCTGACCAACGGGAGCAAGAAAAGCAAAAACGACGGTTTGTGAGCTCGAGAACTTTTACAAAACAAGCTTTAGACTTGTTCGAAGAGTCTTAACCTCATCACCGATCGTTTTGGGAGCTCTTGGCTTTGGAAGGACTGTTGTACTCAAGGTATATTCTTGGTGTAGCTCTATAAATCATTCGATAAGTTCTCAAGGTACTCAAAGTGTTTTACTCAAGGTATTCAAGGCTGAACTGATAAAGGCTTTGAGAATATCCGATTCTTTGGCAAATATTAGCCAAACAAGATCTATGATGAGACGAATTTTGACGCCAGCGATAAGAAGTCACGTATTCCATTTCAATCCTCGATTTCGATGTAAAGTGCAATTCTATTGTATTCTAATCTAAAGATCGTAGTCAAGACTGACCAATGACAACTATTTCCCAATGCTTATCTTGAAAAGAAAAAAATACTGGGAGAATTGACGCTGACAAAAAGAAACCAAAGACTGCATGCAAGATAAGGGAGTGTAAACCCTTCATGCCCTACATACTTTGCTCTAATAGGCACGGAAAAATAAAGGAATACGCCGGGACAGCCGGATTTGGTTTATTTACGATATACATCAAACAATACAACAACACACACAATACTAGGCTAGATCTTAACTTAACCCATGTCAGGACAGACGGTTCCCTAACCCTAAGCTCAATGGGGAACTAAATGGTTTTTTCTGGTGGTGGAGAGAAGATGACGATGAAGGAGTGGCCTGTCACTTTAAAGAATTTGGGGACACAATCATCAGACTACCCTCCAGAAAACCTCTCAATCCAAAGGGAAAGGAAATCCGAAGGGCGCGACAATGTCGAACGCGGGATTCGAACCTTTGATCTTCTGATTAAGATAAAATACATAACACATTAACACAGCTAAGTTAAGTCAGCCATACGTGACTTATGACTTTGCTCTAATAGGCATTGAATGAAGAAACAATTCAGATTTTGGACTATGGTGTTTCCGTTACCGAATATGGAGTTCATTGGAATTTCTTCCTTACATTGTTTGTCATCGAGGTCGATCTTGCGAGTAAAGGCTCAACATTTCAATTTTCAGCTGGTTGCCAAACTATTGCCAAGACGATTCAATTTGCTGTTTGGTATTCTCTTTGCAGCTGCACAGCAAACGGTTTTGAGTATGGGGTATCAGGTAAGTCGATGTCTTCCACCAAAACCTTCAAAAACTTCACCAAAATCCTCCAAAGCCTGGAACTAGTTTGTGAGACTCGAATCAACAAAGTTAGATCAATCAATTAGACTAGGATCAACAAAGATACAGTTTGAAGCGACTAGATATCTTTTCTTTATCAGGAATGGGTTCTCTCCGATAGTGCTCCAAGAGACAATCTATTCTCAGCAAATCGGGAGGGTTTATGCTCTTTGCTTGGCTATATTGCTCTTTATTATCTGGCAAGTGCAATCGGAGAATTCATCTCAAAGAATGGGTTTGTAAGCAGAAAAGAAAGCAGAAAACGAAATAAGATCATCAAAAATCTTTAGCCCAAAAGTCAGTGATTGGATTAAATGTATTGGATGGCTGTTTCTGATATCTTTTATCTTCTTTGGCTTACAAAAGTATTTTGAATGGGGAATCAGTGACCCTTCTCGAAGAGTTGCAAATCTACCCTACGTGTTTTCTCAAGTACTTTCAATTTAGTTCACAAAACAAACTGTATTAAGCTTTTTCTATTCACTTTTGGTTTGGCTGTCTGTCTTTGTGTGCAAATGTTGACGATTGTTGAATGGTTTTTGGGAATTTTTCATGGTGAGGAGAGCTTTCAATTGTTGATTCTAAAAAAAAACTTTGGCTTAATGACTTTATTAAACCTAAATTATTGGGTTGGTGAATTGAAAACTGTCGGCCATTGTCATATGTGACAGTTTGAGCACTTTCTCCAAAAGAAACCCATTTTGGTGTCAATGGAAAAGTTGTAGAGAATCAAAAATGACGCTTATATCCAAATTTTCAGAACGATTCAAAAACTGGTTTTCAAGAAATGCCATATTTACGAATTTTCACACAACCTACATTTTAAGCGAAACTACTAAGTGTATCTTTTTGGAAATTTGGCTATAAGCCTAATTTTTGATTCTCTACAACTTTTCTAATGACACCAAAATGGGTTTCTTTTGAAGAAAGTGCTCAAACTGGGACATCTCCAGGCCTCCATTTTTGAGTCTCACACTTGTCTCTCACAGAAACTCGAATTCTACAACGAAAAAGTGATCCGTAAATTGACTGTAAAATAGGTAGAAATTGCCAATAATAATGGAAATTATTTGGAATGAATTCATGGTTTTATGTTAAATAAATTTTAGTTCAAAGTCCGGCAGTTTTCAATTCACCAACCCAATAAATGAAATAAACATTAAACATTAAAAACTAAACTCGAATTCAGGTGAAAGTCCTTGGTGTTCCATTCAACTTTGTTTACTCGATTCCATCAATCGAACTGGACTAATATTTTTCCTAATTGGAAATATTTTAACGGGTAGGACAAAAAATGCTGCAAACTTATGATTTATACTTATGCCCAATTCAGGCGTAATCAACATGAGCCTCAATCCCTCTTCAATTGATCCAATGTCATCTGTGCTTTATTTATCCATTTATATGCTGATTTGTGCCGGTCTTTCACAATGCCTTTTTGTGCGCAAATCATATCACAATCAAATCAAATCACAAGCAAAATTACCACGTTGATCTCACTCTTGTTTTCTCTTATTTTCTCATTCTCACTCTTGTTTTCTCTTTCTCCATGTGATATTATTTTGTCGTATATTAAGTGCTTTATTGAAATTTTGTGCTAACTGATATTTCTTGTCGGGTGTGTGAAGCTCTACTTTGAGTTACAGGAATAAAAACAATATGCTTTCAAAAGTTTGAAACACTAAAAAGCTCTTTTAAAAGCTTTAAACACAATGAAATGGGGAAAGCGAAGGAAAGCGATCAATTTTCCGCAGCTGAAAAACCTCTAATATTTTTTCAAGAAGGTGATAAAAACTCAATTTTCTGTGAGAATTCTTGACTTATTGTTAGTAAATACAATCATTTAACGTTAAGAATGGAAACATCGAGAGAAACAATTTAGAGAGATAAGGAACGAAATTTAGAGAGATCAGGAGCCAGATTTGTAGCAATAAGGAACCAAATTTAGAGAGATAAGGAACAAAATTCAGAAAAATCGGGAACCAAATATAGAAAAACAAGGAACAAAATTACAGATAAGGAACCAAATTTAGTGCAATAAGGAATCAAATTTAGAAAGATAAGGAATTAAATTTAGAGAGATGAGGAATCAAATTTAGAAAGATAAGGAACCAAATTAGAGATAGGCACCAATTTAGAGATAAGGAACCAAATTTAGAAAGATAAGGAACCAAATTAGAGCTTAGGAATTAGATTTAGGGGGGAAAGGAACCAAATTTAAAGAGATAAGGAACCAAATTAGTAGAGAAAAGAAAGCAAATTTAGAGAGATAAGGAACCAAAGTGAGAAAAATAAGGAACCAACTTAGAGGATAAGGAACCAAGATCGATTTGTGAGACCACGAAGATCGATCAGCATTGCTTCCGGTTGGTGTAACCGAAATTTGAAAGCACAGTTTAGCATAGACAGCAATAGAAATCAATAGAAGCAATAGGAAATCTTATAGCAATCAAAATCGAGTTTTAGTGGAGTCTACGGATCTCCCGACACTTGCCCACACAGCTTGCTCTTTAAGGTAAGACTGGCAGAACTTGTTAACTACAGATTTTACCCTTTTATCTCTAATTGAATTTATTTTTAAGTTGGCTTGTCGGCTTGCTGGCTAAGTCGGCTTCTCCTGGTGCCTACCGTTACACCTATGCTGAAAATGTATCAACTTTAAACTGTCGTGAGAACACAACTCGAAGTGCAGCATACACTGTTCAATTCTGTTAGATATTTGTGTTCATTGTTTTGCATGTTTTTTTTCCATTTCAATTTGGCACCACAGATCTTCTGGTAAAGTTTAAATTTTTCCATGAGAAGTAAAAAGTATTTTCTCAAATTCCATAGCTAGATCCTATAAATGGGAAAAGCCCAAAATTTAGGCTTTCACTTTTGTTTTTTCAGGGAGTTCCCCGTTTTGAGAGCAAAATTCGAGTGGGTGAAAAATTCCAATGGAAGGAGAGAAATCGAGAATGGATATAGACAAGAGTTTCACATATTTTCCTCATTCAATCATCGACTAACCCACACTTTGTTTTGACGTAGAATTGGTGAAATGATTCAATGAACACTAGGAACTCTTTCGTCAAACGGAAATGACATAATTGAACAACTTTAACACAAAAATTTGACCTGCAATGTTTGCGGGGGTTAAGAGTTTAATTGATATAGAATTGTTGTTGCTTGTTAATGCTAGAAATGTATTTATTCTTGTACATTCTTTGTTACAAGTAGCTCCTTCTTCGCGGCAACTTTCCCCGACGTCCAGCGAGGTGACCACTTCGAACCACTAAAAGAACAATTAAATAATTTTTACGCAAGTTCTGAAAGAATAAACTCTTTAGGTTCCGAATAGGATTTATAAAGTCTATTACAGCTGAATGTTCTTAACTGACCATTCGGACTCATTCCAATGTCTAGACATTTCTTCCATCGACAAGGCCGACAAAGGGAACGAGTTCTGGAGTTCAAAGTATTTTGAAAATCTTCAGTGTTGCTAACTCTGAATTTCAATAAAACTTACGGTAAACTTAAAGTAAACCCGAGTAAAATTAAATTCGAGGAAAACTCACAGAAATGAAATGTCACAGCAGCCCTTTTTCTTGCAAGTAAAATCGGTGTTTCCTCGCTGAACCGTTCTCTGAAATCTAGTTTATGAATCTGCTGCAAAAATCTAGATAAGTTTCTAGAAAAATCTAGAAAAATCTGACAAGAATAGTACTGCAAAATTTTAGATTAGTTTAAAAGATTAACGATAAAATAAAAGATTAACGATAACCTAAAAGATTAACGATAAATTAAAAGATTAAAAGTTTTCAAACCTTGAAAAATCCTTTACATCCTTCACAAGTGAGCACTCCATAATGGATGTGATAGGCTCCATCTCCACAGACTGCGCAAGGCTCGGTATCCTAAAATGAAATGAAAACTGACAAACAACGAGGACCAATTATCAATTTAAGTAAGAAATGCTTACTCTTGATTTCCTACTTGATGCTGATGATGAACTCCTTCTGATTTTAGCCGGAAAAATGAACGAACCATCTTCAGATGAGTTTGGAGAAGAAGAAAAAGCGCTAGAAAAATTATTAAGTTGAAAAAAGTTATTGACGTTGCACTTACCAATCATTTTGTTGATTCTCTAGATTGAAATCGCTGTCTTGAATAGGAGAAGCGGTTGGAGAGTCAAGCTGTGATTGGAGTTGATCCAATAAGTTCACGAATTCTTCAAATGTCGTCGGCAAATCGTCATAGATTGATTGATCATCATAAGATGAGAAAGCAGAAATGTCAGATTCTTGGGTTTCGAATTTTGGTACAAGATTCATTGGTGATGAAGAAGACTCCAAGCCTGTCAATGAATCAAACATGTCACAATACAATTCTTGAGCAAATTTCAAGTTGAACGCTCACTTCTGAATGGGGAAATGCTTTATATTTTCATTTATATTTGATTTTCTTTTACTTCTCTTTTCTCTTTTTGTGTGGAATGAGTGGGGGTCGCTTTTATTTGTGAATGGACATTCATTGGAATTGTGTGGGAACGGGGGAATTTAACTTCAACCCTCCCCCCTTCCACACTGGTGTTTCGGGTTTTTGAATTCTGAAAATCGTTCGATCAATTTGAAATCACAGCTCATTAAAACCCTTTCATTAATTATGAAACCTGGCTAGTTTACTGTTGCATCATTATGGCTGAATAAAGCTTTCAAGCTTTATTACAAGCTTCAAGCTTTCAGCTTCCAAGCAACAAGATTCGAAATCTTGAAGGATTTCAAAGATCTCAGTCTTCACTTTTAGCACTTTGCTATCCAGAACTCAATTCAAAATATCAGTTTGCTGATTCAAAGCTGACAACAAACTTCTCATCTAGGTAAACATCATCTTACGCCGGATCTTACTCCTCAATTCTCCTTAATTGATCAGATTCTAGTCTAAAATAATGAATTCCAGGTGTTCTTTTTTGTCGTTGTTGATCCAGCCGTCCCATTTTCTCTCAACCGAGACATTTACACGTTCAGCAAGTTTTGGGAAAAGCTAGAAAGTACGAATATCAGATGGATTTTAAAAGGAGAAAGCTGAATGCGTAAGGAATCGTTAAATTTGTCGTTGTACTTGTAAATTAGCTTAACATTAACAAGGGAATGATCTCATTCTCTTGTTAGTCACTTGGTTTGGATAAGTTTGGATAAGGCGAATCGAGACTTTCAAAGATTTGGTAGCTTCGATTGCAAATCTAGTTCTGTAGCAACCACCTATGTAGCACTAGTCAACTTGATGAAAATGTTTATGAAAATAACAGTAGTTATTAGTTTGAGTACAGCAGATATTAGGCTTATATTAGTACTACTACTTGTATGTGTTGATATCCCTCACTTATTATTTTTTCGTTTAGTGAGTTTCCTCCAAACAATGGTTTCATCGCTAAAAATAAAAAGTGTTAAGTGTTTAATTTTAGGTATTTTAAATTGAAATTTTGGGCTGATAAGATGCAAATTCGCAAGTAAACTCTCTCATTTATCGCTCTCATTCTCATCTATTCTCATTTATCAATTCTTAGAAAACGGTAGAGAAAAGTCTTTCTGAAAATTTGGCTATACTCCAAACTTTTTATGCTTTATCTTTTCTTGTATTTACATCAAAATAGGTTTCTGTAGAAGAAAAGGGTCAAATCTCTGCTAATTTTGACAACTCGCCTTCTAAGCCTAAGCCCAAGCTCAAGCCTGAGCCTAAGCCTGAAATCCTGCAAAAAAACCACTTTTTTTAAAAAACTTGTGAACATTTTCTAGACAAAAGATAGGGCTTTTCAATAAAACAAACCATTTGTGTTTTGGTTGATTTACCGTTTCTTAAACAGTCAAGGATAATAACATACCAACAGTACTTAATCTAATATTTATAATCAATCCTCCAGCACAACTTGCTTGCACTTTTTGTGATTAGGGTTATTTCATTGAAACTGCACACACTATTTGGTCAGCTCCGATTTGGAACGAGCTATTTCGGTCGAGATTTTGGCATTGTGAAATCATGAAATTTCCATTGAAGCCTTGAGTTTTTAAGCGGTTTGGTTGAAGTTTTTAAAATTGTGCTGAGGACTTGAACTGTTACTTTAACTGTTGATTTTTCTCATCAAATTGTATCATGGAGTTGTCATTGCAAAATGAATGGAATATGCCAAAAACAAATCATCATATGAAAAAAGTTGTTAAATTTTTTTCAAATCTTTGCGACTTTTGTTTGCAAGTATTTCAAATAAAGACTTCTTCCAAGTCGGACTCAGTTTTTGAGTCCAAAATGCGGCCCTTTATTTTTCTATATTCGTTCTCGTTGTTCTTGCTAAATGTACAAAGCATTTTTGATCGAATCGATAAGAATTGGAGTGGAATGCATTTTGCGGGAAGTGGCAATGCTCTACAATGGAATAGGTATTCATATTCATGCACCCGACAATTGCAACCATTTTATGATCCGAGAAGACCCCGATCGTCATAACAGTGCTTTTTATTGGCTTTTTAGCAAGGATGATTCCCATCTTGAAGCTCTGGTTTAATCGAGTAATGCTGTAAAAATTAGATCGTCTGGGATATGAAGAAAATTAGATGAAAATTAGAAAATTAGATACCAATGGCCTTTGGTAATGTGAATGTGATGTACAAAAATTACTAGAAAGATTAACAATGAACTTGCAATGAAAAAGGGCACAGTGCACTTAAAGTTACAAAACCAAAACAGTATCGACAACTTTTTACCGAGTTAAAAAATTCAAAAATCAAAATTCTCTATGGTTATAACATAAATTTTAAAAAATAGTCTATTATATTGTCTGGCATTCAGCTATAAAACCATTCACGAATGGAATTGACCCTAAAAGATCAACGATTCTTGACCAAAATGCGCTTTCTTCGCTTGTTAGCCGCATTTTCTGTGTTCCTGCTTGTTCAAAATCAGGAAACTTTTGAGATTTGACTAAAATAAAGTCCTTTTACCAAATTGAACCTTTAAAACCTACAAATTTCAGACTACAAACTTACAAACCTACAATTTTAGAGGATCTAACTATAAGTTTTTTGAAATTAGATCAAAAAAGCACAGCTGACAAGAATGATGGGCATCTTGTCTTCCATGAAAAAGAAATTCAAGTTCAAAGAAACGAGTTCAAGTTTCAGAATTGAAATCGCTTATCGTAACTTTCGTTATTTCAGCAATTGCCAAAGATAGTTAAGAACGGAGATTCCAGATTGATAAACGAATTTCGATTGAGTCGGTCAGGGTTGGCTTGTATTCATCGAGTTCCACGATTGTAAAAAGGGAATTCCGATTGAGATTGAAGGGTTAAATGAAATCCTTGCAAAGGTGGCTGAACCAACATACAAAAGAAGTCATACTAACCTATTGTGGAGTGTACAGGGTTCGCCGTAATTGTCGCAACAAGGTATCAACCTCGGAAACAAGGTAACTACCCGACAACTACCTGACTCTTCTCAAGGATGAACTCTTGCCCTGGGCTCGTAAATATTTTGAAAATCGCATTTGGACTTATCAGCAAGATGGCGCACCGGCCCACAAATCCAAGCAAGTTCAAGCGTTCTGCCAAAACAACACCCGGGATTTCATTTCCGGATGCACCTAGCTCTCCAGACCTCAACCCAATGGATTTTTCAGTGTGGTCGGTTCTAGAGGCTTGTCCAAAGCCCCCACAAAAACATTGAAAGCTTGAAGAAATCACTGTTGAAAGCGTGGGAAGAGCTCGATGCAGCCTATTTGATCGCTACCCTTCCCGAAACGCCTGCGAGCCTGCTCAAATCCTAATGGTGGCCGATTCTAAATTGATAATTCATTTATAATTATTAATGTACAATAAATGTTATTCAGCCAAAAATTTGTCTTATCTACCTTAAAACCAGAACTTTATCTTGTTGCGACAATTATGACAAACCCTGTATGAACAAGCTTAACCTTAAAGCAATCACAAATTCAAAAGCTTACAAACTGAACTAGTTAGCATACCGCAAGACTGTCAAGCTGAATGAATAAAACGCCCACTTGAGGTTAAATCATTCAATGAAACCCAATTCTGAATGAATAAAAGGTCATTCGAAATTTTCAATGCACTAAGTAAATCCATAACTAACAAAATTAGTACCCATTTTGTTCACCAAAAATCACAGTCTAAGCACTCTATAATTTCCCACCGAAAAATGTCCCAAAGCAAGGAAAAAAGTAAAGCAAATCTTAGAAAATTGAATGCTTGAAAACAGATTTTATTCGTGTAGCAATGTCTTCAGACTCAACCGATTTTCCAGATGATTTATCGATTTCCGCCACTGAAAATCTAATCGAAATCATCTTTACTGGCAATTGTAAGGATAGATTGCATTTATAAGTCTATTTTTAGTTTGTCTAAAATCTATGTTTAGTTTGGCGCCATTGGGACTTATGTCGGCTTTTGGGCAATGTGGGTGATTCGGAGGAATTCAAATCTGAATGGTCTATTTACAAACTTGATGTTCTCCAAAACTACCCATTTCAGGAATCATTGAAGTCTATCTCCAACTCGACATTCTCAGCTTATTTCTTGTAAACTTCGGCCATCTTTGCTGGGGAGTTCCGTGTGTGATTTGGTTAGTGATTTGAGACTGATACTTCATTCAGTTACCTAAATCTTAAATAGTTTTAACTAGATCCTTGCAGGACTTTGAATGAAGACCTTCCCCTACTTGACAATATCATCAGTTGTTTGGTATTTATTACACCAACACTTGAAATGCCAGCAAAGGTTGCGTCTTTTAAGTCCATCTCTAAATTCATCTAAATTCAGCTCTTCCTTGGCATCAATCGTTTTTTTGCTTTGGCCTTTGATGGCCTTTATTATTATCACTTTGAAAAGACTTTCTTCTTGCAATATTTCATTATGATCACTTATCCAATTGCGACAGCGGTGTTTTATTTTATACGTGTGTTTTATCGGGGTTCAAACAATTTCCCTTGTAGCATCTTTCATCTTTCAGTTGACAAAGAAGTTTTTCAATCTTTTGACGTCATTGGACAAGTGAAAACTAAACGTGTTCTAGGTTTTAAAGCTAGAAAAATCATCATTCTGATCCTGGGTACAGAATTACAGAAAAGTTTAGCTGTCGAGACTGTATTTCTCGACAGCTAAACTAAACAGCTCAACAAAGATTTTTGCATATTTTTGGTACAATTCAAGAGGCTTCAAAACCAACAATTAGCACAGAACCCGGAAATAAGTTGGCATTTTAAAAGTTTTTGGCAAAACTAATAAGACACTACTAAGAAATAGAAAATTTCGAAGAAAGCGAATAGATAATTGGTCCCTTTTCTCTACCGATTTGATTTCTTTTCTATACAGATATGGTTCCTTTTCTCTAAAGATTTGGTCTCTTTTCTCTGCAGATTTGGTTCCTCTTATCTGTCTGTTTTTAGCTGGATGTCGAACGATTTTCATTCCATATGGGACGAATTGTTTTTACGTGGAAGATGGAGAATGTGGACCTTTAATTGTATGGTACACTCAGGTAAACAAAGAAGTTGAAATTGTGAGTAATCAGTGAGAATTTCAGATCCTTTCTATGCACATCTCAATCCCAACAAACACTTTCTTTGATGTGGCTGTCTTTTATATGATGAAGAAAAGAGTGCGAAGCATCCAAGCAGCTCAATCAAATCATCAGAGTCAACAGAAGGCGGCTCAATTAAAAAGAGAATTTCGATTAGCCGCACAGGTCTGGATTTCACTACTAGAATCAACTATATGCTAAAAAAATACCATCATTGGCACACAGCGAATTTCACAAAACCAAGACGATTAAAGGCGCTGTTAAAGCAAAATATTCTTTAGATGATCTGTAATCTTCTCACCGGCTTGACGATAAATGTCTCACAAACCTTGGCCAACATTTATCTCGATAAACTTTCATATTTTGCTCAATTCTTTATTTTCACCGGATTCTGGCAGATTTGTAGTTTAGTGACCTGGTAAATAGATAAATTATTGATATGACTATCTTTTTTGTTTAGTTTAACCTTTGTGGTTCTTCTTGCAGAAAAAAGAGTGAAGGAAAGATCGATCGTTGTTAGCGTTTCGGGATAAAGTCACTGAAAATATCTATTCATTGAAATTTGCTCCATTCAGATTAAAGAATAGCTAGCTGTTCACCTTTTCTCCACTTTTTGATTCTTTTCTTGGAAAACTTGATAACGAGCATCTTATTATTGGATTGGTGAATTGAAAACTGCCGGACTTTGAACTAAAATTTGTTCAACATAAAACGATAAATTCATTTCAAATAATTTCCATTATTATTGACGACTTCTGCCCATTTTACAGTCAATTTACTGATCTCTTTTTTGTTGTAGAATTTGAGTTTCTGTGAGAGAAAAGTGTGAGACTCAAAAATGGAGGACTGGAGATGTCCCAGTTTGAGCACTTTCTTCGAAAGAAACCCATTTTTGTGTCAATAGAAAAGTTGTAGAGAATCAAAAATTAGGCTTATAGCCAAATTTCCAAAAAGATACACTTAGTAGTTTCGCTTAAAATGCAAGCTTTGTGAAAATTCGTAAATTTGGCATTTCTTGAAAACCAGTTTTTGAATCGTTCTGAAAATTTGGATATAAGCTTGATTTTTGATTCTCTACATCTTTTCCATTGACACCAAAATGGGTTTCTTTTGAAGAAAGTGCTCAAACTGTCACATACGACGATAGCCGGCAGTTTTCAATGCACCAACCCAATAAATTTCACAATTTCACAACCGTAAACCAATAGCTCATTGAATGTCTAGAAAATCTTTCAATTCACCAACCCAATAGATTGTTCCATAAAAACCCAGAGATTTTGAATTTCATTTATTTTCAACACATAGAAACAACAAAGAATCAAAATCAAATGATAAATTTCCCAGATGAATTTCTAACTTTTCTCTAACGTATCCAATGTTTTACAAATGGTTTTGTAACCCAATGAAACTACAGTAATACGATCAACTCTAAATAGAAGCAAATTTTGGTTTGTTAATGAAAATTTGTTGAATTTGAGAGGTGAAAAGTTGAATTTTCTTGAATTACCACGATTTGATCAGATCGAAAACCTTAACCCCGCTGATCATTAGCCTTCTTGAAGCAAATAGGGAGAATCTCCAATAAATCCTACAATTAAATCCTTGAAATGAAAGTTAACTGTTTCCTTCATCTTTTTGTTGAATGCCTCAAGTAAAATGTGCCGTTCCATCTCAAATTACCAAATATTTTCTCCTATTTGCTCAAACACTCGACTTTTCGTCAAATTCTTGCGTGAGTTTAACCAAAAACCACAAAGGTCAATGTTTGGCTTGCAGATAAATATTTCAATTTTGATTCTGATTTTATTTATTCAATTGTGTCAAACTGATCAACGAGATTCAACCAATTACACTCGATTCGGTGTCGAGGGTGAATGTTATTTTGAACTTTCAATCGAAATTTATCTTTTAAAAAGCTTTTAGAAGACTATTCAACAACTTTGAATGCTGCAAATCGATTGTACAAAGAGCTTTTTCAAAATCGCAATTATTACAAAGATTTGGTACCATTGAATGCACGTTTAAATGAAAATTCAACGGGTTGGTTGAATATTGTTCAGGCATCGGCACTAGAAACTACAACAATGACAAACTGTCACACTACAAACGTTTCTAATTTCAAAATTTCTAACTTCGAATTGGGCGGATCGAGATGATCCGGCAAATTTGATCTATAGCTCAAAAAATAGGGAATCTCAAGAGCTTTCGAATGGATGAAAGCATACACAAAAGTATCAATGCTAGAGAAAGTTACAGTGGTTTGTGGTTCTGACTCCATCGCTTCGACTACAAGGACGGTCCATTCAAAAGCTCTTGAGATTCTCTATTTTTTGAGCTATAGATCATCTCGATCCGGCAAATTTGAAGCTAGTTAGACACGTTTGTAGTTTGTAGTGCCCATGTGTAATACTGTTTGCGAATTGCTTTGTTTTCTAGTGAAACAACGATTGCCGATGACGGTGACGCTACAAATTTTGTATGTGATCGATCTGGTGAGGAATATTTACTTGTTCTTCAAAAAACTTTCTTATTGCTAATCTGTAAAATGCCATAAGAATTGAATTTGCTCTTTAGGATGCAGCTCGACAAGTTTTAAGAGCTTACATGGCATTGGATATCACCTGGCAAGATATCCGTCTTGCTTGGGATCCGGAAGAATTTGATGGAATCCCTTCAATGACTGTCCAATGTGATTCACTCTGGATCCCTGAAGATTTTATGATGAATATGTAAGTTCTAAAAGCAATGCTTAACATTTTAAGAGGATAAATTACCATGTCGCATTTGATAAAAACCTCAACTTAGCATTGCAATTGACGAGATTCATCCCGATCGCTTTAAACAATGCAAATTCTATTCAAATGGCACCGTGAAATTTGAAGAATCTTATAATGCGGATATACAATGCAGCGTTAATGTAAGTTTTGAACATTTGAGTCTACTTTTGAGAGTGATTCGCTAATTTTAGGTAGCGAAGTTTCCATTTGACACCCAAGAATGTAATATTCAATTCGCGACTCCATCCTATGAATGGTATCAAGTGAATGCAAGAGGGAAACTCTTCACAAAATATGGACCTGGACCTACATCAGCGGTAAATTTTCATACTTTGATTGGTCTGCTATTGGTCAACTTTTTATGTTAGGTAGGAAACGGCGAATTCCTCGTCAAAAATGTGACAATGCAAGAGTTCCCTCTCAATGGAAATGTCTCCAATGACGACATTGTATTAGTGAGTTCAGATTTTGGATAGCATTGCTTATTAATTCAGGTAATATACTTTATCACAATCAAGCGAGAACCAAGCTTCTACATTTATGTGATAACAATGCCTTGCTTCCTTCTAACATTTCTATCAATTGTGGGCTGTTTTTGGACAACAAATGTGGAAGAAAGGCAATTGGAAAAGGTGAGTTAAGATTGATGATTGAAAAAACTGATTTAGTTGGCCATTGCCCTGACAAGTATGATGTCGATGACAACTTTTGTTGATATGGTTTCTCAACAAATGCCGAAGACCAACCACTTCCCATTATTAGGTATGGTAAAACTACGCTAACACCAACGTAATCCTTTCAGGCACTTTTGTCCTCATCTGTGTTTTCATCACTTCAGCTGCTTGTGTCGTTGTTGTTAGTATGACAGAAGAATATCCGGTTCTCGGGAAAACGAAAACATCGTGAGCTTTAATTTTCAGTTCTGAACAACATCCTTCAGGTCTCGATTGACAAAAATACGAAGCTTTGTGTGGTCGAAACATTTCCTATTTTTGGCTCTGTTTCAAGCAGCGAATCTAATTAATCTGATTGTATTTTTATCGTTTTGGAAATGAATGAATTGTTTAAGAGATCTTTGAGAGGAAGAATGCAGTTTCATTAAATGGAAATCAATAAATTGAAAACAAAACAATGCGTAACATTCAAAAAAACCTTGCATCACCAAGACATCCGGATGTAATAACGAAAAGGAGCAATCAGATCTAATTGAAGAGTACAGCATATGCAAACCAACTTGTCAAATTAACTAAATCTACAATACTTCTGGTTCAGAGTTTGGGTTTTTGATAAGCGGTGTATGGTGTGTGCGAGATTTTACTAGTTAGACTAGTCTGACTAGTTAGATTCACCAGTCAGATTTTGTAGTTTGTTTTCAAGATGTTTGCTAGATTAAAGAATAACAAGCTCTTCACCAATTGGAAACTAGAGGACTTCATCTAAAAAAGTGACTGCAGGCAAGGTCGAACCCCGCATCCTCGGATTGAGACAGACGCTCTGACGATCCACCATGAGGACACATTGATTCCGCTACTTTTCCGCGTCGTTTGCTCTCAAGGGGCTTCCTGTGCTACCCTTTATTAAGGATCCTAGAAGGCCCGACTCACCTTCTTTTTATCCGTTTCAACGAATTTTTACCTCAAATTTCCATTCCCCTTCCTCTCGTTTGCTCACTCACTTGACTATTCGCTCAATTTTCAAGTGAGTCCATTTCAGAATACTCAGATAAGGTTAATGTTCGTAAATATATTATTGATTCTGATTTTATGTATACAATTAATTCAATTTGCCAAAGGTTCAATTAATTATACCCGTTTTGGTGTTGCAGGTGATTGAACTGGGGAGTTTTGATAAATTTCCACATTTCTAGAAAGCTACTCAACAAGCCTGAATGCTGCCAATCGTTTATATAGAGAACTCTTTCAAAATCGGAATTATTACAAAGATTTGGTACCGCTTGATGCACGTTTGGGCGACAACTCAACAGGTTTTATCGTAATGCTTTACTAATTGTTTTGTTCTAGCGCAGCAACGTATTCCGATGACGATTATTCTGCAAATACTATATGTTATCGATCTGGTAACGTTTACTTTTGCTGAGTCTTGGTTCAAGTTCATTACAAAGACCAAAGAATGATCATTATCAGATCTCCTTAGAATTTAAAAGAGTAAGTTTTGAAGCTTCTAATTCAGTGCTTCAAAGAAGTTTTGTTTTCCGGAGCTGTTCTCGAATTTGAGCCTCAGTTTATGAGCAGCAAAACAAAGATTACAAAGAAACAAAGAGTACAAAAAGTACAAAGAGTACTCTGACTTGTTTTAGAGTTACTCAAAGACAAAACAAAGAGAAAGAGTCACTCTGGCTGACTCTGACTTTTAGGATGCAGCCCAACAAATGCTCAGAGCCTATATGGATTTGGAGCTTACCTGGCAAGATATCCGTCTTGCTTGGGACCCGGAAGAATTTGATGGGATTCCTTCAATGACTGTCCAATGTGATTCTCTTTGGATACCCAATGATTTCGTAGCAAACGCGTTAGTTTTTCACTAAAGTCACAGCTGATCCAAAGTTTCAGAATTGCCATTGATGAAATCCTCCCCGATCGCTTCAAACAATGCAAATTCTATTCAAATGGCACCGTCATATTTCAGGGATCTTATAATGCGGATATACAATGCACTATCAATGTAAGTTTTTTTTTTAAAAACAATAATTCCAATACCTAAAGAGATTCTAATAATCCCTTTAGGTAGCAAAATTTCCATTCGATACGCAAAAATGCGCGATTGAATTTGCGACCACCACTTACGATTGGTACCAAGTGAATCGAAAAGGAGAACTCTTTACAAGAAATGGACCTGATTTCGCTGATTCAGCGGTTCTAATTTTGATTTGGCTGATTCCAAATGCTGATTCAGCATTTAGGAATCTATTAGGTTGGCAACTTAATAATGACGCGTCACTACTTAACATGTTTTTTGTAATTTCAAGCACCGTTTCTTCCCTCTTTTTGCATATATACAAAGTAAAAGATGTCTGCATAAATAGCATTTAGTGCTACAAATTTCACCATTCGCTTTTTTGGCAAAAAATGGAGGACAAAAAATTCCGTATTCGAGCTGTATTGTTCTACGATTTTAAACAAGGAAAATCTCCAGCTGAATCTTATCGCACGATCATCACTGTTTTAGAGAGGAAAGTATACACATTCGGCAATGTCAACGATGGTTTCAAAGATTCCAAGGCGGCGATGGAAGCCTCGTAGACGAGCCACACCAAGGACATCCTCCAGAAGTGGTCGACGATGACTTGCTCGCCTTAATTGAAGATTGCCCAACACTCATCGTTCGTGAGTTGGCAGAAATATTTTAAGTATCCCATACGACAATCGAAAACTATTTACACACTTGGGAAAAAGAATCGTGTTGGAAAATGAGTTCCTCACGAATTGACGCAAAGCAACAAAATGGCCCGTGTCAATGTCGCCTCAATTTTGCTACAAAAATGTAAATCGAACGACTTTTTTCACTTCTGACGAAACGTGGATCAACTACGAGAACGTTAAACGCAAAAATCAATGGCTATCTGCTGGGCAGACCCCTCAAACCACTCCCAAACCTGATATCCATGGGAAGAAGATAATGCTCTGTTGCTGGTGGAACTTCAAGGGATTGGTGCATTATGAAGTGCTAAACCTGGCCAAATCGTCGATGTTGATCTTTATTCCAAGCAATTAATGAGAGTTAACGAGTCTTTGAAGAAATTGGGGCTCAAACCGGAGAGAGTCAGATTTTTACGCGAGAACCCAAAATCTCACACTGCAAAGATCACTTATAAGAAAATCGTGGAACTTGGCTGGAAAGTTTTGCCCCACGCGTCTTATTCACCTGATCTGGCTCCTCCAGATTACTTTTTGTTTCGGTCGCTGAAGCACTTTTTGAAGGGAGAAAAGTTCAATGATCATGCTCGGATCATAAAAGCAGTGAATGACTACTTCACCTCAAAAACTCCCAAGTTCTTCGAGGATGAGATCCGGGATTTGCGCAGAAGATGGGAAGAAGTCATAGATACTAATGGAGAATACCTTTTGAATTGAAGGCTCTTCTTTTGTGTTTTTTTAAAATAAATGATTTGTTACATAAACGCGTCATTATTAAGTTGCCAACCTAATATTAGGTTATTCGGATATAAATAAGCGTTTTAGTCGTTGACAAAATTTATCTTAAACAACACAGTTTAATCCAAAATATATTTGCCATTATTATTGATTACTTCTTGCCATCTTTTGCGCAAAGAATTGATGCCGCGCTTGAAAAACTCAGCCGGCTGTGACTCGAAAAACTTGGCGACCCAATTTTGGACATCTTCACGGTTTTTGAATTTCTCATTGGCCAAAAAAATTTTGAATCGACCGGAATCAAGGGTAATCTGAGGGAGCCAAATCGGGAGCATACGGCGAATGTGGTAAAACCTCCCATTCTAGATTCTCCAGTTTTTGCTGAGTCGTCTTTGCAACGTGAGGTCTAGCGTTGTCATGGATGAACTTTATCTTTGATGTGGGTACTCCTTGACGAATGAGAACCTCATTGACCCGATCAAGTTGCTGTTTGTAGAGGTCGGATGTGACTGTTTGGCCGGGTTGTAGAAGCTCAAAATAAACAAGACCCTTGTTATTCCACCATACTGAGAGCATGGTCTTTTTCCCATGAATGTCCGGTTTCACGGTCGGATTTGGCCGTTCTCCTGGTCCTAGCCATTGCCGTTTCGAATAGTATTATCGATCCACTTCTCATCTCCAGTAACGAGAGAATCAAAAAGCCATGATATTTAGCCTGGCGGATGAAGATTCCGGCAATAGTGACCCGTGAAGCCTTGTTTGCACTGCTTAACGCGTGAGGAAGCCATTTCCCGCATCTGATCGTCTTTCCAATGGCGTGGTGATGCTCATCAATGGTAGAATTTGAACATAGAAACTGTTGAGCAAGTTCACGTGTCGTTTGACAAGGATCCGGTTCGATTGCAGCCCTCAAAATATCGTTGTCTACCCCTTGAGGTCGACGAGAGTGTTCATCATCATCGAGACTTTCATCACCATTCCGAAAGCATTAGAACCAGGCTCGGCATCGGCTTTCGGTCAATGCATCATTCCCAAATGCTTTGACCAAATCTCGATGAAATTCAACGGCTGTTTTGCCCAGTTTTAAGTCGTAAGACAGGCAAACGCGAACTTGATGTTCGAAATCGGTCATCTAAAGCAAGAAAAAAGATCTTAAAAATAAGAAATTATCCGTTTAAAAAGATTCCAAATATGTGCAAGATAACGTATTTTTAAATATCGAAAGACATGCTTTAAAAGCTTCTCTCACAAGAATAAGTTCAGCAACACTGGTTTATATCCGAACAACCTAATAATTATTATAATTAAAAACTAGAGAAAAATCTTTTATTGTTATTAGGCTGGGAACGGGGAATTCTTGATCAAAAATGTGACGATGATAAAACCTACACTGAATAATTCAAATCCCGATGAAAGCATCCTAGGAGTGAGTTAAAATTTTGGGCGTGGAATTCTTATGTAAGTCTAATTAGATAGGATATGTAATCACCATGAAGCGAGAACCAAGTTTCTACATTTATGTGATAACAATGCCTTGTTTCCTTTTAACATTTCTATCAATTGTGGGCTGTTTTTGGACAACAAATGTGGAAGAAAGGCAATTGGAAAAGGTGAGGGAAGATCATAATGATTGAAAACACAGATTTAGTTGGCCATTGCCCTGACAAGTATGATGTCGATGACAACTTTTGTTGATATGGTTTCTCAACAAATGCCGAAGACCAACCACTTCCCATTATTAGGTATGGTAAAACTACGCTAACAACAACGTAATCCTTTCAGGCACTTTTGTCCTCATCTGTGTTTTCATCACTTCAGCTGCTTGTGTCGTTGTTGTTAGTATGACAGAAGAATATCCGGTTCTCGGGAAAACGAAAACATCGTGAGCTTTAATTTTCAGTTCTGAACAACATCCTTCAGGTCTCGATTGACAAAAATACGAAGCTTTGTGTGGTCGAAACATTTCCTATTTTTGGCTCTATTTCAAGCAGCGAATCTAATTAATCTGATTGTATTTTTATCGTTTTGGAAATGAATAAATTGTTTAAGAGATCTTTGAGAATATAATCTTAAGAAAGAGAGCACAAAAAGAATACAATCCCAATACCAAATTTGCCAATTTCAGTTATTGTTAGCTCCCAACAAACATTTTTTCTAAATTACAAACCCTACTTGCCGTCCTTTATCAAAACCTTTGTACTTTTCATACAAAAGCTCATACCACTGATGACAAATGCTGCAAGTGCGATGCAAATCTTTCTCATAGTGATTGATTTTGATTGATTGCTGTTTATGCTGTCTTTTACAAATGATACAGGTTTGCGATAGGGCCATGAATGAAAGAGAACTGCGACGAAGCAAGATTTGCAGACTTGCATTGTAATTGCCATGGACATTTTGCTTTTTTCGGATTTTGCTTGTCAGAAAAGTTGCGAAGTATGCGAAGTTTCAGTCAAAAGATTAGGATCGTAAACAAATTCCGATCGTTTCATGCTTTGTGCTGTCACAAAGCATGCAACTTGTTCAATGTTCAAAAATGATCTCTTGCTGGTTTTTGATTAGTCATCATTGCTGATCAATTGTTCCCACAACCACAGTTACACTTGCAATTACAATTTCAGCCAGAATCGCAAGTCCCGATGTTGTTTGAAGGGGTTCTTGGAGTCGTTGATGACGGGGAAACGGGGCCGCAAGTTAAAGAAATATTCAAAAAAAACACAAAATCTCTTAAACTTACAGTAATAATAGTTAGAATCGATTAATTCACAACCGAGTGCCGTATCCTGGACACACGTTTGAACTCCGGAGACAAGTTGGCAAGCTGGAGACAAGCCATCTGTAAACTTACAGCTAACAGTGAAGCGATTTGTAATCATAGGAACCAAATTGTAGGAAGTGAAGCTTTTCCCACATATGTAAAACCTACATCTAAACGAGTTTCACTCACTGTAAAAAGCAGGCAATCCAGTCGAGCATTCCTGAGCAGCTGAGGCTTTCAGACTCTTTTATATAAACTCTTTTATATGCACAACTGAACTCTGCGTGAACTTTTCATTGAATCCACCGCTTCATTCATTTCACTCACCAGGAAGACTTTTTGATTAAAGTCCCCTAATTCAAAAATTGAACTAAATCTTAATCTAAGATCCAAAGAAGAGCCTGAAGTTTCATATTCCTTATCCTCTTTGAAGCCATTGTTGAAGTCTATTTCTGAATTCCTTTCCTTTTTCCACTCTTTCTCCTCTTAATCATCAGAAGATACGGTATTGTTGAAAGAATTTACTCATTCGCTAATCCCAAAAAGAAAGTTTATCTCTTTAATCTCGAGCCAAAAAATTGTTATAATCACTTTATGCTTGAATGCACAGAGATAATTGGAACACAAAAATAGTTCGGCAGCTTCAACACACTTTCCTCAACAAATTGGCAAAAAACATTGATATTTCTGCTTGGTTAGATTGGCTTTTCAATCGTTTACGGTACTCAATTTCAAAAGATCCTACTGTACTTTGGGAACATTGAAAGAAAAAACAATTTGAATACATTGTGGAGTCGGAAACATCAGCTTCTAAAGAAATTGTGATAGAATTTTTGAAAATTAGGTATTGAGCAATTAACCAAAAACCAGTTAACTGTTAGAATTTGGCGCATGCTATCTAATGATACGAAAAACTTGCAAAACTTAAAAGGAAACTTGTTTTTCCGTTGCTAGCTTAATGTTGTTCAAATCAAGAACTCCCAGGTCTACTTTAAAAGTTAGTAGAAAATGTTTCAACAACTTTTAACCTTCATCAAACCGACTTCTAGCAAAAACTTTAGTTTTGTTGTCTTTCATCACATCACAATGCGTGGCTTTGAGACGTCGCACTTGATTTGCTCTTTCACTTCATCATCGGCTGTGATTGCCAACATTTTGTTGCTCTATCTGATCATCAACTATAGGCAAGTGTGTGGAAATTGTTTGCAAAACACTAAACTTTTATATGCTTCTTTCAGCTGCTTTTTGCTTCCCTTCTGACAAGCTTTCTTGCTTCTTTCTTTCAAAAAGATTTTTCTCTTTTCAGTCGATCTGAATTTGGGAAATACAAGTATTTGATGATGCTCTTCGCCGTCTTCAACGTCATCTATCCACTTTTTCATTTGATTCTAATGCCGGTATTGCTTTTGTTTGGCTATAGCACACTAGTTAATGCTGTTAACAAGGTGGTAACACTTTTTTGAGTGATTTAAATGAGCTGATCCATCTATTCTTTCAGGGAATTCACATCTACGGTTTCTCCTACGCGTTCTATGTAGCCGGTCCGTTAGCTCGTTGCTTTCGCAAAGAGATTGGACAGGTTTGATTGGAGTAAAGTCCTTTAACATGACTTCATAGCTTTAGTTCGCTTACGACATTAATAATTTTGTTTTCAGTGGATGATGCTGTATTGGGCGTGTCTCTTTGAGCAACAAATCATTCTGATCTTTTTCCACTTTCTCTATCGTTACATCACCGTTTGCAAGTGAGCAAATTCTCTTTTTTGGCACTTAAAATTGTTTCTGAAATGAAAGTTTAGAAACAATTTGGTCGCAACATTTAAAAAGTTCTCAATTCGTCTCGGCTTGGCTCTTTTGGTCGGAGTCGACGTTTTCATTTGGACTTACTGCTTTGAGACACAATCCTACAGTTTGAGAAGCAATCGTGTATAAAAGTGAAGATCAAACTTTCAAATTTCAAATCTTTAGTGGTATGTGAAAGAAGAGTTTATCAAGTACTACAATTTGGATGTCGAACAGACCGCTCTTTTTGGATCACTTTACAAAGTGAGTGCATTCTTCTATAGGGCTCGTGAAAAGTTCTGTCCTCCTAAGAGATCACTTTTACGACTTTTTATGACGTTTCCAAGAATCAAAACCTACAAAATTAGATTTTTCAAGTATTTTTACGCTAGAAAATTGTTTCAGAGCTTCTATTTTTCTCATATAGAAAATTTTATAGAACTTTTAATGACAACATTTGCGGTACCCTCTGGTCGCAGGCCAAAATAGCTTTCCTAGCTTTGTAGCAAATTAAAATTCAGTATTTTCAAAAGTTTTAGTAACTATTTAGCTATAAAAACAGTTTATCATAATTTATTATGGTTTTGACTTTACAGTTGAGCATTCTCATGCCTATTTAAAGTCCCTTTCGGATCGACTTTTTGCAGTTTTGCGATCTGAAATAATTTTGGTCATCTCTTTTCAAAAAACCCGGATTGTAGAAGCAAAATCTTCCACGAAACTATGGCTAGCCAGATGTGAATAATGCTAAAAGTCTTCAGGACAATGTTTTAGTAGTTAAATAGTGATTTAAAAGTGTTTAGGAAGGCTATTTTGGCCTGCGACCAGAGGGTACCGCAAATGTTCCCATAAAAAGTTTTATAAAATTTTCTATGTGAATAAAATAGAAGATATGAAACAATTTTCTAGCGTAAAAATGCTTGAAAACCCTAATTTTTAGGTTTTGAGTCTTGGAAACCTCATAAAAAGTCATAAAAGTGGTCTCTTAGGAGGACAGAACTTTTCACGCATCCTGTAGTCATTGAGGGTAGAATACAACCAGTAATCAAGAAAACCAAAAACGATAGAAAAAAATCAGTAACCAGTTGGAACAGTTGGAAGAGTTGGAAACAACTTTCTCCTTTCAGTACAACGACACGAGCAACGTTGAGCGATATCGAATCCACAATGTTCTCTCAACCATCACCGTTCTCAGTCAGTTGTTGTGGAAGTTTTTTGCTATGGTAAGTGAAAGTGAATAGGTCTTTTAGAATGAATATCCGGTGTCTTTACTTCTAAAATCAAGTAGTAAACGTTCTCAGGTTTGGTTTACATCTCAAATCTACCTGCCATCGAAACCGTCCAAATGAGTGAGCGAACGAGGAGACTGCAGAGGAATTTCTTGCATGCTCTCATCGCTCAAGTAGGCACAGAGAAATTATATTTATGATTGAAAACTAATCTAACTAATTGAAGCTACTTGATTGCCGTCATATCACCGTAAGAAACTGTTTTACAATTTGTAAATGTTAAAGGCGACTATCAATGACAGCTTTTCCATTCCTTTTCAGACAGCTTTCCCATTCGTGCTCGAGGGTATTCCCTGTATGACCTCGTTCACTTGCTCTTTCAACGGAATCTATCTCGGATCGTGGTCAGTTTGAGATTTTAAAACAACTATCTAGCCTAATCAGTAACCAAGATGTTGTAAGATCTCAAAAAATCGCTTGAATATTCCGGTAGTTTTATGAGATGCTGGCTCTGGAACTGGCTTCGGTCCACGGAAACTAAAACCGTGAAAAAGGTGCTCTATCATCGAAAGATTCAAAACTCTTTTGTACAATTTGTGGTAGAATCTTCAGCAGCTATCTATTCATTCCAATCTCGGTCTATCCTTTGTTGGACGCACTTTCAACGATCTATTTCATCAAGAATTATCGAAATGCAATTATGCAAGCACTTTTGTAAGTGCACTCAATGTTATTTGACTAATTCTTTCATCTAGTGGACGAAGAGTCGCTTCTCAAGCGAGTCAAGGTGATCGATCTTTTGTCGAGTCGACAGCAAAGGGGAAAAACGAATCAAGTCATCGGTCTTCTTCGGAGATCAATTGAAGATCTCCAATCACAAAAAAAACTCTCACTCAGTCTTAAACTCTGAGACAGATAAAATTGAATGACATAGAATTGCCTCATCGAATAATTTCAATATCATTTGAGTATTTCACACATTGCTTATATGTTGCGTCCGTTTACGAACTAACGTTCAGATCGGATCCGGACGTCCGTTTACAAACCAAACTCTTAAGTTCGTAAATGCTAATTTGATGTTAATGAAACTGTTACGTCCGAATCCGAACAGTCGTCATGTTCCGAACATCCCGTCCGAATCCGAACACGACCCGAAAGAATCGGATCCCTAAGAGAATCGAAGATCGGAGCTGGGAGAATCAAGTGATAGCCTATAATCAGGTCTCTAAGGTGCGGAGCCATAGCCTAGGAAAATATAGGCGTCTAATATAATGGAGATCATGTTCGGAACATGACGACTGTTCAGATTCGGACGTAACAGTTCCATTAACATCAAATTAGCGTTTAATTCTTAAACGGACATCCGAATTCGATCCAGACGTCCAGATCGGTAGACAGACAATGAAAAGCATTATGTTGTTTTTCTTCTCGTAAACACAAACGAATTCGATGAAACAGAAAAACGAGTCCGACGCGAAATGATCCCTCAATTTGACCCACAAGCTACACTGATTGCAATGTTGAGAATCTATAGCTAAAAGTGAAAAGGCAAATTGAATTTTTAGCTATGATCGCATGTGAGCACTGATTCTAAATGAATTGAATATCTTCAAACTGAATAAAGAGCTTCAAAAGCAAACTTTCAACAGAAACAAGCCCACAAACATTGTGTTCCGCTTAAACACCTCAAATTTCTAGCCAAAAATGAGATAAATTTGATGTCATGCGCAATTATACCTATTGCTTTCTCTTTTCACCTATAAAGTTGTAACGATACAACAAAATTGGAGTCAATCTCAACGAAAAACTCGAAATGGAGCTCTATTTGACTATTCGATTCATTTGGTATTGATTATCTACAAAAAAACTCAATGACTTGACATTTCATTCGATTTCTTTAATCTATCGATAAGCTTCTGAAAGTTTATGAATAGTAATCTAGCCGTTTCGCAAGAGTCGAACCTCGATTTCCGTGTTACATTTCCTCAAATCACTCAAATACTTTACACGAGTTGATTCGAATCACTAATAGCTTTTTTTGCTTGATATAACTTCACCTTTTTCATTCACCATTACAAAAAAATCTATTTTTGTGACACTATTACCCATGAAATATTTGAGATTTTCAATTGATCAAAACTCTCAAATAGGACCAACAATATTTCAAGATGAGCCCATTTGCTCGTTTTATTTCATGAGTTCTTGCTGCCCCTACGGACCGAAATCCTTGGGATGAATCCAAAAATTCACAGCGGCTCCCTTCAGCACCCTTTTACGGGCACTTGGGATCCCATTTCGACCGACGGAGAACCCGCCATTGTGGTCGAAATGAGCCGGAATTGGGTTCACCAATTCTACAGCCGGGGTTAGGTTTGGGAAGCGGTGACCACATGGGGCAGACAACGGATTGGTTACCGGATGACCCAAAATGGACGCTTCCGATTCGAGAAGTGAAAAGGAACTATATCAGCAGGCGAGGTATGCCAGATCGAGCGTGATTGTGCTTGCGCACAGGGAACACGCTGCGGTCCTTTTTGCATTTGAAAGTGCAAAAACTTCAAATTTCAAGAATTTTCGAGTCACTAGGGTTTTTTACCAAAATACAATGACATATCTATGCATCACAAAAGAAACAGCACAGGTTTTGAATTCGTTGACCAATAAACTCTATAACATTCTGTAAAAAGTAAGGAAACTATTTATTCTAGATGAAATTCTCGGAAGCAAAGAAATCATTGGCGGTCGATTATCTAGACAAATCGTGCCTCCAATTTTCTAATTTTGTTCAGCTGATAGTCAATCAGACAATCATCGTCTCCTATTTGATGTTCAAAAAACTCGCCAACAGTCCCAATTCTCTATTTTTTCATCGATCATGAACTCCGGCAATTTTTACAAAACAGTCTCTGCCTGAATCGGTCTCTCCACTCCCATTTCATCCAAGTTTAGAATCTTTGCCGTCTTCTTCGATGGCTTACTATACAAGCGACATGTTTCCTTGTATATGTACGCCTTGCCACATTGTGCTATTTTCCGGGTGCTTCCAATTGTCGCTTATTTGTATGCTTATATGCTGTATGTAGAGCTTCTTGTTTTGAAATTTCTTCGCCAAGCATGATAATTTGTGATAATGGAAACGACACTCGTTCTGGTGGGTTCGAGCTGGAGATTTGATGGGTTTATTGGATAAAAACCTCATGGTAAATTCTCGTGAAGTGATCACGCCAAAAACGGACAGACCAAATAAGAGTTGAAGATTGTAATGATAAATTAAAAAGCAACTGATTTGTTGATAATACTCACCTTTTGAGGTGAGATGTGCCAATACAATCTTTTGAAAAGCGTTATGAATCGAGGAGGATATCCTTGGAACAAATTGTCGCAAAATTTTGCTGATTCATTGAAGGGTGAGGGAATATAGAGGTGTGGTCGGGAGGGAAAACTTTGAAATTCCCCTATTGTCTACTGTTCAAAATCAGTGACTTCTGAAAAATCGCTCACCCTTATCGTAGACAAAGAAACAAACGTCAAATTCCTCTTTGGCTAATAGCTTCCGTTTAAACAAAATGATAAATCATTGGAAACTAAGAGAATACTCAAGAAAATGGAGAGAATGGGGATGGAGATGGAAAATGGAGAGCATTTGAAGGTAAAGCTGAGAATAAAAATGACAAAGTTGGTGCTTATCGGACGCCTTTTCTTTCAAATTGGCTTTTACGTGAAAGAAAAAAAAATTATGTGAAAGAGCGAAAAGTGATTGTAATTTGATGCTTTTCAGAGTTCAAATGCTTCTGATTTTTTTCAAAGTTTACAAATGATTCTTTATGGATTGTGAATTACCTATGAGATGCTTTGTTTTTTTGAAAGTCCTCTAGGCTTGGTTCATGATTTTTTGTGAGCACACTGATGGATTTGTTCGATAATTTGTGAAAGTCTTCAGATGGACTTAGACATTAGACAGATCAAAACAAAAACTTACAATAAAAAACGAATATAGAACTTAAGGTTATTAGTGATAGCGTCTCGAAAAACCTCTAAATCGGAAGATTGATCGACTCGCAAATAATGGCTCTGCGGGCTTTAGCTTTAGCACAATTCTCTTCTTTCAAAAATGAATTTAAACGCGATATTGTTTTATTTTATTACTCTTTTGCTCTGAGTACAGTTAAAGTTTCTTTTGTATACATCTACTGTTGAATCATTTCAGCAACTTATCCAGAAGATGTTGCCACGGACGAGATTTGGAACTGTGATTTCGCCATTCCATTCAACGCCACTTACAGTTAGGCCGACCATTTTTATTCAAAGTAAAGGAATTTTCTTATGAAAATCAAACAGCCGACCAAATTTAGAGCAGTTTGGCATAGGGCTGAGAAAAGTGTTAATTTCATGCATCTATTCATAAATTCTATTGTAAAATTATACAACAAACTATAGATTTATTTTCCTGACGTCTTTTGTGTCTTTGGTGGAAAGAATGACGAGTGTCGCCAATAAAATTTATCAAAATTTGACCTAGGTGCTAAAAGAATTGGAAAATTGAAGAAACTGATAAAAACGGTCAAAACAATATTTTGTCAACAGAAAATGTTACGCTTTTGGGTTTCTATTGGATTTTCTTTATTAATTCATACAGGTTTGAAAGATATAAATGTGAATCTTTTCAAGTATTCTAGAGTTTTGTTCTGCTTTCTGTCCAAAGAATGGAATAAGTGGATCAACCGCTGGGAGCTGCTTTTTCGGACTCGAACTCAATAAAACATTTGATGATGCTAACAATTTTTGCGCAACATAGTAAAGCTGGAATTTAGAGTTTGAAAATCGTTCATCTTTATAGTTTTAATGGAAAGCTTGCCTCAATTACGACTCCTCTCGATGATTCAAAAGTGCTCGAATTGGCAAGAAGTTTCTTCAAGGTTTGATCTCAAAAGTTGAAATTTTTATCAATAAAAATTCTTGAATCTGCAATGCTTTAAAAAACTCAGATTCAGCACATCATGATGATGATGTATCATACCATTTAGAGCGCCGAGAATGTATGGCTTGGAGGCACATATGATGGCTCGAAAATTGAATGGCTCGATGGATCGCCAGATGTCTATCAAAACTTTGTTTCAGGTTTGTTAAAACGATATATTCCTTAAAATTTATCATTTTACTGATCAAAGTTTGGATTTAGAGACAGCACCCGGGAAAGTTGTGTTGAATTTGAAAGGCGGTCAGTGGTCGACACCCACATGGAATTCGATGATTCCGTTCATCTGTCTGGTGAAAGACAACGATGTTAGTATTGTACTTACAAGGAAAGATCAAGTGGGCAAGGTGGCCAAATGGCAAAACAAAGTGCTATATACCAGAATTTCTCGCTGATTCCGAATATAGTTTGGGTATTTTTTTCTAGACGCTACCCTATCAAAAGTTATACAAGTTTAAAATTTCACAAGGAATTTTCGAACAAAAGGTCGAATTATGATAAGCTAATTTCCCAAAGGCGTTTCAAAAAGCGCTGGTAGCCAAGTGGTAGTGGCTTAGCGTGGGAAGCGAACATTCTCTGGTTTCACTCCCGCCTCATCATTTCTTTTTGGCTTTTTTTCCTTTGGCTGTTCTCCGTTTCAAAATTAGCTTTATTCTATCTAGGTTTCACAAGAAACTTTGTTTGTTTGTTGTTTTTTGTTTATCGTTTTTACAAATCAAATCAGATTCAAGTTAAGTTCAATACAATCTTGTTTCAACGATGACAAAGTTCCAAAATTAAGATCTCAACCCCATCTCCATCATTGGCTGTCCCCTCGCCCACCACTTGTCCGAACAGCCCCCCTGTCCCTCGGGATGGACCTATATTGAGACTTTCAAAAGTTGTTATAAGGTACAAAAATTCTTTTTTAAAAAAATTTGGTTTATAAACTTGCCATTAAATTTGGCTAATCAAATCCAGCTTATCTACGCTGTGAATGGGGCTTCCGGGGATGAGAACTGTCGAGTGGCGAACGCTAATTTAGCTTCGATTCATTCTCCCGAGCAAAATCAGATTGTCTATGGTATCATGTATTTTACCTTATGTTTTTTTTTAAAAACTTTGTGTTTTATTCATCTTTATCTTTTCAGAATTGACAAAAACCGGAGTGAACGACCTGCAAGCGTGGATTTTGTTCGGTGGACAACGGGTAGGGCAAATGTCATGGCAAATGGTCACCAGAAATTTCTACACTTTTCATTTTATTTGATTTGTTCTATACCCTTTTGTTATTGTAAATTGTAGCTAAAAAGTCACAACAGGTAGAACTGAAACTGGACTGAAACTTAGAAAATGAAACTTGTTAGACTAGGATTTTAGATTTGTCTGTCTTACTTTCATGCACTTAGTTCTAAACTATAAAAGAATCAACATGTTTAAAATAAAAGCCGAAAAATATACAGTTTCAAATACAGACTGGACCTGGTGTCGATGATTGGAAATGGTCGGATGGATCACCGTGGAATTACACGAATTGGGCTCCCGGGGAACCGAACTCCGGGGACAGTCACTGTGTTCGTGTATGTTTTCCATAAAAGTAATCTTTGATTTCAATTCCTGTAACAATTAACCTCATCGATTTTCAGATTTACGCCGATGTAACCAATCCAGCTATGACGGCCAAATGGGACGATTGGCCCTGTGATAGGGCCTATCGAGCAGCGCTTTGTGAACAGCCGGCTAAATTCTGAACCATTTGTGAAATAAAGTTTTTCCTTTTAACTGTAAGCTTAAATGTAAGCAGCTTTTGAGACAATTTCACTTAAACACTTTTCTTAAAGCTACCAATAACCGTGTACGTAAATTAACAAGAAGAAAAGTTAAAAATTGAATTGTTTATGCTAGAGAAGTGTTAGAGAAAAAAACCTTTCTCAGATTGTGAAAACAGCTTGATTGATTGCTGTTTATGCAGTGACACAGCAAACTTTTCATAGGTTTGCAATAGAAAAATGAATACATTAATTCACACGAATAATTTGGGACAAACAGTACACAAGCACAACCTCTAGTACTCAAGCCCTCACAAGGGAATAATCCTAACTGAACGGACGATTTCGCCGCGGAGATGCAAACGCCTATCGGGGGGAACAAGATGCTCTATTTATTTCTTGTCCATTCTCAGCGGCAAGAAGATCTCGACTTCGCTGATGTGCAAAAATAACTCGTATAAAGCCGAGGTTGTTCGAAAATTTGATGGAATTACAAAATGGATTTAGTATTGGGTTGGCGCCTATGATAGCCTTCATTTTTCAATACCTGAGTCCATTTGCTCGCTTTATTTCATGAGTTCTTGCTGCCCCTACGGACCGGAATCCTTGAGATGAATCCAAAAATTCACAGCGGCTCCCTTGCACCCCCTTTTACGGGCACTTGGGATCCGATTTCGACCGACGGAGAACCCGCCATTGTGGTCAAAATGAGCGAAATTGCCGATTCTAAAGCCACGGTTAGTTTTGGGAAGCGGTGACCACCTGGGGCAGACAACGGATTGGTTACCGATTCGAGGAGTGAAAGGACTATATCCGCAAACGTGGGATGCCAGATCGAGCGTGATTGTACTCGCGCACTGGGAACACAGAGCGATCTTCGTTTTTGCATTTTAAAGTTCAAAAATTTCACATTTTTGAACAGAAAAATTGTACCCGCAGTTTTTGGGGGTTGGGGAATCGACTGACAGTGCTAGTTTTAATCTTTTTACTACTAAATAGCAAATGAAGTGTCATGTGGTTTGAGAAGCTTTTTTGGAAACCGGTAGCTGGAATTTTTGAACTCTACAGTCGGCTCTCTCTATAACGCAACTCTATATAACGGAAAACTCAAAGTAACGGAATCGAATTTTGGTCCCGGCCGACGCTAAGCTATATATAACGGCACTCTATATAACGGAAACATTTTTTGGTCCCTTCCATTCCGTTATAGAGAGATTCGACTGTGTACGGCTACTTGTGGTTTAGTAGGGATAGTTTTATATTTCAAAATTCCTTTCGCTGCTTTTTTTGTTTCGCTTACAACGTTGTCAAATGGCAACAGATTTAGATGTTTTTGGCCAATCGCTTTAGAATAAAAATCTGCGTTGATTGTTACTGAAAGATCTAAATATCTTCCTTTTAAAAGTAAGCTGATTTTATGACTTTATGCTAATTTCAAAAAACATCCCTAGCTGTGGACTTTGCTTACAAAACGGATGGCTGGTGCGGTGTGGTTGCTACGGGACAGTGTTGCCCTTTATGGCGCCCCTATCCCTCAACAATCATCAGTGTCAAGGGGTTTGTGGCGTTAAAATTGACTATAACAAATGTTATCTTCATTAATGAATTGATCAATTCAGCATCAAGTTTTCCTTTTAGCCATGTGGTCATTCTGATTGGAAATACGGCTATTGTGAGGAGGAGAATCAGTGGTTTATGGGGAGGACAAAGGATGATTGGAGTTGGGTTTATTATTAGAGATCGAATCAAACTCTGTCACTCAATAAAATTGTATATTGTATATAGTAAACGTATTCAAACGTAAAACATTGTTTTGCAAAACATTTTACCATTTTTTGATCAATTTCACAATTTTTTTCAAAGCTTAATGTCAAAGTCCGGATTTTTTTTGCGTAAACTTTGATGGAGTTAGTAAAAGTGCAGCTGAATAACTGAATAACAGCTGAATAAAAATGCAGCTGAATAACACAGCCAATTTCTCCGTGGTTGTTGAAGTTTGCAGTTTCTTTTTCAAAAAATTGCACAACATTGACCGGAAAAGAGAGTTGACAACACGGAGAGACGCAAAGAAACAAAACAAGCGCGAAATACAGAGACATAGAGATGAAAAGAGCTAAAAGAGTGAACGATCAATAGAAAATAAGAAAAAAAGAGCTGAAATGGGGAGAGAAAGGGCTGGAAAACGCCCCTAAAAACGTAGAAAGTGGGACAAATAAATACAGCGCCCCATAGCGACTGAAAATCATTCAGTCAAACCCAAACCACGGCTTTTTTGAGGTGTTTTTGACTGCTTCTGACTCATCTTTGAGATTGATTTCAATTCCGACTTGACGAAAGCTTTTCGACTCATTCATTTCGAAAAGATCTGTTAGGATTGTCGAAAATTTACTTCAAACTGATTCACTTGAATTGTGAGTCGTGATTCGACGACGAACGGGTGAATCGACTTTTTGTTGATCAGATTCGACTTGAATCAGTCAGATTTTCGAAATTCTGACCAATTTTTATTTGAGAAAGTGATTTTATTCATTCTTTTGAAGAGTCCAATTTGGATTTTTGAAATCTAACTCCAAAATCTCTATCTGAACAATTTCTACACGGATCGACTGGAGTTTCGAAATTGAATTAGAAGACTTTTCATTTTGGCTGATTACCTAGTTGCCTGGGACAACGAAGAAAACCTGATTGGAACAGGTGACTGGTTTTGACAATAATTAGATTCAATAATTTGAAGCTTTTCAGAGCCTCTTGGACAACTCTTGACGAAAAAGTTTCACTGAACGATTTTGAGTTGATCTTGGATTTCGACGATTTGGACGACTTGATTTCGATCGATCACTGAACTTGATTCCAAAAATCTCATTAGTTTTATCAATCACCAACTCAAAAATGGAGCAAGCTTTTGAAAGCTCCGAAATCTCTACAAAAATTCTCTCAGCTCTTCAAGAAATCCCCGGTGAAACAGCCCACGAAAAGCAGAAATGGCTGGCCAAAGAGATCAAGAAGAAAATCGACGATAAAATTGATTTGGAAAACCTTGTAGCCGATGAAAGACTGCCAAAAGATTTACTTCCATTGATCAAAATCGAAGCAGCCAAGATGTCGATTCGACTGGGAAACAAAGATCCGAAAAACTTTGAACAAATCAAAAATGGTTTGTTGTCAGAAAACAGTGAATTCGTGACAAGAGCTCTTGGCTTGAATGAGTACTTCGACGGCTCAAACGAGGCCTTAAACTCTGAATATTTCACCGAAAATATCTTCCCATTTGTCACCTATTCGACTCGTTCGAAAATCATCAAAAAGTTATCCAAGTCATTGCCCTCTCAATCAGCCGAAGAACTTTTTGAAAAGATTCTGAAAATCTATGGTCTAAAAGAAGCGGAACCATTGCTGATCGCTTGTTCGAGTGATTTTTTGAGAGAATCGATCACCAAGTATAGGATCGTTCTGTCGCCACACTGTGTTTTGAAGCTTTTTCAAAAAGATTCGGATCTTGTCTTTTGGTATTTCAAATTGTCAGCTCCAAAGAAAGACACCAAAAGCCGATTCAATCATAAAATTGACATTGGAAAATATTCGAGTTTTCTTCCGAAACTGATCAGAAGACATTTAAAAGAATTTCTGGCAATTGTTGAGCTACAGGGTGAAGATTTCTATCATTTGAAACTTTCGAAGAAACAAACGAAACGTTTTCAACGAAATGCCCGAGAAGAATACCTCTCAAAACCCAAATTGTTTTTCAAGTTTTTAGATATGAAAAAGATTTCGGAGCAAGATTTGGAAGAAATGTTCCCGAAAATGTTCCCAAAGCTGGAGAATTTTGATGTTGATTCAATGTTGGGCAATCTTGAGTATTATCCAAAACAAAAAACAGCACAACTATTCCTGGACTCTTATGAGAAGGCTTATGGGAGAAATCTATTGGACAATGAAAAAGCTGTGACTGAAACACTGATGAAATTTTTGAGAACAGAAGATCGTTTAAAGTTGGCCAAAATCAAGGCTGAAAAGCAAGCAGCCGGGAAGATCTCTCGCTGGGAAACGAATTGGAAATGCTATCTCTCAGTTGAAGAAATTGTTCCAAATTTGAGATCAGAACTCAAAAAAGCTTCGGATGTCAACAAAAGGATTTCCCTGATTGAGGAAATTCTACTCTGCTGTGAAGTAAACAATGACCTGGAAGAGTTGATGGATGTTCTCAAGCTGATCAGAGACCGACATCGAAATGAAACGCCCTACTTCCATCAGGCATTCCTCAGAAAGCTCCAAAATTTGCACAAAGTTCTGACAAAAGAACATTGGGATGTCATTTTTGAGATAATTCAGCGATTGTGGATCAAGATTGACCAATCTGATTTCAGATCTTTGCCTAGGGATCTCTTGGAGGCCGGGCTCAAGTTCAAATTGGACAATGATCAGTCAACAGGGTTGATCTTTGAGTGGTTATTCTATGTGATTTCCCATGATTATTGGCATCAATGGGCAGTCAGTGATGAGCCTAAAATACAGAGGGTTTCTTTGGAGAACTTCTGGAGAATTGCCGAACAAGTCGGGAGAAAAGGTGGCAATGGATGGGATGAGGTGAAAGAGAGAACGGTCACGGCTCTCATCGAACAGAGCTACGAGTACAATCAGCGATGTTTACAGAGAAATGCCTTATCAGAAATCCTACCAACTGATGGGTTGAGTTGGCATTTCGATGAGCTCTTCAGGATCTTAAAGGAAGATAACGTCCAGTACTCATCGTTGAAGACTGTTCTGAAGAAGTACAACAAGGAACTTTACGAAAAATTATGGCCCTCGGAGAAAGATTTGATTGAAATTGATGTTCAAACCTTGAATAGATTGAAAAGGGATCCAAAAGCTATAACCAGCCAATGGGAAAAGTACTTCGACGAGTGCCTGAAATGGTCACACACAAAACTCGTTCACCGATTCATCAGAAAACTTGCTTGGTGCAACGATTTGCCAAAGAAATTCTTGGAAAAGTGCTTGGCTAATGTAAAAGATGAAGAAACCCGTCAAAAAGGAGACTCTTTCATCTTAATCTCATTGTTGATTGACGGTGATTCTTACTCGAAACTCGCTGAGCCATTCCTCCCAACAAAAGACATCGATGTCGTTGATCCAGAAGCTGGGGAACAGTTTTCATTGATCAGAAACATCGTGACTGGGATGAAGCTGGTCAATCCACCAGTTCAACTCCAACTCATCGAAAGACTTTGTCAGGGCGACTACTTGTCAACAGCTTTGTCAACTTTGGAGAACTCTTGCAAACGAACAAAGTTGCCAACAGCTTTGGATTTCTCGATAAATCTTTCAAAACAGAGAGTCTCCGTGGGAAAACACGGAGTTAGACTCATGTCAAAGTTAGGCAACTTTGAGGAAATCTTTAATTTTTTCAAAAACACTTGGCTTCAACAAGATCACTACTCGATTCGATCAATTGTACTGGCTGAGACTCAGAATTTGTTCGCCAAATTCCCCAACGAAAAAACTTGGGGATTAACGAAAGAGATGATTGAATCAATGAAAGAAAAAGATGAACCAATGCTTGATCCATGGCCGTTTAAAGTGGATCTAATTCCGGATGAATATGTCGTTGACTTTATGAAGATTTTATTGCAACTCGTTGAAAAATTCGAAGCCTTAATCCCCGAGAAAAAGGAGAGAAATCTCTATGGCTATTCTCTGCTGATCAACATTGATTCAGCCAACTTTTTGCCAGAAGATTTTATGGAAACACTTTTGAAAAAGTATCTTTTCAACGAGTCACCAAATTTCATCAATCGAGCTGAAGGAGCTAGATCGTTTTTGGTCAGCAAGTACTTGGAAACCGAAAAACTTGAGGAGAGGTTGAACGTTTTAACGAAAATCTTCAAAGAACAAGTGAAAAATGATTGTTTATTGGTTAAAACAGCTACTCGTGAGCTGATTTTACGAATCGTTTTCAACAAATGGGAAACAGTTGACAGAAAGGTGATTATCAGTCATGTTTTGGAGACATTTTCCTCGATTTTATCGTTCTCCGACGACCCAAAAAGTTATCTGTTGCTGAATTTTGCCAATGAATGGGTGAACTCAAAAGATTTGGCTGAGTTTGCGAATAGAATCGCTAGAAAACTCCCGGTTTTCTATGAAAAGCTCACCCCTTGGTTCAGCTATCAATTGGCCGATTCGTTGAGGGATTTCTTATGTAGAAATTACTTTGATTTAGAGAAAGACAGAGAAGAGATCATAAAAGAAGTGATCGTAACCTTCTTGGAACACAAAGAGATCGAAGTTGTCTGCACGGTTGCCCAAATGCTTTCATTGATCAATAGAAATGAAGAAGAAGAGTACATCCCTTTGTTCAAGAAGCTCAGGGAAAATGAGCATCCAGCTGTGCAAAGCTTGGTCAATAACTTGCTGAAGTGATTTCATTTGTTTGTTTATGGGAAATAAAGTTGTTTTTCTTGAAACAGTTTTGATTTTAAAGTACATGATGGCACAGTCTACAGTCAATTCAAAGGGTTGCATCAATTATTTGAGCAAAAATATTATCAAGTTTCTGGTCATTAACAGACTATCGGAATACTCAAGTACTAAAGATCGTTGTGGCGATCATTTTCGCAACTGCATGTCTAGGAGAACCGATAAAAAGTGTCTGGACCTCATTTTTGAGTTAACAGCAGTTTCTGGTGCTCTATAACTACAACTAAACCAATGACAACTACAACTAAAATAGTCCTCTACAACTTTGACCTTTTAGTTTTTTGAATTTCCATAGTTAAGTCCTTCAAAAGTGGCCCTCAGGCTCGGCAAAACACAAGATTTTCAAAAAAATGGCTTAGCAGCTAGTCATAGTCAATTACATTGGCAAACCGGCAGAGAATAACTTAAATTGAACAAACTTAATGTTGGATACAAGTTTGGCACTTGATAGCAAAGAATAAGAAAAAAGTTTTTAATAAAAAGTGAAACGGTCAATATTTAGATAGGTCAAAATATCTTTATTTACACGCTTTCCTTCCAAACCCAACAACTGAGGAGACAAACTAGAAATATCAGGAATTCTAATGTACAGGGTGCGCCAAAAGTTCCCGTACTTTTTATGAAGTTAATAACTTTTGATTTTCAGTAAGAAATTTGACAAAAAAAGATTTGTATTGGATACTAACCACTCGAAATAATAACAAAATCATAAGAAGTGTTCAAAATTGCCACCATCGGTGCAATTGCACTTTCTCAATCTCTTGGGGAAGTTCTTCACTATGGTCGTACATTGTGGCACCATAATCTCGTCCCATGCACGACGTAAGGCAGCTTTCAAAGCTTCCACCGTATGATAACTCTTGTGGGATATCTTATCCTCCAAAATTGACCAAATTGAGTAGTCAAGTGGGTTAAGGTCAGGTGAGTTCGATGGCCAAACATCCTTACCCCAAAAGCCAGGAAAAAGTTGTTGACAAAGAGCGGTCGTTGAATGAGCTCCGTGGGCTGGAGCCCAGTCTTGCTGCAAGGTAAATCCTTTGTTTCCAAAATGTTGAGCAGCCCAAGATTTCAATTTATCCCATAAAACTACTTGTTGATAGATATTGGCGTTAACTTTTACATTTTTGTCAAGAAACACAAGTGGTGTTTTACCTGTGTTTTACCAGATGCCGGCCCAAACCATGATACTCTTTGGAAAATGCTTTTTCACCATCAACTTAGCTGCAAAAGTGTTCATTAATCCTCTTTTAAGAAGTTAACGATGATTTTGACGATTGTGGATGGGGTCAATGGTAAAGATCTTCTCGTCTGGAACAACAGCGAATTGAGGCGACCATTTGCGACCAGACGCAGCATCTTGCGTGATCGAGTTTTCCTCTTCTTCTTCATTTGCTCATTAAGGAAATGCCCACGCGAAATCCGGTAGCTAGACATTTTTAGCTTTTTATGGACAATTCTTCTGACACTTGTTGGGCCATTTTTCAGAGATACTGCCATTTTTCTCATCGATCGTAACGGCTTTCGCCTAATTTGACAGCGCACCTTATTGAACTTTTCTGGTGTTGTTGCAGTTGGTGGCCGGCCGCTTCTTGCTCTATCCTTTTCATTTCCCAACTCATTAAATTATTTTATTGCATCATAGACCGTCATTTTTGGAAATCCTTTGATACGAACAATTTCCATCGCTTTCTTTCCTTGTTTGTGTAACTCAATGATGGTGATTCTTCTTTTCGCTACCTCGGTGGTCATGTTTGTTGTATTTGTAAAAGTAATAATTGCTCTTTTCTTAAAAGATAATATCAAAATAAATGTAAAAAAGTAAATACATGAACATTAAGGAACTAAAGATAACACCTAAATGGAATGACCTATGGATTATGTACCTAAATTTATGGAAAAGTACCGGGACTTTTGGCTCACCCTGTATACATTAGAATGACGAATGACTTGATGCCTCCAGAAAAAATGCCCTGAAATGGCCTTTTGATTTCGAAACTTTTAGCGGCATTTTGACGCAATGAGCTACCTCTGACTCTCATGCTATAATAGCTATGAAATGTTAAAAATTGCATAAGCATTTTGTAATCATTTATCTTCAAAGATAATGTAAAAATATTAAGCAAAGTTATGACGTTTTTGTGAGCCGACTACGGTTCGAGCAGGTGTTCTCTCTATGCGCATTTTCCGAAAAAGCGCCATTTGTCATTCTGACCGCACGACCATTTTAGGTCGCGTTTTTCATAAAAAACGGCATAACTTTGCTGAAAATGAATATTTTTACATTCTTTTTGAAGATAAATGTTCATAGCCAGTTATATTTTCGTTCGAGGGAAAGCCGATCTATCGAACATTGAGAAAGAAAATGTAAAACGGCATTTGTACTTTGGATTTGGAAAATAAGGGGAAGAAAGGGAGATGTGAACTTTTTTGAATTGTTGTAGTAGAATTGTTGTAGTTGTGGAACGAGAAAAACTCGATCTTCACTTATACTTTGTGAATATGTTCAAGAGTTACAAAGTAAATGATACCAGAGTTGATTGTCTAAACCACAAAAAAACATTGAGTTAGTAAAAGATAATGTTTGTTAATGAACACTCGACTTTATAGTGCAAAAAATAAAGAATACTTGGTCGTTTTTAATAAGAAATTCTCTTTTTCATTTAAAAAAATTTTTAGCAATACTTCTTCAATTCTTTTTGCCACCAAACATCTTTCTCGCTCATCGAAAAGATTATTCGAGGGAAAAGATTTGCTGGAAGAAAATGAGAGATTGCTGGCTGCCCGAATGAGCTCATTGCATGGAGGGAATCAGCTGGGAAATCGAGTCTTCGAAATATTGGGAGTGGCCGCCATAGCGAAGAGGCTGCACAGGTTTGTTGATGGCACACAGATTTCATCTATTCAAAAGTGACTTAACCAAAAAACTTTATACATTGTTTTGAGCAACTAACTAATCAACTGGATAGATCCACTTGAAAACTGTCATAAATTTTCAAAGGCTCAAGAAAGTTGGTTGTAGACTGACTTAACGAGATAAATCCAAAAAATCGGGTCGCGCAACTCCAGGCGCTCTAGCCTCCAGAACATCGGATTTCAATGAACTCTTTTTATTTAAAACTCGAGATTTTAAGCTATCTAATGATACTCATCACTTGTATTTTTCTTTTGAAAAAATGGGGCCAAAAACCTTATCGAGAAGTAACGAGACAATCCCTCCCGACTAACCAGATAACGAGGAATTGTCTCGTTAAGTCTCGATAAGGTTTTCGACCCACTTTTTCAAAAGAAAAATACAAGTGATGAGTATCATTAGATAGGTTAAAATCTCGGATTTTAAATAAAAAGAGTTCATTGAAATCCGATGTTCTGGAGGCTAGAGCGCCTGGAGTTGCGCGACCCATTTGTCTCGTCAATTCTCGTTAATCAAGTCTAGTTGGTTGGTTCAAAAACCAACACATAGCCCCTTTTAAGCTTTCTCACTGCTAAATTTGACTCAATTGCACCACGTTTTTTTTTGAGAGCACAAATTATGATCGTTTTTTAGATTCACTAGCACGCAAAACTGGTTATTTCACTTTCAAGTATTTCAAAGTCACCAAAGACAAAGTTTTGAATCACTTACTATTTACATTTACCTCTATAAAACTTATATAACCAGTGTTCTTGAAATATTCAATCAATCTCCTTTTTTCAGACGTCCTTCTTTCTTGCTTCAAAGCGACTCATTCAATCAGCCAGTCATTCGCCAACTCTGGAAAACCCTACACTATTTCCCCAATGTTCTTGATGGGTTTTTCCTCGAGTCAGAGAGTTTGAGACTAAATGTGGATTGGGTAAACTTGTTAAACTTTCAATAGTGTTTTTAGATCTCTTCACTGCCCCGGGTGAATTTAAAGGCCCAACCCTCGACTTACATCAACTTTTCTCGGTTTGATGGGCTGGAAAAGGAGAGAATCGTTGTCATCGACGCCGCCTTTTTGCAGGTGAATACATGAAGAGGGGGAAATCTGCAATGTTTTGCTTTATGATACGAAAGATCGATGTAAAACATGTAAATTTGACTGAAATTGATCGATTCCATATGAAAACGTTTACGTTCCAAATGAATTATTAAATTTAATCTATTTTTTCGGCTTTCTGAATTCCTTCATTTTATCTAACGGCAGCTAAATTGTTAGCAAATCATTGGGAACTTAAGAAACAAAATGAGTAATTAACTTAATCTTGGGTTGTCCGGTTATGAATGCGCGTTTTTTACTATTTTGTAAATTTCTCAAGATACCGAAATCAAGAAAAAGATATATATGAGTATTATTCGAAAGCTGAAGATCTCCTCTACATTTTGATATAAAAAGTTTTTGAATTTGTTCAGCTTTTGGGCAAATTGACTGCACAGAAGAAGAGGTGGCCAAAAAATGGAAGGGTGCCTTTGGATCAAGTTTTGGCTCCCCTCAAATTGAGTTAACCGTTTGATGTTTGGCCTAATAGATATATCAATACAACTTTTTTAAAATATGACAATTTCAGAGCATCTTTACTTTTCTGGGCGGTTATTTTACACCATAAAACTTGAGGAATAGCTAAGCTGGAATGGGTTCTTTCGAAAACGACCTCTCCCTTTGTGCAGTCAATTTCCCAAAAAGTTGAATGAATTCAAAAACTTTTTTATTCCAAAATGTAGAAGGGATCTTCAGCTTTCGAATGATATATAACACTCATATACATCTGTTCGATATCCTGAGAAATTTACAAAATAGTAAAAACGCGCATTCATAAGTGGACAACCCAATAGATAAAGTTTTTCTGCTTTCTAATTTCAAATTGGTTTTCAGAATACTTGAATACTTTCAGAATCTGGTTTTCAGAATATCCAGTATTTGAATGATCTTGGTTGGGAGGAGGTGACTTTCCGATTAGGATTCACCGAAGAGACTCTCGAGCTGACAAAACTCATTCTGCCCGATGATTTTCGAAAGAGGAAAAAGAGGCAAGTAGAAGCAAAACATTGGCGTCAATTTCGTCAATTCCGCGTCAATTCAGCGTCAATTCGCTGTAAAAACATTTTTTCAAGAAAACCTTTTGTAGAGTGATTATTTCTTGAAGCTGATGGCACATTAACATTCCAGAATTGAATTTCACATCTTCTGATGTTTCATTGTTTATTGTTTCATTGCTGTTTGATCACTAAACATTTTTGCATATTAGATTTTCATTTTTTTTACGTTTTTTCTCAATATGTACCTTGTTTTTAATCTAACAGCAATGAAATTTAGATCAGAAGATGTGAAATTAAATTCTGGGATGTTAATGTGCAATCAGTTTCAAGAAATAATCACTCCACAAAAGGTTTTCTTGAAAAAAACTGTTTTTGCATGATCAAAAGTGGTCAAGATCACTGACCAGTCTCAAAAATTCATTCAGAATTTGTGTTCATTGCGAAGAAAAGATTTCGGCTCATATGCTGCCAAATCTTCTTACATTGTTGAGGCGTTGAATGTGATCATTAAACAAGAAGCAGGTAAGAGAAATCCTGCTTATTTTAACAGCCAAAAAGTTTAGTGTCCAATTTCGGGATCACAATTTTCTCGGATGACGCGAAAAATTTGAAAGCTTATGTGAGAACAGAAGAGTTTAAACGTGAGCTTTATAGGAAATCCAAGTTTTTTTGATTATAAAACAAATCTAGAACTTTTTGATAAGGTTGATCACTAAAGTTATCATCTCTTTATCTAGCCATTTCCAGCTTTTGCTAACTCAACGTGGCTCCCCATTGACGATCATCCAATCCATTTCGTCTGGTCATTTCTCTCGCATCAATGCACGCATATTTTGTTGACAAGTTGGGAGAGATTGTTGTCGATCGTAACAATTGCTCAGATATTCAATCGACCTTTGGTTACTTGGGTGCTTATTTGGCTGGCAATCGATCGATTGTTTATTTCAATCCAGCTCTCCATTGGAAACACAAAATGCCGACGCCAAAAGAGTGGATTCAATTGGTTGTTTAGTGGTTTTGATTTTGTGATGCAAGAACTTTGAAAAGGCTTGTAAGACAAACTCTGATAATTGATTTCATCGCATTTCCAGATGTATAAAAATACAAGCAACCTGTCTATCTTTCTACCGTAACCCGTTTAAATTTCTCATTAACTTCCTGAAGATCATGATTTGGCAGACAAATCTTTTTCATGTTTAGTCTTTGAGTAACTGATTCGAAATTTTCTAGCGTTGTCATACAAAAGTAGAACTTTTCCCTTGTTTCACCGTTTTTGTGATTTCATCGGCCACTTTATCCAACTGTATAGTGTACAGAAATGCTGCAACAGTCATACTTTCAGGCAGCAATTTCCAGTAAACAACTCCTTCGATCTCCCACCAAATGCATAACATTATCTTCCTCTGGTGGAGTTCTAGCTTCGGCTCAGGTTTTGCTTTTTCCCCGGATCCTATCCATTCCTTAGGTCAATAGTTGAAATATAATACCCACTCTTCATCACCAGTCGTGGATGTCGTTTGGAGTATTGTAGTGTTTTGCTTCACAAATACCACGACGAACCGTAAAAGCTGTAATAGTAGCCCCCTCCAATAGTAGAATAGTAGTCCCCCAAATTTGCATAGAAAAATTTGCATCTGCTTTTGGCTGAATATTCTGTATCCCTCCTTGAAATAGCAAAATATTCAGTCAAAAGGAGTGAATCATTCAATTTACGTAGTGCAAAGTGTAGCGTTTAACAAATTGCTTTTGCTAAGAAACGATTTTACTACGTTTGCTTTTACTAAAAAACGCCTCTACTCGCACTCTCGAAGTCACTTGCTCAAAATCATTGCACCTTTCCCACCTTTTCTTTATAATTTAAAAGTATTCAATCAAAAATTGTTAAAATGGATTGAATTGGTAGTTAACAATCATTTTCACAACTCATTGCACCGTATTTTTATACTTCTCTACCTATTGGATTGGTGAATTGAAAACTGCGGCTATTGTCATATGTGACAGTTTGAGCACTTTCTTCAAAAGAAACCCATTTTGGTGTCAATGCAAAAGTTGTAGAGAATCAAAAATCAAGCTTATATCCAAATTTTCAGAACGATTCAAAAACTGGTTTTCAAGAAATGCCATATTTACGAATTTTCACAAAACTTGCATTTTAAGCGAAACTACTAAGTGTATCTTTTTGGAAATTTGGCTATAAGCCTAATTTTTGATTCTCTACCACTTTTCTATTGACACCAAAATGGGTTTCTTTTGAAGAAAGTGCTCAAACTGGGACATCTCCAGTCCTCACCGAGTCTCACACTTGTCTCACACACAAACCAAAATCCTACTACGAAAGAGGAATCCGCAAATTGCCTGCAAAATGGGCAGAAGTCGTCAATAATAATGGAAATTATTTGGAATAAATTTATGGTTTTATGTGTAATAAATTTTAGTTCAAAGTCCCGCAGTTTTCAATTCACCAAGCCAATATATTTTCGGAAAAACTGAAGCCGTTCATTTTGATGCAAAGGATCAGGGTTGAGAAAAAATCGAAACGAAATATCAAAATCGTCTGATGCTTTGCTAGAGAGAAGACAAATGGTTCAATGATGAGATGACAAGCAAATACTGGGAGAGATCGTTCAAAGGGCTTGAGTTTTTTTCAAAAACTGATCGTTCTTTGATGCTTTGAGATCGTTTTGCGTCTCATCAAAGCGAATCGACGAGGGAAAAGCTCAATCAGCTTCAATTGGATTGCTTTTTTGTTCCTGTCCCACGAAGCTTGTTCAATGTGTAGATGGAATGGTCCTTTTAAAGTGGTCATATGATTTCTCCTAGAATTTTTTTCGACCAAAATTCTCTAAAGCACTTTTATTTAATGTATCGTGACCCAGAATATCCAAAAGTGAATGGGCACAATCGATTCCATCCAGTTTATCCGGTCCGTATGTTATTTATAGTTTTCGAGTGCCCCATTTTCTGAATTTTCAATTTTTAGTCCCTTTCTCAAAAGCTAGTAGATGGTTCTGGGAGTTCAAAATACCATTCGATAGCAAATACTTATGCGCATCTTTTCAATAATAAGTCATTGCGAATGACTTATTCGGTGGCGAGAAAATTTATAAATTGTAAAGGGGGGAGAGTACTTCCCCTAAAGTGTCCCTCCGCGATACAGGCCAATGATTTCTTTGCTTCTGAGAATTTCATCTAAAATAAATAGTTTCCTCACTTTTTACAGAAAATTTTAGAATTTATTGGTCAACGAATTCAAAACCTGTGCTGTTTCTTTTGTGATGCATAGATATGTCATTGTATTTTGGTAAAAAACCCTAGTGACTCGAAAATTCTTGAAATTTGAAGTTTTTGAACTTCCAAATGCAAAAAAAAGACCACAGCGTGTTCCCTGTGCGCAAGCACAATCGCGCTCGATCTGGCATACCCCGCCTGCTGATATAGTTCCTTTTCACTTCTCGAATCGGAAGCGTCCATTTTGGGTCATCCGGTAACCAATCCGTTGTCTGCCCCATGTGGTCACCGCTTCCCAAACCTAACCCTGGCTGTAGAATTGGTGAACCCAATTCCGGCTCATTTTGACCACAATGGCGGGCTCTCCGTCGGTCGAAATGGGATCTCAAGTGCCCCTAACAGGGTGCTGAAGGGAGCCGCTGTGAATTTTTGGATTCATCCCAAGGATTTCGGTCCGCAGGGGCAGCAAGAACTCATGAAATAAAACGAGCAAATGGGCTCAAGTTTTGAAAAATGAAGGCTATTTCATAGGCGCAGCCCAATGCTAAATCCATTTCGAGATACCATCAAATTTCCAAACAACCTCGGCTTTGTACGAGTTAATTTTGCACATCAGCGAAGTTGAAGTCTTCTTGCTGCTGAGAATGGGCAAAAAATAAATAGAGCATCGTATTCCCCATGCTCGATAGGCGTTTGCATCTCAGGGAAATCTTCCGTTCAGTTCGGACCATTCCCTTGCTAGGACTTGAGTGCTAGGGGTTGTGCTTTTGTGTTGTAATTGGTACCTTTAAGAAAAGGGTATAAGTGACATTTTCTCAAAAGCTGTTTACATTTAAGCTTACATTGAAAAGGAAAAACTTTATTTCAAAAATGGTTCAGAATTTAGCCGGCTGTTGACAAAGCGCTGCTCGATAGGCCCTATCACAGGACCAATCGTCCCATTTGGCCGTTATAGCTGGATTGGTTACATCGGCGTAAATCTGAAAATCGATGAGGTTAATTGTTACAGGAATTGAAATCAAAGATTACTTTTATGGAAAACATACACGAACACAGTGACTGTCCCCGGAGTTCGGTTCCCCGGGAGCCCAATTCGTGTAATTCCACGGCGATCCATCGGACCATTTCCAATCATCGACACCAGGTCCAGTCTGTATATTTTGAATCTGTATATTTTTCGGCTTTTATTTTAAACATGTTGATTCTTTTGTAGTTTAGAACTAAATGCATGAAAGCAAGACAGACAAATATAAAAGTCTAACGAGTTTCATTTTCTAAGTTTCAGTCCAGTTTCAGTTCTACCTGTTGTGACTTTTTAGCTACAATTTACAATAGCAAAAGTGTATATAACAAATCAGTGAAATAAAAGGATAAGTGTAGCAATTTCTCGTGATCTGGTCAACCATTTGCCATGACATTTGCCCTACCCGTTGTCCACCGAACAAAATCCACGCTTGCAGGTCGTTCACTCCGGTTTTTGTCAATTCTGAAAAGATAAAGATGAATAAAACACAAAGTTTTTAAAAAAAAACATAAGGTAAAATACATGATACCATAGACAATCTGATTTTGCTCGGGAGAATGAATCGAAGCTAAATTAGCGTTCGCCACTCGACAGTTCTCATCCCCGGAAGCCCCATTCACAGTGTAGATAAGCTGTATTTGATTAGCAAAATTTAATAGCAAGTTTATAAATCAAATTTTTTTTAAAAGAATCTTTGTACCTTATAACAACTTTTGAAAGTCTCAATATAGGTCCATCCCGAGGGACAGGGGGAGCTGTTCGGACAAGTGTTGGGCGAAGGGACAGTCGGTGATGGAGATGGGGTTGAGATCTTAATTTTGGAACTTTGTCATCGTTGAAACAAGATTGTATTGAACTTAACTTGAATCTGATTTGATTTGTAAAAACGATAAACAAAAAACAACAAACAAACAAAGTTTCTTGTGAAACCTAGATAGAATAAAGCTAATTTTGAAACGGAGAACAGCCAAAGGAAAAAAAGCCAAAAAGAAATGATGAGGCGGGAGTGAAACCAGAGAATGTTCGCTTCCCACGCTAAGCCACTACCACTTGGCTACCAGCGCTTTTTGAAACGCCTTTGGGAAATTAGCTTATCATAATTCGACCTTTTGTTCGAAAATTCCTTGTGAAATTTTAAACTTGTATAACTTTTGATAGGGTAGCGTCTAGCAAAAAATACCCAAACTACATCCGGAATCAGCGAGAAATTCTGGTATATAGCACTTTGTTTTGCCATTTGGCCACCTTGCCCACTTGATCTTTCCTTGTAAGTACAATACTAACATCGTTGTCTTTCACCAGACAGATGAACGGAATCATCGAATTCCATGTGGGTGTCGACCACTGACCGCCTTTCAAATTCAACACAACTTCTTCCCAAAGAACCACCTTAATCTACAGTTGTCAATTTAATACAAATACGCAATAATTGGAAGCACACGTTTTGCAAAAACAAAAATCGGGTACAACATGGCACAGAGAAACGCGGTGACAATTCGATTGATCGTGATACCCGACATGGGAGTGCCTGTCTACACAAGCTCGACTGAAAAAGATTGAAAATAAAAATAGATTGCTCTATTCAGTTATTTGTTTATGAATTCGAAAATCGATACGAATTTCAATTTGACGTTGACGCAAATTGAAAAGTTCTTTTTAGACCAATCGGCTTCGATGATACGAAAAATCAAGTGAAAATTAAAATGCTCAAAGAATCGTTTGATTGCTCAAGTGTTGATGTCAATAATTCCTGCCGAGATAGTGAATTTGAGAAAAGAACGACTGAAAGAGTCTTTCAAAAAAGTCAAATAAGTTGTACGAAAATGAGTACGTTCATATCGATGACACCCCAATAGACAAGTTAGAGTTTTTGACTCAAACTACCATAGGACTCTTCGACGATCTAGCGACTACACCAACCACTTTTTCATTTCTCGCCAGAGAGAAATTTGATTTTTTCGTGAACTTTACTTTGAGATGAACGTTGAGAATCGGAAAAGTTGAATGCACTGGAATGGAAGCACTCACAAACTTGCTGCATCAGGAACTTCGTCCAAACTTCGTCCAACCAATTTTTTTGACTCTTTTTCGTGTTATGAAAAATCCGAAATTCAATCAACTCACTTTTCTTAATCGACTCGACATTCAAATTGTAGAGTGTTGTCTTGAAATTATGGAAAGGCCACCGCTACAATCTGGCATTCTGCTGCGTTTCTCTCAAAATGAGCTGCGAAGCTATTATCTATTGGGCAATCTTTTCACTGAATCCGTGTGCTATGTATTGGATGAGAAGCTTGAAGAAATATGCGGCTATTTTGGCGATTGAATCAATGACGATACTTTTAGGCTTAAAAAATCATGACTCACTATGACTCACTGGAGAAGACCTGCAATCGTTTAAATTTGATGAATCAAGAGAAGTGTCGATGAAGCAATTGAAAACACTCTTTCAGAAAATAAACAGAGATCAAAGAAAGCCCTTGGTCAATTCAACAAAGGCTCTCTTTGATTTCCATAATTTAAAACATAATTTCCGGCACTTGTCCGTCTTCCCGCATCACTCTACCTTTTATGTTAACCAATTACATTTATTAACACTTACAAAATTAGCCAAAAAAAGCAATTACAAGCAAAATCATTCAGAAAGGTGCAGGAAGGTGCAGAAAGATGCCTAATTTTCTCATTTTAGACATTTGGACATTGAGAAGAATCCGAAAAATTGTGAAGTCATCACATCCAAGTGAGAGACGTGTTGGCGGGTGATAAGAATAATTGAGCTTTTGCCCGTTTTATTTCATGAGTTCTTGCTGCCCCTGCGGACCGAAATCCTTGGGATGAATCCAAAAATTCACAGCGGCTCCCTTCAGCACCCTGTTAGGGGCACTTGGGATCCCATTTCGACCGACGGAGAACCCGCCATTGTGGTCAAAATGAGCCGGAATTGGGTTCACCAATTCTACAGCCGGGGTTAGGTTTGGGAAGCGGTGACCACATGGGGCAGACAACGGATTGGTTACCGGATGACCCAAAATAGACGCTTCCGATTCGAGAAGTGAAAAGAAACTATATCTGCAAACATCGTATGCCAGATCGAGCGCGATTGTGCTCGCGCACAGGGAACACGCTGCGGTCTTCTTTTTTGCATTTTAAATTTCAAAAATTTCAAATTTTTGAACGGAAAAATTGTACCCGGGGTTTTTGAGGGTTGGGGAATCGATTAACAGTGTTAGTTTTAATCTTTTACTACTAAATACCCACAAATGAAAATGGATCAGTGCAAATTTGCGTGCAGTACTATTAGAGATGCAGTACTATTTTTTCGATCTACCCCCAGCCCGCAGTACTATTAAAGGCGCAGTACTAATAGAGTAAATACGGTAATCTAATCCCAATTAAACTTTAGCAAAGCAAATTTTAATAATAACTTCTCCAAAAGTTCAAATCTGATAGATTTGTTGAAATGAGCGAGGTTCCTTTCAAATTTATTCAAGAAATCAACGAAACGAATCAATAAACGCGTAAAACCAGAGCGAAAAAACAACATCAAACTTACTAGCTTGAACAAAAAACAAAAGGTTTTACTTATTTGTAAACGACAATGAGTGATGACATCTGGAATTGCAGCGGAGACCAAGCTTTCGGCAACAATATTGATTTGAGCCGCGTCCACGAGTATATATGCAGTGCTCCCTCGTTTCGAAGTCGATCACTGCTATTCACAGCGCTCGACTTCGAGCCTTTTCGGTGATTTCTATTTTCTCTAATGCTGACAATAAGTATATTTGTTGACAATCCCCCTATTCAAAAATTTTTGATCATAGGCGTTTTTTGCTGAATTGCTGATGCTGATGAAATTGCTGATGCTGAAAAAAAAATTGCTGATGTTTTTATTGATGTCACGCAAACTGACAGTCAATTAAGATTCAAGCGATGGTTCAATCCTCTTTAGAATGATCTTAAAAAAAGCAGTGAAGATCAAAAGAAAGAAGTCACTCATTGTGTTATCTGCAATCAAATTAACGACACTCGAAGAAGAGGGTGAAACTGTAGAGTTTGTTGACCTATGAAGTCAGACCTTGGTCAAAATAAATTTAGTTTTTAAACTTCAATGTCTGAACTCGCCTGGGTCAACCAAGTTTTAAAAGTCGTGTAAATCTTGCACATCTTTTGAATATACATTAAAGTTACTCTTATGCTTCAATTTCATTTGTTTTATAAAAGTTATTTATTGCCTTGTTATGTGTCTTTCAAAGTCTTTCAAATGCGTATGTGCTTTTTACTTTGCATTTCAAAGACTTTACAAGTAAACTTTGCCTTAAGCAAAGGATGTAGGCGTTTGTGTAGAAAGAGAAAAATAAGAAAGCCGAGTTTCCGAGACTACAATGCATTTCTAGTTTCCAAAGATAATTTAAATTTTAAGAACACCCGTGATTGTTGGCACCCTTCGTGTTGGCAAATCTCCTGCAAACATGAGAAAACGTTTGCACTCCGCACGTTTGCACTTCGCAAAGAAAGTCGTTAAACCCTTGTGATTGGAATGGCAACAAAATTCTCGAATAATTTGCTCAGTTTCGAGAATATTTAGGGATTGACTTGTTAATTAGTCAAAATGAAGGTTGAGAAGATATATTGCTTAAATTTGAGCGCTACTTTTTGTTCAATCTATAACTTTTTGCGGTTTTAACTTTCTGACATTCTACTAGTTAGACGAAACCTTCCAAGAGTTACAACCAAGAGTAAAAGGTTTTGAGTTTTACATGAGAATTATAATAACATCATGCAGCACTCTGTATCAGCAGGTTGTATCATTTTCAAGCTATATCATTTCGTTATATCATTTTATCATATCATTTTATCATATCATTTTTTTCAAATATAAAACCTTTTCATTAGCACATGTTCCATCTTTTATTTTGCTATTTTGCTATTATTTGATTCCTTGATGGTTTTAAATTTAAGTACCGACCCCCAAAAAAGGTATGTTTGAAATCCTGACATTGCTCACTTCCCACTTTCCCCTTTTTAGTGCCAACAGAGACTTATGAAGGCTTATTTTTGCATGTAAAGCCGTCATGTGTAGGAGTTATTTCTAGATTAAAGAAAGGCAAACAACCTAATCCGTACAGGAAAGTCGGTCGTAAAATTTAAACAAAAATAGCTATGCTTGTCGTAATCTCAAGGTGATGTAATCTCGGGCTTTTCCTTCTTACTATATATTGATATTGTGGGGTTAAGCTGGCGCCAACACTTAGTCGATCACAAGGGTTTTTGAAGGGTTTGGTAGCACAGCGCAGTCACGGATTTCCGAAAAAGCAAAAGATTTATGAATCAATGTTCTTGTTGAGGCATTTCTTCGGTGATTTTAGTGACCAAGATCTTTCATAAAATAGGCTTAAGCTGTTAACACTTAGTTATTTACATTAGATTACACAAACAGACTTCAGTAGATGCGCACTCGATCCAAGATATAACTCAAACAAAACGAAAGATAAAAAGTTTAATTACAAGCACATCAAGTTTGACCTTGACTGTCAAATAGTGATGGCGTTGTGCATTTTCACATTGTGTACTTCACATTTTGGCAAACATTTCTGTTTTTGAAACCTCTAATCTTTGCTGTCATAAATTGGTCAATCATAAATTTCAGCATGGGTCGTTTGTTGGCAAACTAAGAATTGGAAGCAATGATGTTCCTTGTTCAAATATTGATTCTACTCGGTCAATCACCCATCTTGGCTAGTCGAAATTTTCAATTAGCAAAGGATTCTCCCTCATTCGCCATTCACGGTGATCGACTTCAAAACTTTTCGGTATTTTCTATTTCTCTAATGCTAACAATAAGTAGTGCTAACAATATAGTATACATTTGTGTGTTGAATTTTGTTGGTGGGTATGACTCGGCACGTCACAGGTTCTCGTTTCCCCCAAAACTTAATTGCCCGTCGCTACCCGGGACTGAACCGTTTCGAGAAATCCAGGGAATCGTTCGCGGGACTTGTTCCTTGCGAGTGGTGAACTGGCTTGATCGCGACGGTTTGAACCGGGTAAAAGTCGTAACAAGGTACCGGTAGGTGAACCTGCCGGTGGATCAATACTGTAAACGCCTCGCGTCACAGTGTGCTACGACACAGCTATAAGCAGTTGAGTCATAACTTTTTCTCATTTTTTTGCTACTAACCCACTAATCCATTATGAGCCAAAGTTACCCATTAAGAGCCAAAGTTTCATGCCGATCTGATGCTCAATTATGCAGAAATCAGAATGAATGTGCGGAAAAGTCAGGTTATGAGTTAAATTGCTAAACTTGAACGCTTCAAAATTTTCAACAACTCGTCGAATGCAAAAACAAATTAAAGCAGTATACTTATACACGATCAGAAGTTAGAATAGACACCAAACACGATTAAATATCCTTTTAAACCCTTTGACATTGACATTGACTATTGACAAGTTAAAATTCGGAATTCGGTCGATTTTTGAGGATCTGGGAGATATTTTTTTGAGAACAAGAAACTGGGGATAAAATTTGATTTAGTTAGATTTAGATTTGATTAGTTTAGTGCTTGTTTTCATTGTTATCTCAAGTGCTTTTACTACTAAAGGCGCCACTTATTTTGATTTCTAAATAGTGGCTTAACTAAGTTATGACTAAGTTTTCGGGAAAACGAGAGTCTGCGACGTGCCAGGTCCAAATTGCATAAACCTAATACATTGCATAAACCTTAAGCCCACTAACCCAATAGATTGTAGTTTTATTGAATTGCAATGCATTGCAGCTCCCTATTCAACACTTTTTAGAGCATCGGAGTTTCTGCAAAAGAAATTGCCGATTTTCTTATTGATGTCACGCAAACTGACTGTCAAGAGTTACCTACTCGAAAAGTAAATCAAACATTTATTATCTGAGGACCAAAATTTATGAATGACAAGAATTCTAGTCAAAGAGTCTTACTAAGAACGAGCCAGTCTGCACTGATCCGATTCCTTTTACAATTAACGGAATCTCACCAACAGCTACATTTGATGAAGAAATGTACGCATCTTAAGTTAAAATCCATCATTTTTTATCTTTTCAGACTTTATTCGAGTTCTCCAGGAAATACTCAGATCGGTCATTTCTATGCGAGTTCTTTCAAAATTGAAAACGAGACATTGCTCACAGTGCGTCCTAATGAAAAAGTGAAAAGCAATTATGCAATATCTTTTCGAGTTCGACAATGGGTTAATGGTTGTTTGGAAAATCCAATAACTTAATTTATACATTAGAAACTCAAAAAATACTGGTTCTTCCTGGCACTACTCGACATCTCATTTACGAAGTCTTAATCAAAAGTGGTGTCACTGCCACAATTGTTCCCAATCCGAAGACTTATTTCTCATCAGAAAAGTTCGTTGAATTTAAACCAGATATAATGCTTAAATTAAAATTAAAAAGCCAACTCTTGTTCTAGTTTGCGAGGCCCGTTAACAAAACAGACGCCAGTTGATCATCAAATCGAATCAAAAACATGCTCCTTTTTTCAGGTTTGACGCATAAAAAAGCTTTTTAATATACTTTTAGTCAAATATTACGTGTTCCACTCAAAAATTGTATCAGATCTATGCGGGTTCTGATCCTGGAATTGCAAAAAACCCAAAACATTTGCTAATTGAAACAGAGTAAGCTATTTACAGGATGACAAAGAAATTATGGGCTCAGGCCTTTTAGTAATTTAGTTGTCAAAGGTCTAATTTAATTCAAAAGTACCAAGAGTTATATAGAGAGTTGAAACGCTGAATCCTGGCTCACTTATCTACCGCGAAACTTCCAAATTATAAAATTCGATTCAACTACCAAGCTCGGAAATCAGCTCTAACCGGCCTTTCTTCGAACGGCTGCCATTTTGTAAGGATTTCTTTAGAAAAAAATGATAGCGCTCCGAAGAAAGGCCGGCTAGAGCTGATTTCCGAGCTTGGTAGTTGAACCAAATTTTATAATTTGGACATTTTGCGGTAGATAAATGAACCAGAATTCAGCATTTCAACTCTCTTTATAACGCTTGGTACTTTTGAATTAAATTAGACCTTTGACACCTACATTACCAAAAGGTAACAACTACATTAATTTTTTGTCACCCTGTACAAACTTTAAACATACATGATTTGTCGCTTACAGATCAGGGACATCGATCGATTCAAGGAACTCGGCATCAAGTGTGTTTACTCGGAATCAATGCAATTTTTGTTTGATTTATAACACAAATATTCCAGGTTTTGTTTCGGAAAATCGAATTCCAAAAAAAAGTCGCTCTTTCAGCACTTAGTTTGGATGTGTTTTCATTGTGGACACCTTTTTGGTATCCTTGGTTTTTCGATCTACCTGATAAAAGCATGTTTAGCCCACAAAATGATAAGCAAGTGTATTACGAATACGCGGTTGGTGCTAACAAAACCAAATGAACAAATAAATCTAATCGAAAACTGTTAGGCAGAGTTCAAACCATTCATCGGCGAGCTGAAACAACTCAGCGGTGGAGAGGTTATTGTTTACGGGACCAAAGCGGCTTGTGACACGACAACATTCAAATTCAGGTTTTGTTGATGATCGTCACGTTCAAAGCTTTAGTTTTAGCTATACTTCTGTGCCCTTTTATCCAAAGATTCCTTTTCAAGCACAATGCATTCGGGTCAGACAAATAAGAAACAATAAAGTAACCTAAATTGTCTCAGTTAGAATGGCAACCTTCGACTCCTCTTCAAGATGACTCTGGCTTTCTCATTTATATTTGGGATCAAACTCTAACAAACGTTACCACATCGGCTTTGACTACAACAACCTTAACGGAAATCACAACAGACTCAACGATGACTTCTTCTGAACAAAACGGAGCGGGAACTCTTCGTGTTTTTTCTGTCTCTGTGTTTGCGTTTATAAAAGTGTGCCGTTGCTTTTGACACAGTAAATACTTGAAATCTTCTACTTGAAAACAAGTACATGACAAACAGCTACACACACCGTTTATTTGAAAGAAAATACTATACTGATAAGGTTATTAAATTAAATTAAAGTTATCATCATTGCCAGAAAATATGATAGTATTTTTCAGTCATTTTATTTCTGACAAAACAAACGGTAGAAAAGAGCTTATATGAAAGAGCTTTCAGTTAAAGCAGTCACTTCTCTCTCTTTCTCTGATAAAGTCGTTCTCATTTCTGCTGCAGAAAACTTGAATAATGCTGTTGGTTTTATTTCTTTTCCAGTTTCTTTTTTGTCCCTTTGTCAATGGACGTCGCACAATGCAATTGTATCTTGATGAAAAATCACCATCCTTTGCAATTCATGGCTTTCGATTGGCCATGTTCGAGGTTTTTTTGAATTATCGAATTTGAATTTGAACATTTATTATCGAAAAGTTTGCATACATACCTTTAACACAATTTAATTTGACTTTTGTCTATAAATGATTTTAGACCATTACAATGACACCAGTGAATTGCACGTTTTGCAAATGGATTATCGATTACACTCAAGCTAACTGTATCGACTCTGGATCTAGTACGGAACCTGGCAATTGTTTTGATCCGATTCCTTTTTTGATTAATGGAGAAGAGCCTGGTCTACCAAATATCTTTGAATTAAAGTATGATTTATATTTCACTCCATAGGATTCTGGAAGTCACAGAAATCCACATGCTTTAGGTACCAAGACTTAATAAAGTTTCCAGATAAGAGTTTCTAGATAATCGATTCCAGATTTCCAAATGCTACTGTTTAAATCTCCAACAAATCAATTTTAGGCCTCGTACCGAATCAGACTCATTCTACATGGTCACCACTAAGCTGAATATGACTCACAAAATTGTACTATCTTCTAAAGCAAATGTGGTGTCTTATGACTTTGCCGTTTCATTGAGAATCGAAGAATGGCAAAATGGTTTGTAGGCTTGTTCATTGTGCTTGGCTTGCTTGACTTTTCATTGTGCTTGGCTTGCTTGGCTTGTTCATTGTGCATTATGGCCAGTTTTCCAATCCTTGTCGCATTTGTTTTTTCTTTTAAAAATGCTTTTCTTAAATTAAAGGTCAATCCCACATTCATGTCAAATGATCACCTCTTTAGATACCAAGAAAAAGGTGGTGATCCCGGGAACAGGAAATAATCAAGCTAGCTTTTTCGTGGCTGTTCAAAGGGACGAAATCCTTACGATTGTGATCAACCAGACAAACGAGTACTTTATTGCGAACTTTTCTTTCTATAGCTTCAACATAGTTATGATTCTGTTTAGTAATGGACCCATAACAAAACTACTCGTTTTTCCAATCACCGATCCAGAAAGAGTACCTGCTTCCTGTAGAATTATTACGGTCAGAAGGGATTTTTATGAGATAACAAATGAAATAAACTTCACATAACACATCGATTATATCATTTGAATGATTTAAGCAAGAAGAGAAATGCTCAAATGAAGAGCTTTTTCCCGTCTACTTCGGTTCTGCTCTCGGTGCAAGCTTCGAGAAGCGTTACCACTTAATCGATGCTATGTGGGTTTTGTAATTTCTTTACTCAAACTATTCTCAAAAAATAAGACTATTATAAGACTTGAGCTTGAACCAACAAGTGCTTTCAAAAACGACAGCGACCACGATTTTCGTCGAAAAGCAATGTTCCTTCTGTCTCTTGTATCAGCCAGACATAGGTCTGTATTGACAAATAAGAAAAGCGTAAACATTTTTTGAATTACATGCCAACTACCGTATTAGTCAATCAAGAAAGAGTTAAGCTTTTTGTTTCAGCTCACTATGGATTAGATGATTGGGCCATGTGGACGCCTTCATTTTATCCATGGAAGCATGATCAAATTGATTATGTTATTCAAAATTTCGATTGGAGGAGTTCGTTTGAAAAAACTGTGAGTTAGCGCTTCATTTTTTGTTGAAATGTTTATGAATTTAAGGTACCAAGCTGGAGTTCACAAAATGCGACGATTGAAATCGTGATGATCGAGACGGGATCTGTACGAGTGTTGGGTTTGGAAGGAAAAGATTGTAACGGTTTGGTCTACAGGAAAAGGTCTAATAATTAAGTGGTAAAGAAATAATTAAGTTGTAAAGAATAAAAATAAAAACTTTGAAACCAATCAATCTGATCGTTTAGTTTTATCAAGCCAGTCAAGTTCTCGCTGAAGACTGCTTGCGTTGAAGTTGGTGTTTTATTGTTGTAAAGTTAAATGAAATTCAGCTCGTCTGGCGGCCCGAACTGAATGGGCAACCGGTTGAAAATGTGGGACTGTTTGTGACGATAAAACAAGAAAATTGAGTTATCTGTTCAAAATTCAATAAAACTTTTCTCATGTTGCCTTTTCATAATTGACACTGAAGATTGCTTTCTGTAAACAAACATTCAAAATGGAATTTGAGCTTTGAGCTTTGAGATTCCTCAAAAAAGCTTTGAGATTCCTTGGAAAAATAATGGTAACTTTATTGTTTTGTTTCTTGACTTAAAAACATAACAAGCAACTCATTTTCAATTCAAATTCAAGCTTGATTTGTACCGGTAAAGTTGATGGAGTTTTTGGCATTTCATTACAATTAAATATGGTTATAAACTAAATAACCGGGCTTTTTGAGATGAAAATTTATTCAAAAAAGGCAAAAAGCAAGTTCTAATCCAAAAGTTATTCGCCATTTCTATCAAAGACTTCTTCCCATCTTCGGCGCAAATCCCGGATTCCATCTTCAAAAAACTGAGAAGTCTTGGATGAAAAGCAAGTATTGAGAGCTTTTATGACTTGAGCCTAATCATCAAACTTTTCTCCCTCCAAGAAGTGCTTCAATGACCACAAGTGGTTAAGTGAGATCAGTAAGGCGCGTGGGGCAAAACTTTCCAACCGAGCTCGTCGAGTTTTCGGTGAATGACTTTTGCAGTGTGGGGTTTAGCGTTGTCTCACAAAAATCGAACCCTTTCCGGTTTGAGCCTCAATTTCTTCGAGGCTTCGTTGACTCTCATCAGTTGCTTGGAGTATAGATCGGCATTGACAGTTTCTCCAGGTTTTAGCAACCTATAGTACACAAATCCTTTTGAATTCCACCAAAAGCATAGCACGATCTTTTTCTCGTGAATGTCGGGTTTGGGAGTGGTTTGCGGGGTTTGTCCTACAGGTAATCATTGGTTTTTTGTTTGATATTTCCATAGGAAATCCATGTTTCATCGGAAGTTAAGATTCTGGCGAAAATCGTGTGCTTTAGACTTTTAAAGCATGATCGAGCAGACATTAAGTCATTAAGTTGTCGCCGGTCAACGCGTAAGGTATCCACTTTCCAGAACGATTCTTTTTTTTTCTTGTTTCAAAACAGTGAAACCATAATATAACATTGAGTCTCACTAATACTTCCGTTTCCAAAAGCTTTCGATATATGACAAGGAGAATCGGTCGGTCTTTTTCCCTTGTTTAAAATCGTAGAGTGCTTTACTCGTAGAGCTCTAATAATGACTTTTTGATTGTCCATTTTACGGATGCAGAAGCAGAAAGCAGCCAGTTTTCATAAAAAAGATGCTTATGTGTAAACGTGTAGTTTATAGTCTATAGTTTTTCCTTACGTCGGAAAATTCGGGCTTTTCTTATTGGCTCTTTTGAAAGGAGCACAAATGCAAAAGTCCAGTTATTTAGTTTATAACCTAATAGTTAAAAACTAGTATACACTTCAAAGACTTTTTGTTCATATTTGATTGCAAAACATTGTCCCGTATCAGAAAGGAAACCCTTCTGAAAGCCTTTTTCACGGGGTTTCGCAATTCTTGGTTCTAAAGCAAAAAAAATAGCAACCCTAAATTCATGCATGATCAAAATTAGAGCAATGTTTTTCACACTTGGAGCAATTATCCTTTTCACCCAGTCAATTATTGCCGTTGACATTTCGTTGACTTCAAAAAGTCCATCCTATGCTGTACACGGTCGTCGATTACTGGAGTTTAAGGTAAGATATGACTTTAACTCTGTAACTGCTTGATTTTTCAGAAGATAACAATTTCGATTGACGATAATAATGTTGCAAATCGGGAAATCCTCATTGATTACACTCAAGTTGGGTGCAAAAACACGAGAAATTCAAGTCTAGTAGGGAAAAATCAAGGTGATGTTGTAATGAATTGTTTACAGGAAAATCATAAGATTTCTATTGATGTCTATAAAACTTGCTTGGACGAGTTTCCATTTACTGTTAATGGAGAAATATTGGATTCAAAAAATGGAGAAGTTATGTAGGTGACCTTTTTAAAGATGGGCAATTATCCTTTTTCAAAATGAATCGATTGATTTCAGGCCGTACAACGAAGACATGCAAGAACTTCTCTATTCTACCACATTCACCTATAAAACTAGCAATTCAATGTCACTTCTTGTCAATTACACCGCTGATGTTTACCCTTTAGATTTTGGTCTTTCATTTCGAGTAAAGAATTGGGTTAACGGTTTTGACGAGCAATTAAACATAAATGGGAAAAATTATAGCAACAAAAAAGATCTGGGTTCTACCGGCAGTTAACGAGACGAAACGACAAAATTTCGTCTTAGTGAAATTGGATGTCATTGTGACAGCCGTCATTTATCCCCCTTACAATTTGTAAGTCATCCGGTTTTTCTTTTGTTTTTGGTCATTTTTATACATCATTTCGTTAAGATTGACGCAGTCATAAGATATTCATATGTGAACTGTGAACTAAGTCTTGACCCTTTCTTAAATTGCTGATTTCTCAGCGTAGAATTAGTGTGTTTAAATAAAATTTTAAACGGATTACTCTCAAAAGCTTATAAGCTTAATACCGAAATCATAAAGTTATTCGGCGATTAGCGACCAAGTTCTGTTCCAGTTCTGGAAACATTCATTGATAAAAAAACTGACCTGAATTTCTAACTAAATATTTTTGAGTTAACCTATTTTGTGTGAAAAAAGGCCAAAAAAAGGGTAGTAGCACCGTGTTTTTTAGTATAACTTGGTTATAACAAATCGCCGAATAACTTTATAATTTTGGCTTTAAGCTTGTAAGTTTTTGAGAATAATCCGTTTAAAATTTCATTCAAGTACTTCATTTAATTTTCCAAAAAAATTTCTATTGGTTCGTGGTGGTCGTTGTGGTGCCAGAGCGAATATTTTGGGCTGGAAAATTCTTGATATTTTGTCGATTTCATGACTCCCTATGCATGAAATTCCTGAGCCACCATGGTCCCCACCACCATATGGGCCACCACCATGAGATTTTTGCCATAAAATTGAAACTTTGTACTGGCATCGTGGTGTATAATAAACACTATTAGGATAACTATAAATTTTGACCATACACTTTATTGATCAGCGTTTCCTTGGAAAAACAGGACACTTCTTTAAAAAAGGCAAGATTTCCAACTAGCCTTTTTTCAAGAAGTGTTCTGTCAATATTTGAAAGAAATGCCAAAAATTTTCCAGCCCAAAATATTCACTTTGACACCACAACGACCACCAGGAGCCACTAGAAATTTTTTGGAAAATTAAGGGAAGCTGGCTTTTTTTTGAACACCCTATATATTGATTCTACGCTAAGATATTAGCAATTTAAGAAAGGGCCAAGACTTAGTTTACAACTTGATAGTACAAACAGACTATCGTATTTAATATCAACATACAGTCAAACTTCGACATAACAAACCTCAAGGGACCAGCCAAAAAGTTCGTTATATCGAAGTGTTCGTTGTCTCGAAGTCCATTTTAAGGTAAAACCCTTCGTTGGGACCAAAAATAGTGTTTGTTATATCGAAGTTCGTTATACTAAAGTTTGACTTTATAACAATTATGTGCTAATGATTCGTACTCATTTTTAGACCTACGTTGGAACTGAATTCGGTGCTACAGCCCAACGACAAAGAAATGGATGAAAAAAGCCCATGTCAGCATTTTAAAGTGAGATTTTGGCCGACAAAATTCAAGTCCACTAGTCAAGAAATGGAAAAAAAATAGCATCATTTGTGATAGTTAACATGATCCACATGTTAAAAAGCCGCTAACTGGCACTTTTAGGTTGACGTTACTTGCCCGAAAGGGTCATTGTATTCGGTTTTCTTTGGCTCAGATCCTGGTTTAAATCCGGATCCAAGATATCACATTGGTGATTACAAGTAAGTGTTTCATTGCCGGTAAATAGAAAAATGACTTTCAGAAGCAATATTTCGATTGTGACCAAAACGACGGCGACCAGCGTTCAGGCGGCAAGCAGTTGCTTGTTTTGTTTGACTTATCAGGCTAATAAAGGCGTTGCTTCAGGTTTTTTTTTAATTCAAGGTTCTTCTTGAAAGTCAAAGGAGAACTCCATGAATTTCGCGTTTTATTCTAAATAACATATCTAGCGGACGATGTTCAATTTTTGGACAATTTTGCTCTTTTCTCGTCTCCTTTCTATCCTTGGATACACGATGAACCATATCAAAGTGGAAATCACTCATATGACTATGGGATGACAACTTTCAAAGAAGTACCGTTATATTCTAATAGAAGAGCCCCCATAGGAGCGTCCGGTAGTCTAAGTTTACCCTCAAACAGTGGCAAAAAAAGCTGATTTTCATCATTTTTCAATCATTTTGTTCTAAGCCCTGGCTAATGCTAAAAGTATATGTTATATTGCAAAAAATCACTCTGCAAACCTTTTGCGAAATAAATTTGTCTTCATTGCAAAGTAGATAAAATGTTTGATGGATTGACGAAGAGATATAAATTGTAGAATCGTGAGCATATCGTACTAATTTCTGTGAAATCAATTGATGGAATTAAACTTGAAATCGGAGCACTTGGAAACGATAAACAAGTATGCACAAGAAACCACGGACAATGGCATTAGTGGGTCTTTGAACAAGCAAAACTAGTTTACTTGTGTGCCCGTTTTTGAAGCATACACATTCATAATTTCAGCTTTGATGCGGTGCCTACGTTTGAAATCAAAACATTGATTAGTTGCCTAATAGTGGGTTTCAATCTATGGTGCTATTAATCACGACATTCCAGATTGGAGAGTATTGGGCAAAGACTGAGCCACCCCATGGCTTTGTCTTCTCGATTCAAGAGAATGATGAGGTTTTTCCTGCAGACAATGCTAACTGTTTAGTCACATATGAATTGACCATCGATGAACCACATATGATTTTTCGAGATATCGTCATTCATGAAAACCAGCCGCTTTGCATTCACAGGGAATGCGATGATCGAAATTGTGAAATCTTTGTCGACCTGGCGTTCCAATGTCCACAAGAAGTGCTGTGATTAATTATGATTTGATCATTTGATGTTCCACTATGCATCAATCTATAATGCAACTCTACATTAGCCAAAAACAAGAATTTTTAATTTAGGAAGCTGATTGTTCAACCACAATCCCTCTCGAACTTTTTCAAGTCGATCGAAATGTGAAGGAATGGGAAGAGTGTGAAGAATGGTAATGTAAAAATACAATTAAAGTTCTTTTGTATGAAAACATTCAATTGAAATTAAGGCCATCGAAGATTGACAAGACAACTTTATTCACTTGCCATCTCGTTGTCGATGAGCTTGCGTTCTTTGCTGAATTCAATCATCCAAAAACCTGGGCGTATTCCGCAATAGTGCGAAGAAATGGTAGATGCTAATATAATTTTACGCGTCATCAACAATTAATTGAAAGTATTCGGATGGTTTTAGCTGATTTAAACATCTATGTGTTTCCAACTTACAACAATTTGGGAAGCCGTCCTTATTATGAATCGACACTGGGATATGAAGTCAAATCACGAGCCACACCAACGTGGATTACTTTTTCTTTATTAAACTACAACGCATACGGCTTATTAGAGAAATTTCGCTGGGTATATCTTTTCGAATTCGCTTGATCTTGGATTTAGAGTCATGCTACAAAAGAGTGTTTTTACGAGTTTTGGAGTGGTCCACCACGTACAAATAGGACTCCCTTGGACAGGCATCTTGCGACATTCAGGTGCTCGGATAAGAGTTTAAATCGAGGTGTTTTAAAAATTCCTCAATGATCCTCAATAACTATTCAATTTGTATACTTGAGCAATCAAATTGCAGCGACGCGGATCGTTTTGAGCCACAGTTTTTGGATTCGAGTTGCTACAGTGTTTTGGTTCCAGCTGGATGCTCACCGACTATCTATTTAAAAACTCTTCCTCATATAACTACCGGTATCTTTATTCCGAAGTTTGAAAAAAAAAGCGTTAATAGCTACCGTCTTTAATCGTACAAAACTCCTATGTGATGGCAGAATCTTCCTCACTTCAATGGGCTATGGAAATCCGTCCGAGGGACTATTTTTTCCGTACTACTGGCAAAAGCAATACACTTTTTCGCATCATATCTTTTGCGGCTTGTTTATTGTATTAATATTTTCACGCATTAGCTTTTAGATGGCAAAATTAATATCGAAATTGAAGTCTTTAAAATCGGTTCCGGGAATTTAACCCTCGAAATTCTTGATACAATTCATGGAAGCAATGATACACCGTAAGGAAATAGTTTTTTTTTTAGCGTTTATGTTCATTTAGGATAGTTCTTCTACCTGGGACAAAGATACCGGCTAATTTTACGATTGCAAACAAAACAGGATTGAATGTATTGTAGTTTCTAAAATTGAATGTATTGTAGTTTCTGAAAACTCAAATCAATAAGTTTAAAGGGATTAAATCAACTTTAGATTAAATCAATAAAACCTATTATTTTAGCCCTATTTTACTCTAGTTAAATACTTTACAAAACCCCCATTTAAGGTCTTTTGGAATGCATTGGATGAGGACGAGAAAGATCCAGAAGGTTGTTTTCTTCGTCTCCATTTTGCCCACATACCCAAACAATACCCAGCTCCCGAAGTTGTTAAGAGAAAAGAATCAATTCTTCAATATTCTGAACTTTTTATTATTTGTTTTTTGTACGAAATGATCGCTTGAATCTAGCCAGAACACGTTTATCAATAAAGTTTTCTACAAAAGTGATACACTTGATATGCTGAAACAGTAACACACTAAAACCTTTTTTTTTATCTGTTTTCGCACTCAGGTGTTCCTATTTACGCAGATCACAACCTGCTTCCACATTTCTCTATCCCTTGCTATTGTCATCCAGTGTTTCCTAGCTTGATTGTTCCTGGTTCGAAATCTTCGACTTGCTGGTGCTGGTGGTCTAGCCATCCTTTCTCTGACCGTCTCTGCCACTCTTGTGCTCCACCTCGTTGCTGGTCTTCCGATGGACCTCTTCTGGTCTCGTGGTAGCCACTCTGTGATCCGTATCGTCCATCTGTCGTCTGTTCTTCTGGCTACGTGGCCGGCGCATCTGAGTCTTTTGCTGAATAACTTTGTGTGTGATTTGAATAACTTTGTGTGTGAAAAATCTTATTAACAAAATAAAAAGGTTTCAGTCAGTCAGTCAGACAACTACTGAAACTTTTTATTTTGTTAATAAGATTTTTCACACACAAAGTTATTCAAAGCAAACTTTGCGATTGCCAAAGTTTGATATGAAAGCTGATACATTGAAGTGTGTTTGAGCCAAAAAGTCTTTCTTGAGACAAAAAGGAAAATAGGCGTCTCTTTCAAAGCAAAATGAGTCATTGAGTCCTTTGTTTCTCTTGTGACAAATCGAATCTTTGATATCACCGTAAATAACGCGAGTGACTTTAAAGCAACAATAAGCAAAATCAAATCAAATCAAATAATGTTTTATTTTACCCTATTTTTCTTTTTTCTTCTTAAACTTCTCTCCCAAACTACTGCACGAACTGGAATTGCCAAATTAGACGAGCAAACACCGTCCTTTGCCATTCATGGATCAAGACTCAACATCTTTACGGTTTCTTTATTAGGAAAAGAAATTTAATAGTCAGAGTTAATAATTGTTGTGAGATATATAGCTTTTTAAGAATAGCTTTTGCTGTTCTTAAAAAGGCTTTAAGCCTTTATTTAGACATACACAATTATTGGCGTGCCAGGTGTTGACTGGTTGATTGACTACACACAAGATGGCTGTAAAACAACGAAAAATGTTTGTCAAATTTATTGATTAGCAATAACTCTTTCAGGATCACCCTAGAGAGCCGAATACACCAAAAATTCGTTGTTTTGATCAAATCCCATTTGAGATTTCTGGAAAATCACCCGAGAAACAAGAACAAGAAAAAATCACGTAAAGACCAATCAACTACAAAAAGCCTAAAATTTACAGGCCATACAGCGAAAATTTGAGAATTTTCTACTCTTCAACATTCAAGCTTGCGAATCTGAGCCAACTAGTGATCAAACCAACCTCAAACATGAATAAATGAGCTGTCTCGTTTCGTGTTCGACAATGGGTTACAGGTCGAGATTTTGGCTGACTGACAAATAGAAATCAAGCAAGAGTAATCAATCACTGACTCTTTTAGAAACGATGGAGGTGCTTGTGTTGCCCGCTTCCGACTTTGAAGTTGAGCATTTTTTTGTGCTCGTCGACAAAAACGTCCTCGCAACAATTGTGGTTAACGAGACAAATATTGCAAAGTGCGTTTTCAACTATAAGAAAATCCAGTAAAGCGATTTGAGAACTGAGATAGTCAAAGCAACGGGTCGACAGGTCGACAAGCAACACCATTCAACCACTCGCACAACTGTTAAGATAGTAGCATCATTCAATTTTCAAATGAGTATATGTCGTAGCCGATTATGAATGAGTGGGTCTAGGAGCGTCCAACCATCAAGTATTTAGTATCATTCAACGCAGAATCATTGATAATTATGTTAAATTTTTGAAATTAGAAAGACTGGATAAAAAGAATACAAATTATGGGGCTTCAAAGTTTTTTCTGGAAAAAACAGTTTTTTGCTCTAATTTTTTTTTTCATCAAATCTTGCTAATTTCAAAAATTTAACATAATTATCAATGATTCTGCGTTGAATGATACTAAATACTTGATGGTTGGACGCTCCTAGACCCACTCATTCATAATCGGCTACGGGGGTCCCACCGATTTTGAATGAAACGTTGTAGCGCCGGCAATTTTGAACCTAAACGCCCAAATTTGGTACCAATCGACGCAGAATTCAATTCGCTACAAGATGATATAATATTGTCCTCATACATTAAAGGGTTGCTCTACTAGAAAGATTTGCCAAAAAATTTCATTCATAATCGGCTACGACATATACATGTAAATATTTTAGTGATGGGCCAACCCTCGAGATAAAAGCATTCAATTTGGTTGATGTCGGTTTGGTGGCTTTTTCATGTCAATACACTTTGGTATCTTTGAAACTCACAAAAATTTATATTATCACTTTAGCCAGAAAATGTTTGTTCAAAAGAAGTCACTTATTCGTACTATTTTGGAACTGACCCAGGACTTGCGAAAAACGAAAGATATCATATTATGGAAGCTACGTAATATCTTCAGCATTGTACAAAATGAAGCCAGTTGGGAAACTAAATATTGAGCTGGTGGAAAAGTCCTTTCCGATTTTTTGGGAGAGTACCTGAAATTTGTCCAATTTTGACGTTTTATAGCTGATCCTAAAGCTGAATTGAAGACGGATCGATTGGTAAAAACCGTTTTGAGATATCTCTTTTCTAAAAGTTTTTACAGCTATTTTAGTCAAGGGCGGCAGAGCCAAAAAATGGCTGTTTTCACGTTTCGTTAGTTTTCCGTGCAGAAACCTAGGCTAAAAACATGTGTTTCTTGATCAGCGTCAAAAATAACCCCTAGACACAAATTTTCAGAATCTTAGCAAAAAATTTTTGAAAAATATTGTCACCGGTGGAAGTCGAACCAGCGACCCTCAGATCAATAGCCTTCTCGCCGCTTTTCGCGATTTTCCTTCGTTTTTCTCGTTTCTTCGTTTCTTCGTTCTTGCACTATCGAGAAGTGAGAAATTTCCTTCAAGAAATCGTCAACTTGACACGGCATTCCTGAAAGCCTTCCAACAACGATTTCGTGACCGAACGAACTATCCGGAATTATCCGGAAAAACGAGAAAAACGAAGGATCTCCCAAAAAATCGGAAAGGACTTTTCCACCAGCCCAATATATCATCACAGCGTGCTGTAATTGAGAACAATAACCATTAGACTATATGAGTTGTGCTTTAATATTAAAAAAAAAATTTCAACTTCCCAATGATTTGCTTAGAGTTGATGGCTCGCCGATTACCACACGAACCCGTGCCACGAGCGTATTTACAAACGAAGAATGTGCATTTTGTCTTCGCTATCAACCGAATCAGCGTAAATATTTGTATTCCTTAAGTGATAAGTAAGTAATATGATTGACTTTTAATATCGTTAGAGAGCATGTGAAAACTCTTAGAAGTTTTTCAGAGAATCAATCTATTCTTGTAGAGATCTATTCTTGTCAAACCGACACTATTGTATTAGGTTGTAAACTAAGTCTTGATCCCAAATTCAAAACAATATTTATTGACAACCGAAAGAGCAGTTTAATCGAAATAGTCTCCATTATTCGCGATGACTTTTGCCCATTTTACTGGCAATCGGCGGATTCCCCTTTCATAGAAAATTTTTGGTTTTGAGTCAAAATAGTCTTGGAGCCACTTTTTGAGGTCTTCTTCATTTTGGAAAAGCCCTCCATTCAGGGTGTGTTGCATCGATCGGAAAAGATGGTAATCTGTAGGACTGAGGTCAGGAAAATATGGTTGGGGGGGTAAGAGTTCCCAGTTCAACTCGTTGATTGTGGAGCGGGTCAACCTGTGAACCGGCGTTGTCGTGCTGGCGCATGACCTTTTTCAAATTGGGGTGCTTTTCCATAATTTTCTCATCGAGTTTTTTGAGCTGATCGCTGCATAATTGAGCATTGATTGTCTGCTTATTATCGAGAAGCTCCCAATAAATGACACCTAAGAGATCCCACTAAACCCATAGCATGTCTGGTGGGGGTCTGGGAGCACATTCTTTGCTGGTGTAACTCCAGGTCCCACCCATTGTCGTTTTCTCTGAAAGTTTACAGTCATAATCCACTTCTCATCTCCCGTCACTACATGCGGCAAGAAATATTTCCTTTCGAATCTGGAAAGAAGGGCACCTCTGCCCTTTCATGAGAGAGGTTGCAGGGCACCCATTGACCGTAAATCGGTTTAAAACCCATGGTAAGGAGACTTTCTGGATTGTGTTTTTGAATAAAGAACTGATAATTCAATATTTTGAAGAAAAACAGGGAATGCCCTCCGTAAACGTAAACAAAATTTCAAAACTTTGCGGAGAGAGTCAAGACTTCCAACCTAATAACTTTGTAAAGGGCATTTCTATACTAAATACTTTTGTCATTATTTCTTTTTAAATTTCAATTATTATTTGACATAACCTACAAGCTTTTAATTCTTGATTGTGTTTAAAAAACCTATGAATCATAAATGGTGTTTTCAGTTTATATGTACCAAGAAGAAGTGGCGGTCTGGACTCCATACTACTTTCCCTGGTTTCCAGATAATGATGCTCAAGACAGGCTTTCCTGTTACTATTACCAAGATCAATTTCAGACGGTTAAACAGTTTTTTAAATCGATATGAAACCCTTCATAGAGCGGGCAAGAGGTGCAGGCAACGTTCGAGGTGAAACTAATTGATGGTGGTGCAATTGATTTCAAAGCTTACCCTGCGCCAATTTGCAATTACAATGGTCATGAATCTTTCACTAAAACGTTGAGTTTTTTTTCGTTTACGAAACAAAAAAGAAGACATTTTGAGGTTTCTCCCCGAAATGTCCGGAACCAAATTTGAGTTCATTGCGGTTTGCTATAAGGTTTCTTTACATAAATGCAACATTGAATTTTTTTTAGATCTTTTGGTGTCCTGACTATGACCAAGAGCCAGCTCCAGGCAATGGATATGTGGTGTTTCTGAAAGTTAACTCCAATAAAACTTTAGACAGTGGCTAAATTTTTACAACTACAGTACCCCTTGCTTACTAAAAGCACCACTTTTTATTTTTAATGATTTTACGTTGATTAATAAAATTTTGCATCATCTTACTCAAAATCCACAAAAGTTCACATAGAAGTTCTGCGGTTTTTTTTACATTGGAAACCACCTTTGTTTGGTTCTCGGGGAAGATTAAAAGGGACGGTACTTAGGGGTGACACACTCTTTTCAATATACTCAAAGTTTTGAAATTGAATGTATCTAAAGTTATTTTTTGTTTGTTTTTGCTCTACAAAATCTCAAATAAGAGAAATTGTTCTTGAAGAGACTGTTCCCTCATATGCAATTCATACCTTCAGATTGGCTCAATTCAAGGTACTATTAGATTTGCTAAATAGAATAACTGAAAAAGAAATCTCGTAAATGTTGTACTATTAGGTTGTTCGGATATAAGCGAGCGTTTTAGTAGTCGACAAAATTTACCTTAAAAACAGAAACAACACAGTTTAATCCAAAGTATATTCACCATTATTATTGATTGCTTCTTGCCATCTTTTGCGCAAAGAATTGATGCCGCTCTTGAAAAACTCAGCCGGCTGTGACTCGAAAAACTTGGCGACCCAATTTTGGACATCTTCACGGTTTTTGAATTTCTCATTGGCCAAAAAGTTTTGAATCGACCGGAATCAATGGTAATCTGAGGGAGCCAAATCGGGAGCATACGGCGAATGTGGTAAAACCTCCCATTCTAGATTCTCCAGTTTTTGCTGAGTCATCTTTGAAACGTGAGGTCTAGCGTTGTCATGGATGAACTTTATCTTTGATGTGGGTACTCCTTGACGAATGAGAACCTCATTGACCCGATCCAGTTGCTGTTTGTAGAGGTCGGATGTGACTGTTTGGCCGGGTTGTAGAAGCTCAAAATAAACAAGACCCTTGTTATTCCACCATACTGAGAGCATGATCTTTTTCCCATGAATGTCCGGTTTCACGGTCGGATTTGGCCGTTCTCCTGGTCCTAGCCATTGCCGTTTCGAATAGTATTATCGATCCACTTCTCATCTCCAGTAACGAGAGAATCAAAAAGCCATGATATTTAGCCTGGCGGATGAAGATTCCGGCAATAGTGACCCGTGAAGCCTTGTTTGCACTGCTTAACGTGTGAGGAAGCCATTTCCCGCATCTGATCGTCTTTCCAATGGCGTGGTGATGCTCATCAATGATAGAATTTGAATATGGAAACTGTTGAGCAAGTTCACGCGTAGTTTGACAAGGATCCGGTTCGATTGCAGCCCTCAAAATATCGTTGTCTACCCCTTGAGGTCGACGAGAGTGTTCATCATCATCGAGACTTTCATCACCATTCCGAAAGCATTAGAACCAGGCTCGGCATCGGCTTTCGGTCAATGCATCATTCCCAAATGCTTTGACCAAATCTCGACGAAATTCAACGGCTGTTTTGCCCAGTTTTAAGTCGTAAGACAGGCAAACGCGAACTTGATGTTCGAAATCGGTCATCTAAAGCAAGAAAAAAGATCTTAAAAATAAGAAATTATCCGTTTAAAAAGTTTCCAAATATGCGCAAGATAACGTACTTTTAAATACAGAAAGATATGTTTTAAAAGCTTCTCTCACAACAAAAAGTTTAGCAACGCTTGTTTATATCCGAACAACCTAATACAGTCATGTAGAATGACGTGTCATTCTTTCTTCAACCCCTCAAAATCGACCAATCCAAAAAATAGGTAAGCGGACCACATGAATCAAAAATTTAGAATTCGTTAAAAACTATTTTAAACGATGGTTTAAAATAGTTTTAACCAAAACGTACAAAAACACGTTTAAAAGTTAAATTCTTATCTTACCCGCAACCCCCGTTGGATCTGCAAAAAAAAATCCATATAGGGGACCCTTATGATTTTTTTCAAAAATCGTGTTTTAAATTTTACTGCCAATAAAATTTTATTAGGTTTTAGGTTCAGGTCTATCCATAGAACCCCCACAACGGGGTAAAATCAAGATTTCAAGGGGTGTCATTCTACTACAGCGTTTACCTTGAATAAAAAAGATATATTCTGAATTATCATTTAAAAAGTGGAGCAATTTTGAGCAACAAAATATAAACCTTTTCAGAGCATCACAATTAGTGCATTTGATGGGGCTGACTTTGACATTGATTACGCTCAGAACGGATGCAACGCTGTACATTTGGTAAGCTTTCACTTTATGAACTCTCAATCTTTTTGCAGAGTGAACCGGATCGGTCAAATGTTGAGCAGATCAATGCTCCTTGTTGGGATCCATTACCTTTCAGCATCGAAGGAAGAACTTTGACGGCCGAGTCCGGTGAAGTGATGTATGTGATAGACTGGCGCACTCACAGTTTACTAAATTCTCAACAACCCATTTCAACTAAAAAAGCAAATCTGCTACCGTAATACCTGTAATAGTAGCTCCGGCGCTACTATTAGAGAGGGTGCTACTAAATTTTCTTCCTAAAAATTTTTAAACAACCCAACCTGGAAGCTTTCAAGATAATTCAACAGATTTTTTTCAGCTTTGAATTTAATTTATTTATCTTTAACAAAAATAACAGTAAAATCAAACATAAAAACATACCAATTATCAAAGCAAATTGATACATCCGAATCAACAAATTCGTAATTTTCTTCTTCCTGATCGTTAACTTCTCGGAATTCCCAAAGTCTTTTTAATTAAAGCGCCACCAGAGGACCATTAATTTCTTTCTCCATTCGAGCGTCTTTCAGCAGCTTTAGCCCATTTGGAATAGCACCGTCGGCCTTGAAGCGCTGAATCATATTGTCCTCATCACCGTTTGCTGCAATTCCGATGCCGCATCCCTTAAAAGGCTTTTGAAGAGTCCGATCGTGCAGTCAGACAGAAGCGTTCATTTTATCGTAGCTTCTGGTTAGCATACCTACTTCCCGCACACTACAACTGGTGTGCGGGAAGTAGGTGTGCTAATCCGAGGCTATCAACAACAATCAACACACTTGCTCGACAGAATTGACAGAATCAAACACAGAGTCGAGTCAAACAGCCGTTTCGTCATATGCAAATACGTGCTTGAAACTGTTCTCTTCGTTTTCTTGTTCACGTTCAGGAAATGGTTGACAAGAATTTTCTCAAATTCGCTAGGAATCTTTTAACATGTTGTGGTCGCCGCTCTCAATGAGAATTGTTGCCGCTTTAGAAACGACTCCATCCAACCGTGACTTCTTTTGAAGGGAATCTCTGCATCAGCAAATCGATTAACCGCTTCGCTCCAAATCATTCGACGGGTCACTCGCTTTTTTTCGCTCCTTTTTTCAAGAACCCATATGGCCAAAGCTTCATCAATTTCTTTTGAGGTCAAAGCGCGTCCGCCACCATCGAGCCGCTTTCTTTTTGCGTGCATTTTGCTCAGCTCATCTTTTTGCTTGACGTATCGTTGGACACAAGCTCGGTCAATTTTGTAGAACCTGGCAGCAGCATGTACGGAAACTTCGTGGGCCATTTTTGCAGCATCGGGTTTAGTCTTCGCATCTATTGATTTTTTTTCTTTTGCTTTGGCTTGTTCCTCCCCTCGTTTGCTTCTTTTTTCGATTCCACGTGCAATTCTTTGTTCAATTTACGTTGATGTTCTCGTCCTTCTTCAAAGAATCCATTTAGTCCGTGTTCACGTCGATTGCAAAACGCTTCAAAATCATCCCAGCTTTTGTGATCGCACATCAAACCTAAAAAAATTAAAAATTATCTAAGAAAACGAATAAGAAATGCTAGAAAAGCAGTAAAAAAAGGTGAATAATTGAATGAAAATGTAGTTGCAAGCTAAAAAACCAAAAGCTGTATATCTTGAGTTTTCTCGTAGACATTAAGATATTCAGTTAAGGGGCGCTACCATTACAGGTATTACCGTATTACTAGTACCCAGTTAAACAAAATGTTTTCGAAATGTCATCTTTCTTAGGCTTTACACCCATGCAAATGATTCTTCTGGTGGCGACTTCCAAGGATTTTTCTATATCACTCGCTTTAAAATCATGAACGCTTCTCAATTGGTTGTTAGAGCAGCCAGCAAATCAGGCACCGAATCTGCAATTTCGTTTCAAGTCCGTCAATGGGTCGATGGTCTGTTTCGGGTTCTTCTAACCGCAAGTATTGGGTCGGTGGAAAAGTCCTTTCCGATTTTTTGGGAGAGTACCTTAAATTTGTCCAATTTTGACGTTTTATAGCTCATCCTAAAGCTGAATTGAAGACGGATCGATTGGTAAAAACCGTTTTGAGATATCTCTTTTCTAAAAGTTTTTACAGCTATTTTAGTCAAGGGCGGCAGAGCCAAAAAATCGCTGTTTTCACGTTTCGTTAGTTTTCCGTGCAGAAACCTAGGCTAAAAACATGTGTTTCGTGATCAGCGTGATCACGAAACATCACGCTGATCACGCTGATCACGAAACACAGCCACTTTTTGGCTCTGCCGCCCTTGACTAAAATAGCTGTAAAGACTTTTAGAAAAGAGATATCTCAAAACAATTTTTACCAATCGATCCGTCTTCAATTCAGCTTTAGGATGAGCTATAAAACGTCAAAATTCGACAAATTTAAGGTACTCTCCCAAAAAATCCGAAAGGACTTTTCCACCAACCCAATACAAAGTAACGTCTAACTATCCGCAAATCCAAGTACAGAATAAAACATGAAATATTAGGTTTACAAATCATTTCCACTCTGCTAAATCGACAAAAATGTTTCAGAAAACAAAAAAACATTTGTCGTACCTGGGCTCAATAACGACACAAACTCTGCACAAGATTCATTTTTTGTTGTCGTCAAAAATAACTATATCGTCACTGTGGTGCCAAGTCCGGAAACTTATCGGTAAATGGGATATTTTAGCTTTAAGGATACATTTTGGTGATAAATTTAGCCTCAACAATGAGGGACCTCTCACAATGATCAAGTTTATACAAACCGATCCTCTTTCGACAAACCCCGAGTGTAAGACCTTTCAGGTAAAAGAAATAAACAAAAAATTAATCCGAATTAACCTAAGTAAATCTTAGAATAGAGTTTAACACACTTTAGACTTAGCAAACTCTAGAAAAGTAGCATACTCTAGAAAGCAAGTAGTGAGAACGAAGCACTAGCTATTTAGTTGTTAGATTAATCCATTAAGAAATTTCAGCAGGAGTTATCATGCCTAAACCATGTTCAAGATAGTTATCCCGTGTACGCTGGAGGAAATCCAGGTCTAAAGAGGAATGCGAGTCATCTAGTAATTACAATTGGGTAAAATATCAAAAATTTTCCTTGAAACTAACCCACCTAAAATCAAATAGTAGCGGCGTTAAAGTGCACGTGCGATCAACAGCAGTGACCGCTTTTTCACAGAATGGTTGTGATTTCTGTTTTCAATTCGATTCACGATTTCCGGGTTAGTTCATGTTACACAAGATCCAGCAATAAAGTCGTAACCTACTAAGAATTGCTTGCAGAGGAGGAATTGCTTGACGTCAATTTGGACACAACTACACTTTGGACGCCATTTTGGTACCCTTGGCTTTTCGATCAGCCGGATTTGATTGCTTATGCCTTGATGAATTCACACCAATATTACAACAAAGCTCCTAAAGTTTTAGCGGTTAGTGAATACTAACGACACAAACACAGCAAAACGAGTTCAGCAAAATGACGAATTATGGTCGTTGTCCGTTGATCGTTGTGATGGTGGAAGACTCCAAGTGAATGGATTTCACCTGACTGGCCAATCGTGTGGAAACACCTATACACCCGCATTTGAGCTCGTTTTTGATAAATTAGCAATTATATTGAATACAGTATAGTATATTTAATCTTCATATGATCGAGTTACCGAAAAGTTATCCATTTAGAGTATGATACATGGCACTGGCTAAGACACTGGCTAAGACATTGGTTAAGACATTGGCTAAGATTACCAAGACAAGATTTTGGAATTTATCACCCGGATCGATGATTTTCAAGCTATTGACGTTAAAGACCTCTGCCCAAGTGACATCAAGCTAGGCTAAATTCACCTACCGTAAATACTGTAATAGTACCCCATCTCATAATGACGGTGCGAAGTGTCGCGTAGTCTAGCTTTGGACGCGTTTTTCTCGACAATGGTTTATGCTACAATGCGCGCTTAGGTATCAAAAAATAGCTGAAATTCAGGGTTATTTTTTGATACCAAAGACACATTTTTGAAACTACGGGTGCTTTGCAAAAAATGAAATACTAAAAACTTTTTCGACTACGCGGCTGTACGAGGGGGTGTACGACTACGCAACTGTACGGTACGTAAATACTATTACAGTATTTACGGTAGGTATTAAACAGTTTAAAAGTCACAGTTGTTTTTTTACAATGCTAACCTTAAACCCAAAACTTTATAGCTTTGGGTTTTTTTCTTTATGATGCAGTTTTTGAATTTTAGTGGAAAAGAAAAGTCAACACAGTCCACTTACTTCTTCGCTGCATGCATCAATGTAATTTAAGTGAAATAGGTAACTTGTAGTGACAACTTAGATTTCTTGGTCTAACGATTTACCACCCGTTGGATATGCTGGATTTACACTTCGTTTGTCGTACCACCCATCAAGCCATCCGCCAACTCTCTGGACTGACGCTTTGGAATCAACGAGTACAGAAATGTGGACAGTATCAGAATCAGAAGAAACCCCAATTGACTCGTTTACCTTAAAAGCTGTGAGCTTGTCAATGCTCAACTTTTTTTGGATTTTAATAAATCTTTTTTAACTATCAAGTGTGAATATTTTGTTGATGAATGGTCAAAATCCCTATATATGAATCCCAAAAAACAACCAATGAGTCAACCATAAATTTATTACGTATTTACAATAATTTGCTATCATATTGTTAGTATTAGCTATTATGTTATGGCAAAAATAGTTTGTAAGCTCGATTGTTGGTCGTTTGTTGTTGTTGTTGTTGTTGCTGTTGTTGTTGTTGTTGTTGTTGTTGTTGATCAGCGTTTTGTTGATCATTTAGGTATATATAAGATGTCATTTTTGTTTCAAATTTTAGTGTTTTCTTTAGAACATCAAGATGTCTTCTTGGAAAAAGTGGACAATCATGTTTACCTTAACTCAATTTTTTGGTCATTCCAAAGCGTATGGCCTAAGCATTCACTTGACTGAGTCTACTCCATCTTTTGCTTTTCATGGATCGCGGTTGAACGTTTTCGGTGTAAGGAATTAAGCTATTCGACTTACATGATTCAAGGCTCTGCTCTGCCGCTGAAATAAAAGAACCATTTGACGTTTTAGATTCTCTAGAAAGACGATAAATATTGGGTTGGTCAATTGAAAACTGCGGGACTTTGAACTAAAATTTATTCAACATAAAACCATAAATTCATTCCAAATAATTTCCATTATTATTGACGACTTCTGCCCATTTTGCAGGCAATTTGCGGATTCCTCTTTCGTGGTAGGATTTTGGTTGTGTGTGAGACAAGACAAGAGACTCAAAAATGGAGGACTGGAGATGTCCCAGTTTGAGCACTTTCTTCAAAAGAAACCCATTTTGGTGTTAATAAAAAAGTTGTAGAGAACCAAAAATTAGGCTTATAGCCAAATTTTCAAAAAGATACACTTAGTAGTTTCGCTTAAAATGCAAGTTTTGTGAAAATTCGTAAATTTGGCCCTTCTTGAAAACCAGTTTTTGAATCGTTCTGAGAATTTGGCTATAAGCCTAATTTTTGATTCTCTACAACTTTTCTATTGACACCAAAATGGGTTTCTTTTGAAGAAAGTGCTCAAAATGTCACATATGACAATAGCCCGCAGTTTTCAATTCACCAACCCAATATATGTTTGTTTCCAGCAGATAAATAATAACAAGTAGTTGAGCATACGTCAGATATTTACAGCGTCAGATATCTTCACTTTTAGAACCTCATCATTTACATTGATGAAGCTGTCGATTTAATAATGGACTTCACGAAACTTCCCTGTAACAACAAAGCATGCACAGACCCACCTCAATTTACAGTAAACAACATCACTCTCGAAGTCGACAGTGACGACACCATTGTGTAAGCTGACTTTTTCAACTTTTTTAAGTGAAAACTGTTTGAATTATTATATACAAGTGCAGGTCATTTGCAACAAATAGAAACGACACTTCACCGTATGCTCATTACTGCGTGGCTCGTCTAAAGTTGAAAAGTTTAAAGGAACTTCATATTAGCCGAAATGATCAACGGTGCGATGCTGATAGCCAATATGCTGTTTCGTTTCGAGTAACAAAATGGGTAAACGGTTTGTTCTTTAACATTTTTAAGTAAGAAAAACAAAAAATATAATAGTAGTGAAAATTCGCAAACGAATCAAAGTCTTTTTTGAGTAAAAACAAAGTACAACAACAGCAAAAAGAGTCAGCAAGAATACCTGCATAAGCACCGTAATCTATTTTCAGAATCAGTCAATGTGCTTTTACTACCCGATGTCGTCAGGAGTACACTTAATTTGCGGGATGCGGATAATGATGCCAATTACTATTACTTTTTGATCGAGGAAAATACAATTGCCGTCGTCGTCCCAGATGAATTTCATTATGAGTCTGTTTGGAAACATTCAAGCAAACAAACAAATTTGTATTTAGCGATGGTCCATTTTCTCTTATAAGACCAATCAGTCGCGATTCTCTCTATTCGGCCGAATTCAACGATTGCCCACTTTATCGAGTATGTTTTGCTTCGAAGCACAAAGTGCTAGAGTTATTTTCATTCTTGGAAACTTTTAAAACCATTTTACAATTCTATTTTTTACACTTTACAAAATGAATCCTTATGGTTAACGCATTTAGAACAATATTACTTGTCCAGCTTATACAATTTACCAAAGCTATGCTGGTGGTGATCCAGGAAAAGCAATGCTGCCAAGACATCATCTTGGTGATGGAAAGTAAGTTTTATTGAAAATAGTGTCTTTGGAGGGTTTAGGTTAATAGTTGTAGCAATATTAGGCTTCTTTTGATTGATTTGGTTGAATACATTTGGAATTCTAAGAATTAGATACCCGATTATAACTACCGTAAATACTGTAATAGTACCCCACCGCCATAATGACGGTGCGAAGTGTTGCGTAGTCTAGCTTTGAACGAGTTTTTCTCGACACTGGTTTATGCTATAATGCGCGCTCAGGTATCAAAAAATAGCTGAAATTCAGGGCTATTTTTTGATACCAAAGACGCATTTTTTGAAAGTACGGGCGCTTTGAAAAAAATGAAATACTAAAAAACTTTTGCGACTACGCGGCTGTACGAGGGGGGGTGGGGTACTATTACAGTATTTACGGTAGAGTTTAGTGATCAAGAGCTTCGACTTTATTCAAGATCGTCAGCTACCAGTATTTTCCCTTATGATCATTGTCGATTTTGCCTTGCTTACAATTTTCATCCAGGAAGTAAGATAAGAGTTGTTTTGAACATTGCATTGAAAAGGAAAGAAAATTTTTGACTTTCCGTAACTGAGATATAGAGGACAAAATGTATTTGGATCGTTTCAATTTATTGGTGCCTCCGTTTTATCCATGGATCTTCGATGAATTCTATCAACCTAGCTACGAAAGCACGTGTTGGACAAGGCCTATCAAGATAAAGTCTTACGTGAGAAATTATATTATATTATATTAACTCCCGGAATATAGTTTAGAAGGATCAGCGAAAAGTACATGATCCTCAATTTTTCGCCGATTTAAAACGACTTAGTGGTGGAAGTGTCGAAATGAACACATATGTTTCTGATCAAAATAAAGCCTGCACGCAAACTTTATACTCCAGCAACAAATTGTTTGTTTTGGATGAATATTAATGATATGACAAATCTTGTGTTGCAAAAATTAAAGCCATTAATATGTAAGAGCTTTCATATAAATACCATTTTCGTCTAGCGGCTGCGGAGTTCTAAAAAGTGAGCCGTGGCCTCGTGGTTAGTGTGATACGCGTTACGCGTTACGCGTTTCTATACGCTTTCTATACGCTTTAAAATCTTCAATCCTATGAACTTTAAAATCTTCAATCCGCTTTTAAATAATCCCAATTTTAGCAGCAACACTCCACCCAACAAAACAATCAATTTTACGGGAGCTTGTGTTACGGTATTTTTGCTGTTTGCCTCCTTTGGGAAAGTCGATCCTTCAGGTCACATGGTGTGCCAACCGCACAAAAGATAACGAATCCGGTTTTCTTTTGAAAATCGTCGAAGATTCAAGTGAATTTACTGAACAAATTTTGTTGGACGAAGAAACCCCATCATTTGCCATTCACGGAAATCGGCTCAAGGATTTTGATGTTTCTCAGTTATTCTAGAGATAACTAAGTGCTTCTTTAGACGTTCGTAATCAAGGCGGCGCCAAACTCCACGTTTCTCATTGATGCTTCACAACAAGGATGTGAGCCTAACAACGAGACTTTATTAAATAAAGGAAAGGTAACAAGCTGTTTATTAAAATTTCTAGTTCAATCATTCTGTATTTTTGCAGCTAAACGATGTCCAAATCAAATGTAATGTTTCTTCTCTTTTTTTAATCAATGGTCAAAGTCTTGAACCGAGCAAAAAGAACAACGTGTAAATATTCTGAAATCTTGTCAAATCATTGTAAACACCTGACAAGTAAATTCAGAAGTTATGCTTCATATTCTAATGATGGGGATGAAAAAACCCACGTCCTAAGCGGAACCTATTATACATCGGGATACGAAATCATCGGCGATCAAATAATCTTAACACCGGCATTGAATCCGTTTACTTACGAGTTTGCTATTTCGGTTAGGATCAAAGAATGGGTTAATGGTGTGTTTATATACAAACAGGAACTTTTAAAAACTCATTTTAAGCCTCAAAGCAAATACTTGTACTCCCGGGACTATTTGCAAGAAAAGAAAATAATATTTATCGTTAAAGTTGCAAAAGGCGCTCTATGTGACACAAGAAATTGAAAAGTACGGCGAAAGCATCCGAGAAAGTAGGAGGGTCACGAGAAGACTCCGAAAAAATTAAATTTTGGCCAATTTGGAGAAAAATGTTACAGAATCGAGTGGTAAATAGAAATGGGCGAGGGCACAAAATAGAATTTAGTCTTTGGCAGCCAAGTGAAAAGAGCCATGTTTTTGGGGTTCATTTAACTATATGAACACTAATACATTTTTCTATCTTTTGAATACTCCAAGTAGATGCAATAAAAACCAGAACCATCTATTAAAAACGCATCAAATAAAAGGTAGTGCATCGTAGCAACAGTGAAAAATATCTGTTTGATGTGGCGGTAGCCGAGTTGTTATACTGTGTTCCTGTAGTTGGCAAAATTGTTGTTGGTGTTGTTGCTGCTGTTGTCGTTGTCGTCGGAGAAAGACCTGTCGCTGGATTAGGAGAAGTTGTTGGGTATTGGGTGATGGCTGGACAAGGGGTAAACGTTGGACAAGTAGGAGTTGTTGGACAACTGGTAACAGTTGGGCAACTAGTGCATGCTGGACAAGGAGTGATGGCTGGACAAGGGGTGATGGTTGGGCAAGATGAGATATTAGGAGCAATAGTTGGGCAAGAGGGTAAATTTGTCATGGTTGTAGAATCGATCTTTGTCGTTGTGGTGGCTAGTTCTGTCGTTTCCACAGGTAGTGTTGGACATGAGCAAGCAGTCGAAAATGAATCGACCGAAGTGGTGGCATTGGTTATAGTGATTGGTGATCTTGTTGTGATTGTATGCATTCCATTGTCTTCCCACACAAGTAACACATATCCTTGATCTGGATCTCCTAGCGGGTAATCCGTGCAGAATTGAATCTAATTCAGATTGTTTAGAAAAAAAAGCGATAAGTAACAAACATTGAAACAGTATGTTGAAAATCGTAGTGGTTCGTCTAGAGGAGCGAGAAATCTAAAAAGCCATTCAAATTCTGAAGTTTCTCATCTTTTGCAATGATATAAATAACTAACGTTTTCCTGAAAATGACAATATCACATCCGGCGTTATCATTCAACCATCCGAAACCAATTATTTGCAGTCTTCCACCTTTTAATTGTGGTAGCTCGAGGATCACGGGCCGAGGCAATCGGTTCTAAAGTGGAATAAACAAATTAGTGTCTCTTATTTAGCTATAATTTAAAATATAGCTAAGTTCAAATTACTGTTGCAGAAAAAAGAATGGTCCAAGTCCAACAGTCAGTATACAAATCAGCGCGATCGAAACTCCATGGATAGTAAAAGGAAGACCACATTGACGCTAGGTCCAACCCGGGTACTACTGAAAAGAGGTGGACACTTGAAACAAATCAAGAGTAATTTACCTGGGTTAATTGTGTATTTTAAGCAAAAAGCACAATTGTCAACAGCGAATATTGTGCTGGCACTTGTGCGGGGATTCAGAGGTAAATTGGCCCTGAAAAGAAACGATTGAACAATTTCCAATTGTCAGGAGAAAATTTCAACTTGAATCTTTTCAATCTTTTCCATCTTTTCAATCTTTTCAAAGAAGGTTTGTCTCTGCTATATAATAAAGCTTCTTACTCAAGATCGGTCAAGTGATTTCGTTCGTTATATTTTTTGCCCGGAGCTGATCCAAAGTAGATCGAATATTTGGCGTCGGTAGCGCATTTCTTTAAATCCTAAACAACAGAGGTAAGTGGTAAGTTGAAGAAATTGATAAAGTTCCCACGAAAGTACTATGCACAAACTTTCATCGAGTCAGCGTACAGCAGATTAGTTCTCAAAATAGAAACCTCGTCTGTTTGGCAAGTAGAGGCAAATGTTTGATCCCATTTTGTCGCTTCAAGTGCAACATTCGGACTATGGCTAAAAATTGTGCAGTTCTTTGAAAAGTTCTACGAAAATTGGAAAATGTGAATTGTGCATTATTTAAGGCCGCTTACTCGTAAGTGAGATTAGGTGGAAAGGTGACTGTTGTGATAACCCAGTTTTCTCTCACCAATACATAAAATGGATTATCCGGGAAACCACTTCCAGGCAATACAATCACTTTCTTTCCCTCTGAAAATAATTTTCTTCCGAAATTTTCGTGAAATCAAACCATCAACCCATTGTAGTACACGGAAAGAGATAGCGAATTCCAAATTTGAGTTTTCGCCTGTTAGTGTGACAGCTAGCTCTGATTCTTGAGAACATTTGAATGCAAATGCATAGAAGAACTCATTTGAGTTGTCTTGAAAAGGACTATAAATATCATTGCATTTTCAAATGTTTAGTAGGCTTTAAATTTCTAATCTTTATTTTTCTAATCTAAATGTTTCTAATCATTATTTGCAATTAGTTCTGTTAGTATTCTAAAAACTTATAATACTATTAAACCAATAATATCTTCATATGTCGTAGTCGTTTACGAAATTCAGCCGCTAAAGAATGAGGGTATTTTCGGGCAAGCTACATTGAACATTTGTTTTTTCAAAGCTAGGAGAAAGAGGGCGAGGAACGACCTCAGTTGAACTCGGTCACTGTTTTCACATTTGAGAATTGCCCTGAATTTGTTCCTCGCCATCTTTCTCCTACTTTCAACGAAAAATTGTTTTAGATGGCTTTACTTTAAGAAACTACATCAAATTGGCTACAAAATGAGCTATGTATTATGAACATTTTTTATGTGGGTGACTTTTTGATTGGATGCCCGGAAATACCCTCATTCGTTAGCGGCTGAATTTCGTAAACGGCTACGACACATACATGACTTCTTGTTGTCCATCCGACGGATCCAAATTGTTCCAATTAATCGTAAATGGTATTGGATCTTTGCAGATATTCTGGGAATTAGCATTTTGACCATTCTTTTGACTTGAACTACCTCTTGTTCTGTGGTGCATCCACGCTGGGTGTAGTCGATCAAAAAGTCACAGCCATCACAGCCAAAAACCGTTATACTCTGAAATTCAAAAGCATTTGAATTGTTGAAGAAAACTTAAACTATTTTCGTATTACCTCCAGTTTTTTCAGTCTCATACCATGAAGTGCAAATGATGGATTTAGCTCGTCGAGAACAAACTCGTTGTACTTGGCGGCATCGTTTTTCTGCTAATAAACAAATACTTAGCTAATATTATAAAAACAAACCCATAAAAGGCAAATTAGTAAGCTGACTTTCAGAAACGACATTTCTGCGATTCGACATCCAAAAAGCATCTCTGCCAGAACTAAACCCTCATTTCACTTTTCTGCTCTTCTTATTGTGTGATTTTATCGGTGAATCAGCAACAAAAAAAATGATCGAAGCCTTCCTGGTCGTTCGAAAGCCTTCCTCAATTTGTGAACTTCCTAGAAAATGCTATTGTTTTGCAAATAGCAGGAAATGCGGTAAAAAGTTAAATAAATAGACTTTTCGACTTTTCGAAAAGACTTGATTGACTGTTCATTTAAATCAAGCAGACCAAAGTTGAAAGCACTGCTTTGTAAAGAGACTTTCATTCTCTTTACAAAATCTTTCATGATTGCTTCATTTACTAATCAAATGCATAAGAAGTTTTCATTTTTTAAATCTTTCAGGACGTCTTTTCGTTTCGTTTCGACGCTTATCGTGAATCGGTATTGTAAGGACGAGAGATTGTGTGGGCGTACAACGTATCCAACACCACAACTCCAGTGTTAGGGCTTTTGGGCTGCACCTTTGGATTTACCCATTTTAATCCTCAAAAATACTCAAACTTGACGCTTTAAAAAATGTTTTTAGAAGAAAATAAGTCCTCATGAGCCTTCGTTATCTTTGTGACACCAAACGTTGTTTTGATGAATTTCAAAGATATTTTTTGGGGGACCGTCAATAAAATATGAAAGTTTAGTATTTGCGTGATTATGAATAGATAAATGTTTATTGAATCCGTATTTTGATAATAATCTTACTCTCACTCAATATTTAACAGCACAAACTGCACATAAGCTCAGAACAATCGGCTCTTCTGTTTATGCATCCACTTTTACAGCAATCCGAGCACATTCCTGTCCCACATAAAGGATTTTTCGCAGCACATCCACCGGCTCTTTTTACTCGATTCAATGTTGATAGCTGGAAATTTGATTTTTCTTTTTTTGATCACTGATAACCATTGAAAGTAACAAATTTCAAACTAAAAGTCTATTATCACAAACCATTTGATTCTCGCTGGCGTTATTCTCATTTTCCATGCATGAAACAAGTCCAATGATGACCGAAAGTGTGCAAATGAATAACAGAAGTCCTTTCAACATGATGGAATTTCACTAAAATGTTTTTTGATCTAATTGTATGGTTATAAGAGAATGTGAATTAAAAGGCAAAACCAAAGCAGAACGGTTGCTTCATTGTTAGCTGACAGATCTAAGAAGGAAATGCTCTAAGAAGGAATGGCTGGTGAAGGACACGTGATGCGATGAGTGGACAATGAAATGGGACTGCTTTTTGACTTGATCTTTGTTTGTTGAGGACTTATCGGCAAAGAAGGGAACAACAATCAAGGACAGAATGCGGAATGGAATTTGTTTGTTGACAAAAATGTTGACAATATGTGTTTGAATTGAAGCTACAAGACGATAATGTTGTCTTCAATTACAGCAAGTCTTATTTGCTTCAATACTGTTCAAATGGAATATTAACATCTCTGAAATCTAAAAATCAAACGGTTTGCAACTTGAAAGTAGCTAAAGTCATGTGTTTGACAACACTTTGTCTCTAACTAGAGACTTTCAAAAGAATTTAACATAAACTCTGGCGATATTAAGCATTTTCCTAATGTCCTTCAATCAAATTCTCATGATTTTTCTTCATGAACATGCAATGATTGCAATGGGAAAGCGGGAATGCCTTAAAAAACAGGATGTCTCAAAAGTTCAGAGCCACCTTGTTTTTCGGTCGTTAAATTCAGCTTTTAAGATAACAAAAAACTATTCAAAGCGAAATATAAATAAATGTTTGTAATTATAGCAAATTTGTGTTAAATTTAGGCCTTTGCAAGGAAAGAGCAAGTCTTTTAATTGGCAATATATCGCCAGAATCAACCGAAATGCATGACCGCTTGAATTTCTCTCAAAAGCCAGAAATTTCTAATTAAACGTAGTCACTCAAAAGCAATCCTATTTTTTTAAACTCTTTCTAGACGAATAGCAAAATTTGAGGTTGATTGAAGTTGAAACGCAAAACTTATAGCTTATAGAACTTTTGAAACACCCTGTACAGTGTTGCCTTTTAAGCAACTTTTTGGCTTTCGAAGACAAGACATTAACCTAAACTGAAAAACAACAATTAATCCTAAAATCTACGCGTAATTTTACATAGAATAGAAGAACCGTAACATTTTTTAGTGACTTTGACAACCCTAGCCGAGCAGTACAAAAAATGCTACGCCGAATGCTGAAAAAAAGTTAAATTCGAGTTTGGTGCCTCTAAAAATCTCCTTTTCCGTCTTTTTCTGCATTAATACGCTTTTAGAGTTAATTACTATAAAAATAGTGCTTTTTGAGCTTCATTATTGCAAATGCGAGCTTATCCTGGCTAACAAAAATAAGCACATTTTTGACAAATCTCATTTTTTCGAGCAGCCATCGAGCAAAACTCATGGTTTAAAAACCTTTTCATTGAAAAAAAACAAAAATTAACATTAACAAATTTATTCTCTAGATTGCTTTCAACAATTTGTTTTATTTCTTCTCGAAAATATCTTCATGAGCGGTTGCACAAGACGTTTTGGGAAGCCGTCGATGGTGACCAAAAGATACGCAGGATCGAGTTCAGCTCAAGATTTCTGCAATCATTTTTTCAGTGAATCAAGGCTTGAACGTGATTGTGAGCAGGCTTTTGCTTTGAGAACAGTCCAGACTGAGTAATTCATCGGATTTAAATCGAGGCTTGATGATGGCTACTGCTTAAAACTCGTTGAAATGGCATCGGATTGTATAGGTACTTTTCGCGAACCTTCTTAACACTCTTATTTGTCGTTACGGTAGCTTTTCGGCCCGGCCTGATCGATCAGCAGTTGTTCCAACATCATTATATCGACGAATTGTCTTGGAAACAACCGATTTTGCCACCATCAGCCTTTGAGAAATCTCAATTGGCCAAACTCCTCTCCGAAAAAGCTCAATAATCGAATCTTGATGAGTAGATTTCCTCACCATACCTGACCAAAATTAATTTTAAATGAGTAAATAACATTTTTTAGAGTCAAAATTTGCATAATAAACAAAAAGTAGAAAAGATTTTCAACCCAAAAGCGCATGACAGCAAAGCGCGTTAAACGGAGGTTGGTTTGGGTAATTTTGGGGCATCCTTTATATAACTCACCCTGTATTTGTTTGTGCCCATCAACTAGTCTTATAGAGTTTCAGTCTTTGTATACTTCTTTTTTAATTTTACCTCCGTAATAAAGTATTAATAGGTAAGCATAAACAATCAAAAAGTGGAGTAAAGTGGAGAGAATTGTTACTCCAGAAGGATATTATTTACGATATTATTTAAAGATATTATTTTTACGATAGATAAAACCATTTTGGGACTAAAGTTTGATATAAATAACAGTTACTCACAAGCATGTCGGCACAATTCTCTTCATCTTCTTCGCATAGAATTGCATTGTTTTTTCAGCGGTGATGTTCAGTCCGGAAAAGTTCTTTGCCAGCAAATAACCGGATATAACAAAAAAGCTGAAAGTTGGGGTTTTAGGTAAACTTTAAATTTGATTTATGTGTGAACAGCATGCTCTCTTAAAGCATTTCCATAGTTGCTGTGAGAGAGAACGACAGAGATCGCTGAATAGCCGCGAAAAAACTGTAAACTCACTGTTTTGTCTGGAGCTAAGCGAAAACTGATGGATAACAAGATATTGCCAAAAAGTATCAAAATATAGCTGGGCTTTTATTCAAGAATATGACCGACTTGTACAAAAAAAATGACCGAATTGTACTGTCTTCCAATTTCACATGAACAACCCTGAATTGAAGCGATTTTCCCAGCGTTTTCCCTCCCTTGTTCAGCTTTTGTTAAAGGTCGAAAGATCTGATCAACAGCCATGTTGATAACTTCAAATATTGTTGAAAGAATAGCAACTAAAAGAATAATATAGCTAGTTTTCAAAAGCCAAGTACCAGCTGAGATTTGTTCAAAGAGAATGATAAGTTCTTTGTTCGTTCCACTCAGCCAGCCGCTGTTCCGGGAATAAAAGTCAGAGAAAAGTGTGAAAAACAAACCACTTGATCTGAAAGTTCTAAGAAAGGGAATTTTTGGGAATTGCTTTTCATTATTCATCACTTTTCTCTTTTCATTCATCATTATTCATCATTTTTCTCTTTCCGTTGCACAATTTTGTAACTCTTGCTCATATTTTCGCGGAAAGACATCAAAAAAGGTAACAGAGTGAAAGATTGTTTGACTCTTTTTGGCTGAATTCCTGGATCATCTTTTTGGTAATTCAAAATGCATATAAAAGCCCTTTGATTCAACTTAATTTCAACAAATCTTTTCATTCAACAAAACCAAAATGAAGATCTTCTCATTCCTTCTCGTTCTTGTTAGTCTTCTCGTTGTTACCGAGTGAGTCTATCTTTTATTTCTCAAGAATAGATCCAATAGCTACCGTACCAGCAATTAAGCCAATTAGTCTAATTATAAAATAAACAATTAGTATGTGTAGTACTAAGCTTGAAGCTGTGAGTACTAAGCTTTAATGTGAACAAATTTTAGTGCATGTGGAGCTTTCTGGCATTGCGGCCGAAAGAGGAGAGAGGTTGCTCCAGCTGAATTCCCATCTGAGTTCCCATCGAATGAGTGAGGATTTTTGATTCTATAATAGTCGTAGAAATTTAGCACTTGCTATCCTAATGAAATCCATTTTAGCTTCAGCTCAAAATTCGTGAAGCGATCCGTCGGACTCGACGAATAAAAACACTTCAAAATGTTTTAAGTAACAACTTTTGGAAAGCTTCTTTTTCATTTTTTCAAATAAAATCTGTTCATTGAGTATTTAGCGCTTTGAATGTTGCAAAGAAATAAAGTTTTCAGCTTTAAAAAGACAGTTTTCAGTCAAATACGAGTTCAAATTATTCATTGTTTATTTCCAAAAAGACAATAAACAACAAGATTCATGAAGTTTCCAACTTGAAAAAGAGTCAGAAAAAGAAAATGTTTGGTGAGGTAAAAGCCATGGAGTTTTAATGGTAAATCTCTGAAATTCAATTGGATAAGTTGAAGAAAATTACGTTGCTGTCTTCTTTTCCAGATGAGAAAACTTCTCAGGAACACTGACCAAAATGACGCACGCCATTGTGGTTGTGAAGATGCAAGTTAGGAGAAAGATTCCTAAAAGAATATTTTAACATTATCAGAACTTTTAGGATTATCAACAATCTCCAATTTCTGCAGTTAGAACTGTTTCAAGTGCTCACCTAGAAGTGAAAAATGCCTCCTTTTGGGTATTTGTTGTGAGACCATATCGACGAAGGTCGTCATTGACATCATACTCGTCAAAGCGATGCTCTAAAAATTGATAAAAGACTCATGAACGTTTAACAATCCGGCTAAAACTAATCAGAACTGGTACTAGTACTGACTAGCTAAAACTAGTCAGTACCAGTTTTGTTTCCCAAGATAATTCATTACTTTGCTCAGCTCTTCCTTTTTGACATTCTCTGTCCAACCAATGATCGATAGAAAAGTCAAGAGAAAACAAGGGATGGTGATCACATAAATGTAGAGGCTCGACTCTCTTTTACCTTCAATGAAACGCCTTCCTAAACATATGCCATTTTTATACCTAAAATGATGGTTGTTAAGCTTTTTTGACTGAATGTTGACTTTCCTTGAAACAATTTTGAAAACTCATCACTCCATCAACCCCACTCGCATTCAACGGCGTCTTAGAAACATTTGTGATAAGAAATTCTCCATTTCCAAGCTAGATTTTGTTTGCTGAGACTTACAAATAATACTGTACCTTAAGCTTTGCCTAAATTGCTTGAAATCTCGAAAAACGCTTATCAGAACCTATCGATGTGGGGTCGAAAAATGTAGCTGATGATGAGATCTTGTGGGGGATTAGAGTGTTGAGCCTAAAATAGTTATCAATTCTGCTCGTCGCGGTGCACTATATTAGGGAAAATACAGGCACAGCTACGGGTACTTCTTCTCCGTATTTCTTGAAAAGCTCTCCTTGTTGGTCGATACTTTCCGAATTTGTCCTAGCCGTCCTGCTGCACTTTAACAGTATCTGAGTTTTGATAGTAACAAGCCTACACTACCAAAAAACCAGCCATCAATCCCAAGTTGAGCATAATCTACCGAATCTGCTTGACCAGATAGAAATTGTGAAAAAAAGTTAATAAAAGGAAAACAATATGGTTTATCGGTTAAAGTTTGGGAATAAAAGCTTGAAGTTTTTGCACGTCAATTGCGCAAACAATAGTGAACGGCTGAATGAAATTTGAGATCACACTCAAAGGATCAAAAAGACAAAGCGAAAATTGTGTTTCGACGAACATTCTAGTTCAAAAAAGACAAACATCGTAACCAAATTTTGTTAGAAAGGTTTATTTCAGAAAGAAAATGAGAACATTTGGAATCTTGATGGTAGTTTTGTTTCATGAGTCCAATCAAACGGCACTCTTCATGAATTTTGAGCTGAATCTGAAATTTGACATGAAATTACCATTCTTTAGGCTAGACTTGAAGAGATTTAGTCTTAAATATTAGATTATGGGACATTTGCCGTTGCCCCGTGTCCCGACCCTTCTGCCATTGGCAATCTAACTTTGAGCTTAAATATCTTGGTGTTGGGTTGTCCAATTTAAAGAGTCTTTGTACCAATCAGTAGAAAAAGACTTGGCGCATCTAATGATACCAAGAATAGTTAAATTGGACAAGCCAACAGCAAGATATTTGAGCTCAAAGTTGGAATGCCAATGGCAAAGGAGCCGCGGAGCGTATCAAATGTCCGACATCCTAAAAATTACTTACACAACTGGGGCAACGTCTCTCTTGAACAGATTAATCGGACACGGTGGGTATATGCATTCAATTTGAGGGTAGAGCTCTCTCTTCTTTCGACCGCAACTCCATAGAGCTCCGCAGGCACTGAAAACTTATTTTATTTGAAAACATACTTTAATCAAAGAAGTTTAGAGAGCTATCTTGGCTAAATGTTTTGTTCTGGAAGTTATAATTAGCTATAATAATTGAAAGACTTTGCAGTACTTTAGAAAAAACTAAAGTTGTCACCATTACAAATTGTTAGTAGTAGTCCTCTTTCTAGGGCTTTGAACTAACTTTCTAGACTTACTCAGAGACGACAAGAAGACTGGCAAGAACAAGAATGAATGCGAAGACCTTCATTTTGGAGTTGTTTAATGAGGAATGAATTGGTTGCAAAGTTGAGAGTCCTTGCTTTTATACGATGAACAATGTGTTCATTTCTAAATTCTGATCCAATGATTCATTGCAATTCGTGAAATCATCGTAATCATTATATTTTGTTTCTTGGAAGAATCTTTTCTTCGAAAAACATGATAAATTCTTTGTCCGTTCCGCTTATTTATCCATTGTGTTCCTGGTATGAAAAGTGAGAGCGAAAAGTTCAAAAAATAGATCATGACCTTGAAAAAGATTTGGCGATTGGTTATTCATCACGGTTGGCGCTTGTTATTCATATTTGAAAGTCAGATTAGATTTACGGCCTGACTTGCAGATTTTCAAATTGCCAGACTCGTATAGAGATTGTAACATAACCAACTACATAATACGAATTTAGCAACAACTCCCGTTTTTGCTAGAAAACTATCAGTTTATCCAGATCTAAGGCATACTGTTTTTGAAGCATCAATGAAAAGAATTCTCTTTCTTTCGGAAGAAATGAAATCTCTTTGACCGATTCTTTGCTTACGACAGCTTTGAGTAGAAATTGTTCCAGTGTTGTAGTGAAATGTAGCTTGAGGCTGGATCTTTTGCTTGGATTGATTCTTGGAAGGATCGTGATTGTTTTCAAAATTTCTTTAATGACCAAATCACCTAGATCAATATCTTCCACCTTTGGGAAAGGCTTTGCAAGTAAAACCCAAGCAATCCGAATACTTTAACCCTTGCAATCATAGAGATTCTCAGTGAGTAACTTATTCATGAAACTTGGTTCTATCTGTAAACCTTCAGCTTGAGCTCATCGATTGAATTTTAAAGTGTCGGTCACTTGGGCATTTAAATTTTGCATTACTCGTTGAAATAGAAAAAATGAGCTAGTGAGGGATTTTTAACGAATTTGGTCTCAAAAAGATATTTCAAAACAAGGAATTGATGGGTGAGTGCTAAAACTAGTCAATCTGTTCCGGCGAGAGGGATGCGGGGATGCCAGGAACCTCCCACACGGCCAGTTGGTCATTTCACGGGACCTCTTCCGGGCTTTGGGGTTTTGCGCTGAAAGAGCGTCGCCGCGGTGAGGACTAAAATGGACTGCCCCCTTCGGATACGGTCAGTGTTACCCGGACCGGAACGGATTGCCGACAAAGAAAGGAAAGGTCCCCTCTTACGGGGAAGCCGTGCGCCGACATTTTTTTGTAATTTTCCCTGCATAAAATCAAATGCGTTTTATGGCTTTAGAGGGCCTACGGGATAGATTTGATTGCAGATTCGAAATAAGCGTGAAAAACTGATCTAGATGAGCTAGGTCTCGTTTTAAAACCCGATGGCAGCTTGGTGAACCTCCCTTGTTAGAATGCTTTAATGCTCTTTTTTAAGGCATACAAAATTCCCACACCTTTTTTTAGCACTTTTTACAACTTTTACAACCTTTCCTAAGTTTTTCACTATTTCGCAAGTGATTTTGAAGTTTAGTACTATACTTTTGAAGTACCGCCCTCAAGTGTCCCATTGCCAGAAGCAAACAAGGTTTTTTGTGTTTTTCTCGCCGCTCACTCGACCGATTTGACTACACTTGGTTTCATTCAATATATATTAATCAGGGCTATCGAAGGAAATCAACTGTAGCCAAATCGGGCAAATGAGCAGCGAGAAAAACACGAAAAACGTAGTTTGCCTCTGGACACTTGTGGGCGGTACTTCAAAAGTAAATTTAGTACGGCGTACTTGTTGATCAATGAAACTACTTTGTCCAATCAGTCTGGCGCCAACAAGACCATAATTATGTCCTTTGGGTTTTATCGTAATTTCTCTAAAAATATTTTTTTAGCCAACGAACAACGAGTTATTTTAAGTGCTTAAAGAGTTTTGCTTTGTTTTTCTTTAGCAGAAAACTGGAATTTGCACTTGATTGTGAGCCATTTCAGAAAACTTTATTTATGATTCTTTTTCCTTTTTATTTCTTTCTCAGCGCCTCGCCCAAATGATTGCATTTCGTTGGATCGGCCGCATCCTAAAGTTATCAATTTTTTGTTTTAAAAGTAAACTTACATAAATCTTTCTCATTCTTGATTCAGGTTTACATTGGAAAGTTTCCATAAAATTCTTCGAGAGAGTAAATGTGCCAAGTACACGAACAAATGAAGGTGAATGCCCTCCACCGCCACTGAAAAAAAATCTTTGCCAAAAATCTTTAAACAAAACTCAACATCCTACTGGGATCTTGTGAATCAATGCATTGCAGAGAGGCATATGCGTAATAAAACAATTTGCGTCTCGTGAATCCCAATTCTTTATACGGGATCTCCTGAATAACAGGCTTTATAAACGAGCAATCAGTCAACAAGCAGCTATTCTTTTGTCCTTTTTATAAAAACCGGATTTAAAGGCAAAGACTAATGGGTAAATAAACCTTATCGACACCTATCGACATCGAAAGTATCGATTAGCGATAAGCTTTTCGATATTTGAGTATCGATAAGTATTGATAAGCTTTTTGTGTTAAATCTGAGCGGTCAAACATGAGCTTGCCGTTTGTATCGATAATATCGATAGGCAAGTCTAACTACAACATGCTGAGGCATAGGGTGAACACGTACGATTAGAGTGTATTCCTCTTGAGTAATGCATTTTTAAGAGTTGCACGAAAACGAGAATTACCGTAGCCATCAACTTAAATGCAAATAGCTTGCGTTTATTTTTAGCTTTTAACTTTTTTTAACTGCGCACTCATGACTCAGTGGGAGCGCGCTTGTCTCTTGTATAAGCGACCCGCGGGTTTCGACAACTTTGCTTTTTTGTTTTGCTCTCTGAAAGTGGAGCTTAGTAAAAAATTGCTCTTCCGATCTTATCAATTTTTAGCTCAAAAAACCTATTCCCGACTACTTTTAAAAATAAAACGATAATGAAACGTTTCGGCGTTTTTAGTTTTTTCGCGCGTCTTAGAATGGCATTACTTGACAATTACTCAAGGCATTACTCTAGTAAAAAATTACTTATGCAAATTACTTACTTACTTACTTACTTTTACTGAAGCTTACTCAATAGGAACACAATCTACGTACGATACTAACATATTACTTCTGCATTCTTGTTGCATAACGATAGATTAAACCCGAAATACCTCCATATCGATTCCGGAAGTATTAACAAGACTGAAATAAGCAGAGTGTAGCCCTTCAAAATCCGGTGAATCTTCCGAATAAGTAAAATTTCCGTTTTGGTGGCCAATGAATTCACGAGACTGGAAGCTAATGTTAATGTTACCTAGGAGTCCCAAAAGTTCTCCTGTCTCTCTTATTGTTCTTTTTTGGCCTACCTCATCTTTCACAAATTCATCGAAAATCGTTTCCATGTGATTGCTCAGACAAATACCATGAGATGTCAATCTGGAGTCTTTACTAACAAGATCACGCAAAATAGCATGATGTATCTCGTGTCCAGCCACAGCAAGCGTTGAGCCGTACTAGAGTTTTTATTCTTTAAATCTCATGTTCTATTTACCTTGACAGCCACGTCTTCTTTAGCAGAAAGGAGAAAATAAAGGTTAAACAAAGTCGGCATTTGATAATCAAAAAAATTCATAGATTGTGGGTACAAATCATATGCAATTGCTCTTGTAAGAGGTTTGTAAAGGGATGACAAGCAACTGATAGTCCTATCGACCACTCGTTTGGCAAAAGTTTGTTCGCTGAAATTGCAATATAAACAGCTTAAAATTCTTTTTAGAATCCGGAACTTTCACACTTTCACACAATATTTCAACAAGAGTAAAGAATCTATAAGAATAACCTTTTTCCTTTGACCTCTTCGTATATTCCGTTTAAGGACTCGAGCAAATGTTCAAGACGTGAAACATCAACATTGATCAAACCGGAGAAGAAATTTTGCCTTGCAACGGTATGCCGAAGATCATCAACAGTTGAGTTTTGTAAATCAGGCCAACTTTTCTGCAAATGAATTATATTCGTGTTATTTGTTAATGTTCTTGTACGTGTTTAACGCATTCACGGCGCGGTTTTTTGATTTTTGATTTTTCCGTCCTGATTTCCCTTCCAGCTCGTCTAAAAACGTTCATAGGCAACCGATTTACTTAAGGTAGAGGTCAAAATGAAGAGAAATCTCCACAGATCATTTATCTGAAAACAGATTGAAGAAATATTCAGTTTGAAGAAAGTTTGGAATGTTTTAGCATATGAAATTTCCCAGATCACGGGTGACCCGGGAGTTAATTTGCCTTCAAAGGTTCATAACTCTCTTCAAAGTCAATATTCCTTTAAGCTCTTTTTTCCTATCAATTATCCACAAACATTTCTCTTCATTTTGACCCCTAACTTAAGTAAATCGGTTGCCTGTGAACGCTTTTAAACGAGCTGGAAGGGAAATAATTTACGCAAAAGCAAAAACCTCACCGTGAATGTGCTTGGGATAAGAACATAAAGCCTATCTACTATATGTAACAGAGCTGTGTTTGTCTGTCTGTGCGAACTCTCCTCCGCACCCAGTGGGCCGTTTTCAATGATTTATAGTTAGTTTGGCTTAGAATTTCATGTAGTTGTGCAACATGTTTTTAAATTTTTAAAAATTTAAAAGTGCCGACGCGAACGGGAGTCGAACTCGGGTCGTGTGGGCTAGAGACAAGGGCGCTCGCACTGCGCCAGAGCATTTTTTATATTATATGTAGCGGCTCATGGAATTCATATGTAGATCATATGTAGTCTATAGATCTTATAGAACAGAAAGCCACCTACTTAATAAACAAGAGAAATTAGACAAAAACAATGAATAGGTGCGGAAATTCAATATACGGTTTTTACGGTTTTTACGACTCACGTTTACTTGCGAAATGATCGTCTCGGTCATTCGTTCAAATTGTTCTCGTAGCATTTTTAGCGACTCATCATCATTCAGGTATCTCAAAATAGCTATATGGTGTCTAAGAGCGCCGAGAAAGCGAATGTTCTAAATGAGTTTATGTCTTAAAAAGATTTTTTCTTCTTTACTGTCTCTTTTTCAAGTTGTGTTGGTGTGACAAGTTTGTCGAGATGGTCAATGAACTCCTGGGAAGCAGCTCTTCCTCTAGGAGATTCTTCTTTGCGGATTGTAGTTGGGCAAACCTGAATCTTAGCATAAAACATCAAAAGCAGCAAATAGAATTATAAGCAGTGAACACTACTGAGTTTACTTACATGAGTGAAGAAATTATCACATGGATCAATTTGTTCGTCAACTGGTCGATCCACCACAAATTTCTTTAGATGTTCTCGGATGTACTGCTTGATGAGAGGAGTTTTATCCGGTTGATTTCCCAAAACGGATGAGGCTAACAGAGCCAACCTAGCAATCATAATGCATTACTTTAAATCATTAACTTACCAAAATAAAGAATACATTTTTGAGCTTGCTAAAATGAAAATTATTAGAGTCTTTTATAGAAAAAGTTTGAATAGTTCTTGAGTCAGCAGGTTCCATTTTCAATAAGGAAAACCATGTCTTTGGAAACTTTCAATAGGCCAACTAATAGACAAGCTATTTTAAGCAATCTAATGGAAAAGTTTATATGAAAACTCTGATTTGAAAAGTTCATGTTAGGTCCGACCAGCTATTAAAAAAGTGGGAGCCCACCGCACTACCAGTATACCGCAAGGTCACATCCTGACGGTCTTTAAGGCATACAAATAGTCTTGGCTTTATTTTTGACATTTGCCGGTCCAAATTGTTCTAATGCTTAAGACAGTGAAGTTTTCAAGTTTTCAGAACGGGCTTGTGATATGAACTGGCTCTTTATTGCTCTTATTGCTTTATTGACCTGCTCTTTCTCAACGCTCGTCAGTCCTTGTTATTGTCGTTTTTTGAATTGATTGCCCAAAGGTGATTGTGGTGTTAATGGTAAGCTCGAGGTGAAAGCATTTTCTAAAATGTGCCTTCTAAAAAGCTACCGTGATCCTGTCATCTTTTTAGTGAAAATTAGCCTTCACCCACTTTTACAAGAACCAATTCCACCAAAACTTTAGGATTTTTTTGATGGATGAGAAACAAAATGAAGTGGTACAAAGGAATGAAATTAAAATAAGGAAATTACATGATTTAGTACAGCATAAGGACTTGGTTTTTCACGATTATTTGCACCAATCAATGGGTGGTGGTTACTTTCCTCCAAATTTTTTGCGCAAAAGGGGTCATTTGCACAACTAGAGTCATTTGCGCAACTTTTCATCGCATTTTCACCGAAAATTTTTTAACATTTTCAACGAAGGTCTTTCCCACACCTTTTTTAGCACTTTTTACAACCTTTCCTAAGTTTCTCACTATTTCGCAAGTGATTTTGAAGTTTAGTACTATACTTTTGAAGTACCGCCCTCAAGTGTCCCCATTGCCAGAAGCAAACAAGGTTTTTTGTATTTTTCTCGCCGCTCACTCGACCGATTTGACTACACTTGGTTTCATTCAATATATATTAATCAGGGCTATCGAAGGAAATCAACTGTAGCCAAATCGGGCAAGTGAGCAGCGAGAAAAACACAAAAAACGTAGTTTGCCTCTGGACACTTGTGGGCGGTACATCAAAAGTAAATTTAGTACGGCGTACTTGTTGTTCATTGAAACTACAGTAAATCGATGAAATTTTCGATTTTCAAAAAAATGGATGAAATTTTTTATAGAAAATGCCACCCGTTCGTAGGGCTTTTTTGTTTTTAATTAGAATAATACATGCACACTTTATTTACAAAAACAAATTTGAAGTTCAGCGTAAAACAAAAAAGTAAATGACAAACTACTAAAAAATACCCTAAAAACTGGGTGCAAAAGTCTTGCAACATTCTATGTTTCTCATCTTTATTGTTTTCAGATTTATTAATTTACACTAATTTTTGTTTTTCAGGTGCCAGGTATCTACTTCACGACTCCCTAAAGAGAAAAAATCATGAAGGCAAGAAAAAAAGGAATTCCTCGAGCCGTTTTCTTCGATCTCTTCAAATGCGATCCTTCGACCGTTTCTCGCATTGTTTCAAAAGCAAAAACAACTGAAATTATGCACCGAAGAAGAAGAAAGGGCGGTCAAGAAGAACAACAGCAAAAGAGGATCGAATACTCGTGATGGCTTCCAAGAAGGATCTGAACATGACATTCACGAGGGAGCTCGGCTGATCAAGGGTGTTGCAAACAAGAACATCTCTCGATGGACCGTTTCTCGACGATTGACCCAAGCAGGACTGTATAGCCGGAGGGTTGTACGAAAGCCTTTGATGACCGCTGGCCACAGGAAACAACGGCTTCTATTCGCCAGGACGTACCAAAGTTGGACAAAGCAGGATTGGGCCAACGTGATTTTTGTCGATGAAACAAAAGTGGATATCTTTTCTTCAAAAGGCAAGCACTTGATCAGACGACCCATTGGAAAGCAAATACTCCTTAAATATGTGCGACCTACAATGCGAGCTGGCGGAGGATCAATCATGTGTTTTGGTAAGCCTTATTTCTAATACATGCATTAATTTGTCTTTTTCTAGGGGCGATGACAAAAAATGTGGCAGGTCCGCTCGTCCTCGTCCAGCCAACTATGAATGCTCGCCAGTATATGGAAATACTAGAAGGATGTCTACTTCCATTTGCTCAGGATCGCATGGCTCCTGGATGGTCTCTCTACGAAAACAATTCGCCGGTTCACAAGAGCAAGCTCATGATGGGTCACACGGTGAATCTCTTAAATGGAGGAAAAGCTCATCTCCCTGGATGGTTTGCCCTTAATAATGTTTTGTTGGTCAATGTTCCCCCTATGTCGCCTGATTTAAACGTTATTGAGAATCTATGGGCTTACGTGAAGGCAAAGTTACGAGGAAAAGACTTTCACACAAAAGTTGACATATGGTTCTACATACGAAAAGTTTGGAGCTCAGCAATTCTTCACGAATTAGTCGACTCAATGCCTAAACGACTCAATGAAGTGATTTTGGCGAAAGGTGGACCGATTGAATATTAATTTTTGATGTTTCTGTATAATGTTGCAAGACTTTTGCACCCAGTTTTTAGGGTATTTTTTAGTAGTTTGTCATTTACTTTTTTGTTTTACGCTGAACTTCAAATTTGTTTTTGTAAATAAAGTGTGCATGTACAGTCATGGACAAAAGTCTTTACCCCTACCGAGGTCAGCTTTTAAAACGCAAAAATTTTCAACTTTTTAACAAGTTTTAAAAATTGTTTTCAAAGCATTTTGTAGCATTTTTACTCTAGTTTTTATATCCCATAACCAAAAGAAACAACGATTTATTTTAGGCAACAAATAACGACGTTAACAAAAAAAAACCCTCAAAACAGGTGGACAAAAGTCTTTACCCCTCGAACAAAAAGTGAGAAAAAACAGAGTATTTTAATATTTGGTAGGGCCTCCTTTTGATGAAATTATTGCTTGAATCCTTCTCGGCATCGAGTCGACCAAATCCTCTAAAATTTGAGGACCGATCTTTGTCCAGACGTGTCGAATGAAGTACCATAGCTCAATCTTGGTATTGAAGCGTTTTCCCTTCAATTTCAGCTTCAAAAACGCCCACAAATGTTCGATAACGTTCAAATCCGGACTGTAGGGAAGAGCAGATACGAGCTGAACTCCATTCGATCGGAACCATCCGGGTAGACGAGCTCTACCACCGTTGGCAAGGCGAACAACTCGTCCCATTAGCAGTTGCGACTTGTGGCATGGAGCGTTGTCCTGGTACAGCAACCATCCTTGTCCAATTTTTGTGGTCGCAAATGGAAGAAGATCGTTCTCCAAAATCGCCTTGTATCGTTGAGCGTCCAAAGTTGAATTGAGAAGAACGAGCGGACCTGGTGAACTTCTAGTCATCGCTCCTGAAAAAAAAAGTCAATAGGCATAAAGATAAAAGTTTCTTATACCCCACAACATGATTGATCCGCCACCAAATTTGACTGTCGCACGAAGGTATTTGGTGCTATATCGTTGTCCGACAGGTCTCCGGATCAAATGATTGCCGTCGGGATTGAAAAGGTTGATCTTCGATTCATCGGTGAAGATGACATTGGCCCAGTCGTTGCTTGTCCAACTTTCATACTTCTCGGCAAAGTCGAGTCGAATCTTCCGGTGTTTGGCGACCATCAGGGGCTTCTTGGCAGGTCTTCTAGTCATCAATCCTGCATGAATCAAACGTCTGCTTACTGTCTTTCGATTGATGTCCTTGTTAAATTGATGCTTGATTAATCTGACTCCATCGGAAGCATTAAGATTTGAATCCTTTTTGTGGACCAAAATTAGAACCTTGGTGTTGTGACGGGTGAACGACCTGTTTTGAATGCTCGGTGAAGAATTCCAGTCGCTTTTTCTTTCTTGCAAAGCTTTTTCACCGTTTCGGGGCTGCATTTGAATACGCTCGCAACATCCTTTACTTTGTCGCCTCGTTTCCTTGCTTCCACAATCTTTTCTTTGTCGGGAGTGGTCAGATAGGCTCCAGGCATCACTAGAATTAAAAAATAATAAAGCATGGTTATGTGAAAAATAACGAAACAACAGCAAGAAAATAAAAAGTTGAAAAGGGGTAAAGACTTTTGTCCACCTGTTTTGAGGGTTTTTTTTTGTTAACGTCGTTCTTTGTTGCCTAAAATAAATCGTTGTTTCTTTTGGTTATGGGATATAAAAACTAGAGTAAAAATGCTACAAAATGCTTTGAAAACAATTTTTAAAACTTGTTAAAAAGTTGAAAATTTTTGCGTTTTAAAAGCTGACCTCGGTAGGGGTAAAGACTTTTGTCCATGACTGTATTATTCTAATTAAAAACAAAATAGCCCTACGAACGGGTGGCATTTTCTATAAAAAATTTCATCGATTTTTTTGAAAAAGTGATGTTGCAAGACTTTTCATCGGTACTGTACTTTGTCCAATCAGTATGGCGCCAACAAGACCACGATCAGTTTTAGATTTCTTATGTAACTCTTTAAAGCTTCAGAGTGTTATCGGCAACTCCTCGGTCAAATAGAGGGAAACTGCTCTACTATGAACAAACGGGATTTGAGTATCGCTTTTACCGCCCCGACACCAAAGGAGAAACTCTTTACAGGTATAATTTTTAAATCTTTCTTTTCGAATAAGCTTTTTGAGGTGTATTGAAAAAGCCTGAAAAGTCAAGGCTAGTCGCGCTCTCCGCTCAAAACTCGTAAAACCTTATGGCAAATGATCACAATCATTTGCCTCTAGATTACGCAAAAGAGGTAGTTTAAAGGCTGTTTGATAAATTGTTTTCGTTTAGTGACGAATTATCAAGAAAGTAGTAAAAAAAGATCGCTTAGATGGGGTCCCAACGCGAGAAGTGGTCAACAAGAGAGTGGGAGCAGCGGAACAACATCTACAGCCTTACTTGAAGGAACCAGCTATCACCCAATTAGCTAAAAGAGTTGGCAAAAAGAAGCAAAGACAGCTTGGCCAGATTCGATAGACGTGACACTTTTCGGTAAGAAAACATTTTCCATCAAGATTCTTCTTTCATTCTTTAAACTTTGCAACTTTAGGTTCGAATTTCCTCCGCGCGGACACGTGCGACTCATACAATCAAGGCGATCCACTTGCATACAAGATTTTTGCGCATGATGTGGGAATTGAATTACTAAAACAGGTTTTTTTTCTGGTTTTCATTTCGAAATGCATTTATTTTTTTCAGAAACCTTCTTGGGCAACGGACTCGACTTTTTTTTCTTGTCCCGAAGACTTTTATCAGCTCTTTATGGTCGGGCACAGGTATTAAGTTTTTTATCTTATTAGAAACAAATTTTTTAGATTGACCAAATTTTTGTCCCATGTGTGTTCGCCTTTTTGAGCTCAAAAAATGCGTCAATTTACAAAGTCGTTTTTGATTACCTCTCAGGCCAAGAAGTCAATCCGCCAAATAAACTAATGACAGTTTTTGTGGCACCTTAAACATTAATGCGTAATTTAGACTTTGAGCTTGGTAATTTATGCGGGTTACAAAATGACCTATGGAGTCACTGAGCACCATTTTTGTTGCTTTCAATCTTTCAAAATGTCCTGAGGCGAATAAAGGTTTTTAGTTCTTTAGATAAAAAGATTTATTTGTTTAGAAATTCGGACTCCACAGCCTCGTTCGGACACCGTTTGGGGAAACGCACATCCAATCAATAATGTCTCTCGCTTTTATTGACCCAACTGAAGTTGTTGTCCACTTTGAAGAAGTAAAGAAATCATCTTTGCAATCGGCCGCTCCATTTGCAGCGTAAAATTAACAGTATGTCGTTCTTTTTTATGAATACATTCTTGTTTTAGAATTTTACGCATCGTTTGAAAAGCCTTACTTGGGTCGCGTCGGCACAGCATGAATTCGTGGTCCGGCTATGTATGATATCTGCAAATGGAGCGCCCATGAAGGAATTATTTTGGATCAGCATATCGGCAACTCGGCTCAGGAAGGTTTTGTGATTTCCTTGCAATTAATAGTTCTGTTTTTAGAAGGGTCCGAAAAACCCACATTCAAACACACTGCAGTGAGGCTCTACGAGGAAATGTCGGTGTTTATCAATCGTATCAATCTTGAAATAGCCAACAATTTCACTCTTGGACAGAATTACCCGTCAAAAGAAACGTTTTGCCGCTGTTAGTAATGGACGCTTACCTGGTTGTGATCACGTTCAGCATTTGTCCCAGCTTTTTGTTTACATTAGAAAAGGTTAATTGTTGTTATCTTTTTCCGTTTTGTTGTTAATTATTTTTTATTTATTTGAATAAATTTTAATAAAAAAAGCTTGTAATATTGGAAATGAAGCTGAGAAAAAGAAGCCAGAAAAGGTGAAAAAAGTGCTATGGAAGTTTTTAAGATGTTGGTAAAAGTTTGAAAAAAGTGCTTAAAAATGTTGTAAAATGTGTTGAAAAGTTATGCAAATGACCGCAAAAAATTTGGCGGAAAGTAACCTTCTCCACTCAGAAGACGAACGTTTGCAAGCCTTTGCAGTTCTAAAAATAAAATAAATTTTTGGTCCGAATCTCACCTATCATCATTATAAAAACAATGACGTGCGGTGAAAATCCATTGATTTATCAGAATTGTTCCACTACGAAAAGCTTTTGGTCTAAATGAGCAAGTATCAAATGTGACTGTTTTGAAACAAAAGTTTTTTGCCTTCTTTCATAATTCCACCATAAAGAGTGCTTGTCTAAAAGATTAAAATTCACAAATTATCCAAGTAGAGGATACATCTTTGGACTTGATGAAATGAAAATGATTAGAGCCTTTTATGTAAAAAGTTTGAATGGGCTTTGTGAACTAATTGACATTGGTTTCATTAAGAAAATTGAGCATCGAAAGCCTTCAATGGATCTTTCGAAAGAAACAATCAAAGCAATTCAAAATTTGATATAAAAATTGTTTCATTTGATCAATTTCATCTTGATCTTGATTTGATTATTTGATCAATTTCAATTGATATCTTTGAATTTTTTTAAAATTTTATTCAATCCAAAGAGCATTTGGCGACAAGCAAAATTCGTTCCCAGTAACACTTCAAATCCAATCACAATATGTGATGATGATGATAGTGATCTTATCTAAAAGTGATCTAAAAAAAATTGCAAGGGATAGACAAGAATAATTTTAGGTCAAATCAAAAACCTACCTATTTTGCCGGTTTTAGTTGGATTGCTCCCTTTGCCAACTCCTGCAGGAATGATTTCTTCTTGCACCCATCGTTTGCCCGTTTGTCCACTTCTTGCACCTCTTTCCAGCGCTTTCCATAAATGCTCAATTGGGTTCAAGTCTGGGCTTTGACTTGGTCATTGCATAACCTCAATGTTTTCCTGTTTGGACCAATTCTGTACGAGCCGAGATTTATGCTTAGCTTGCTTATCCTGTTGATAGAGAAAGTTTGGTGGCAATTTTTTTCGAGCAAATGGCAGCGTATGATCTCTAACCATGTCTAGATAAGCATCCTAATTCATGCTACCGGTAATTCGTTTCACGTCATTTCCTTTCTCCGACGTCGTATCCTTTATAGTACCCATCACTAAAAACCAGAAATTATTAATATTCAGAAAAGAACAATAGGAAAACATGTTCAAACAAAATTAATTAGATCACAACAAATATTCCATAATTATGTCCTTTGGGTTTATCGTAATTTCTCTAAAAATATTTTTTTAGCCAACAAACAACGAGTTATTTTAAATGCTTAAAGAGTTTTCATTTGTTTTTCTTTAGCAGAAAACTGGAATTTGCACTTGATTGTGAGCCATTTTATGATTATCAACTTTATGAAACTTTATTTATGATTTCTTTTCCTTTTTATTTCTTTCTCAGCGCCTCGCCCAAATGATTGCATTTCGTTGGATCGGCCGCATCCTAAAGTTATCAATTTTTTGTTTTAAAAGTAAACTTACATAAATCTTTCTCATTCTTGATTCAGGTTTACATTGGAAAGTTTCCATAAAATTCTTCGAGAGAGTAAATGTGCCAAGTACACGAACAAATGAAGGTGAATGATCTCCACCGCTGAAAAAATCGTTGCCAAAAATCTTTAAACAAAACTCAACATCCTATTGAGATCTTGTGAATCAGTGCATCGCAGAGAGGCATATGCGTAATAAAACAATTTTCTTCTCGTGAATCCCAATTCTTTATACGGGATTTCCTGAATAGCAGGCTTTATAAACGAGCAATCAGTCAACAAGCAGCTATTCTTTTGTCCTTTTTATAGAAACCGGATTTAAAGGCAAAGACTACAACTAGACTTGCTTATCGATATTATCGATACAAACGGCATGCGCATGTTCAGATCTCGGTTTCTAGAAAGCTATCAATCTGCAAATTGTTTCATTGAAAAGCCAAGAATGTCAGCTTTTGAATGCTATTTTATATGTTGTATCCGATTTGGATTGAACTCGCCGCGGATATCTGCTTTGGATTGAAACATTATTTCACAGTAGGGTGTCATGTTTTTAAAAGGTTTTTAATCATTTTCTCGAAATTTTATAGAGGTTTAACTCTGGCAACCTAGAACAGTCCATTAGCATCACCTTTGCCCAAAAAAGTAGTTTATTTACTCGTTTTGACATGCTTCAGTATTTTTTATGTCTTTATGCTGTTTACCTTATTTTACGTTGTTGTTTTACAGATGGAGCCACGCTTCTACGAGAAATTCAACAGCTTCTTGGAGCGAAAAAAGACGAGCCAAATCCCGAAAGCCGAATACTTTTTCAATTGAAAACACGGGAGTCACACTTTATCACGAAGACAAACGACGGAAAGCCGGTAGCGAACCAGAAAGGCAACGACTAATTCAACAAGAAGAACTCTTCAACATTCTTTACCAAACGCCTGTTAAAATTGGACACGCGTGATGTGGAAAGGACTCAGCGAATTTTATGATATTTCAAAGTATGTAATTGGCTGTGCTTTTGCTTCACCTTCTTTTAGAGAAATAATTACTCTATTCGTCAATCTCTGCAAAGAATGCGAAATGAAGCGTCAAAATCCAAAGAGAACAGTCGTGGTGAAACCAATACGAACGCAAAGACAGAATGAAAGAAAGTGGTCACCTCTGCAATTCCAGATGCCATCGCAGTCTTAGTTGCAAGAACAAATAGTTGTTTTTTCCATGTTTTTATATACATTGTCACAATTACATTTTGTTTAGTTACATTGTTTTTATCGCTGAAGGGGTAGTTTCATCAATTTGCTGACTTAACCAGTTATTTTATTGTTTATGAATATTTCCATTTACGATAAAGCTGCCGCTAATTAAATAAAGGGTTTTGAATTGAATTTACATTAAAATACAGGAAAGCCTTTTTGGGCAAAGGTGGTGCTAACGGACTGTTCTAGGTTGCCAGAGTTAAACCTCTATAAAATTTCTAGTAAATGATTAAAAACCTTTTAAAAGCATGACACCCTACTGTGAAATAATGTTTCAATCCAAATCAGATATCTGCGGCGAGTTCAATCCAAATCGGATACAACCTATACATATTGGGTTGGTGAATCGAAAACTGCCGGCTATTGTCATAGGTGACAGTTTGAGCACTTTCTTCAAAAGAAACCCATTTTGGTGTCAATAGAAAAGTTGTGGAGAATCAAAAATGAAACTTATATCCAAATTTTCAGAACGATTCAAAAACTGGTTTTCAAGAAATGCCAAATTTACGAATTTTCACAAAACTTGCATTTTAAGCGAAACTACTAAGTGTATCTCTTTGGAAATTTGGCTATAAGCCTAATTTTTGATTCTCTACAACTTTTCTATTGACACCAAAATGGGTTTCTTTTGAAGAAAGTGCTCAAACTGGGACATCTCCAGTCCTCGATTTTTGAGTCTCACACTTGTCTCACACACAAACCAAAATCCTACCACAAAAGAGGAATCCGCAAATTACCTGTAAAATGGGCAGAAGTCGTCAATAATAATGGAAATTATTTGGAATGAATTTATGGTTTTATGTTGAATAAATTTTAGTTCAAAGTCCGGCAGTTTTCAATTCACCAACCCAATAGCAACTTTTCATGGGTAAATAAAGCTTATCGACACTTATCGTTATCGAAAGTATTTAGTTTTCGTTTTTAGTTTTTTTCGCGCAAAGGCGCGTTTTAGAATAGCATTACTTGACAATTACTCAAGGCATTACTCTAGTAAAAAATTACTTATGCAAATTTACTCAAGGTTACTCAATAGGAACACAAGCTACGCACGATACTAACATATTACTTCTGCATTCTTGTTGCATAATGATAGATTAAACCCGAAATACCTCCATATCGATTCCGGGAGTATTAACAAGGCTGAAATAAGCAGAGTGTAGCCCTTCAAAATCCGGTGAATCTTCCGCATAAGTTGAATTTCCGCTTTTGATGCCAATGAATTCACGCGTCTGGAAGCTACTGTTAACGTTACCTAGGAGTCCCAAAAGTTCTCCTGTCTCTGTTATTGTTGTTCTTTTTTGGACTACCTCATCGTTCACAAATTCATCGAAAATCGTTTTCATGTGATTGCTCAGACAAATTCCATGAGATGTCAATCTGGAGTCGTTACTAACAAGATCACGCAAAATAGCATGATGCATCTCGTGTCCAGCCACAGCAAGCGTTGAGCCGTACTAGAGTTTTTATTCTTAAAATCTCATGTTCTATTTACCTTGACAGCCACGTCTTCTTTAGCAGAAAGGAGAAAATAAAGGTTAAACAAAGTCGGCATTTGATAATCAAAAAAATTCATAGATTGTGGGTACAAATCATATGCAATTGCTCTTGTAAGAGGTTTGTAAAGGGATGACAAGCAACTGATAGTCCTATCGATCACTCGTTTGGCAAAAGTTTGTTCGCTAAAATTGCAATATAAACAGCTTAAAATTCTTCTTAGAATCCGGAACTTTTACACTTTCACACAATATTTCAACAACAGTAAAGAATCTATAAGAATAACCTTTTTTCTTTGACCTCTGCGTACATTCCGTTTAAGGACTCGAGCAAATGTTCAAGACGCAAAACATCAACATTGATCAAACCGGAGAAGAAATTCTGCCTTGCAACGGTATGCCGAAGATCATCAACAGTTGAGTTTTGTAAATCAGGCCAACTTTTCTGCAAATTAATTATATTTATGTTATTTGTTAATGTTATTGTACGTGTTTAACGCATTCACGGCGCGCTTTTTTGATTTTTGATTTTTCCGTCCTGATTTCCCTTCCAGCTCATCTAAAAACGTTTACAGGCAACCGATTTACTTAAGGTAGAGGTCAAAATGAAGAGAAATCTCCACAGATCATTTATCTGAAAACAGATTGGAGAAATATTCAGTTTGAAGAAAGTTTAGAATGTTTTAGCATAAGAAATTTCCCCAGATCACGGGTGACCCGGGAATTAATTTGCCTTCAAAGGTTCATAACTCTCTTCAAAGTCAATATTTCTTTAATCTGTTTTCAGATAAATGATCCTCAAACATCACTCTTCATTTTGACCCCTAACTTAAGTAAATCGGTTGCCTGTGAACGCTTTTAAACGAGCTGGAAGGGAAATAATTTACGCAAAAGCAAAAAAACTCATCGTGAATGTGCTTGGGATAAGAACATAAAGCCTATCTACTATATGTAAAAGATCTGTATTTGTCTGTCTGTGCGCACTCTTCCTCCGTACTCAGTGGGTCGTTTCCAATGATTTATAGTTAGTTTGGCTTAAACTTTCATGTAGTTCTGCAACATGTTTTTAAATTTCTTAAAAATCAAAAGTGACGACGCCGGTCGTGTGGGCTAGGGACAAGGGCGCTCGCACTGCGCCAGAGCATGACCGAGTGGTTAACGCGCGCGTCTCTCAAACAAACGGAAGAGGTCAGTCGCGGGTTCGACTCCTCTCGCTGCCAATTCTTTTGCTTTTTGCTTCAAAAATTTTTTATATTATAGGTAGCTTATAACCAGAGATGTGCAAATAGCCAAGCTTTGGGTAACCAGGTGAAACAGCAGATGTACTGTAATGACCTGGCATCTCTGATAGTTTTCAGCCCGGACCACGTCCGACCAAGTCTGGAAAACCTTATAACCATTTCTTCTAGATCATATGTAGTCTATAAATCTTATAGAACAGAAAGCCACCTACCTAATAAACAAGAGAAGTTTGAAAAAAACACTGAATAGATGCGGAAATTGAATATATGGATTTTACGGATTTTACGACTCACGTTTACTTGCGAAATGATCGTCTCAGTCATTCGTTCAAATTGTTCTCGTAGCATTTTTAGCGACTCATCATCATTCAGGTATTTCATTATAGCTATATGGTGTCTAAGAGCGCGGAGAAAGCGAAGGTTCTAAATGAATTTATGTCTTAAAAAAATTTTTCTTTTTTACTGTCTCTTTTTCCACTTGTGTTGGTGTCACAAGCTTGTCGAGATGGTCAATGAACTCCTGGGAAGCAGCTCTTTCTCTAGGAGATTCTTCTTTGCGGATTGTAGTTGGGCAAACCTGATTATTAACATAAAACATACAAAAAGCAGCAAATGGATTTATCAGCAGTTATAAGTAGTCGCTAATTGTAATTAGCAATAGTTAACACTACTGAGTTTACTTACATGAGTGAAGAAATTATCACATGGATCAATTTGTTCGTCAACTGGTCGATCCACCACAAATTTCTTTAGATGTTCTCGAATGTACTGCTTGATGAAAGGAGTTTTATCCGGTTGATCTCCCAAAACGGATGAGGCTAACAGAGCCAACCTAGCAATCAGAATGCATTACTTTAAACTTATTAACTTACCAAAGTAAAGAATACATCTTTGAGCTTGCTAAAATGAAAATTATTAGAGTCTTTTATAGAAAAAGTTGAATAGTTCTTGAGTCAGCAGGTTCCATTTTCAATAAGGAAAACCATGTCTTTGGAAACTTTCAATAGGCCAACTAATAGACAAGCTATTTTAAGCAATCTAATGAAAAAGTTTATAGAAAAACTCTGCTTTGAAAAGTTGACATTAGGTACTTACAAAAGAAATTGCGGATGACTTTTGAGGACGAAAGTTTTTTATTTGAAAGTGTGATGGTCCGGTTTAAATTGTATTCTATTGTATTATTATTGCTTATTTATTTTAATTATTTTCACCACTATTGCTACCATTGAATATTAAATAATTTCAGATACAAGATGACGAATCAAAAGTTCATGTTGCGGACGTGCCTTCTTCATGACTTCAAAATGAAGAAATTAGCATCGAAGTCGCACATCGACGTTGAGTCTTTGTGAAGCATTCGGAGAAAACATTTTGAGTGAAAGGACTTGTAAGGAATGGCTTCGACGTTTTCGTGAAGGTGAGAGCTTGGAAGGTGAGCCTCATGGATATTGTCTAGTTGTCTTCGATAATGCAGAGCTGCTGGAGATTGTCGAGTCGGATCCAACTCAAACTTTTAGCCCGAATTAGCCAAATAATTTAAATGTGGTCTGAGCACCGTTTCTTGACACCTTTCGCTCATTGGAAAAAGGAATCGTTGTGGCCAATGGGTCCACCTGAATTATCCCCGAAAATCAAAGGCAATCAAGTTTTATTGTCTCGGATTCTATTGAAAAAGGCTACGGGCAGTGTTTTTTGAAAGCATCTTGACGATGGACGAAAAGTGGATATATTTTGATAACACAACACACAAAAGACAATGGTTGAGCAAAGGAGAAAGGTCGATTCCGACCCACATCCAGATCTTCACGGAAAGAAATTTATGTTGTCGGTCTTTTGGAATATAAAAGAAATCGTCTATTTTGAATTATGAAAATCTTCAAAAACTATCACTTCTCAAATATACACCGAACAGCTGAAGAAAGCTGATGAAATTCTACGAGAAAAAGGTGTTAAACCAAGAACAATACATTTGCTCGCTGACAATGCCCGGTACGCACATCAAACTTGGCTCAAAACACGATAGAAGAATTAGGCTGGAACCTTGTGCCTTATTCGCCATATTCGCCTGATATTGCTCCCTGGTGTAGACACCCAAAGAAGCTTTTTTTCAGTGTTTGGTGGTCGGGCTTCGGAAAGGGATTCGGTGGTTGTCCTTTGTCTAGCCTTTGCGTTTTCGGTTATCCATTATTCATCACAAGTTAAAATTCGATCCAGAAATGGCTCCTTTTGATTACGAATCAGCAATGAATATGATGTGAGGTAGCGGTGCAATTTTTGATATTCTTTTAACCGATGAGACACCCACTTTTCCAACTTCTTTACTTTTTCGATTTTCTTGAAATGGTTCCCAATTGTGTGTAGAATTCCAAAGTGCGTTGCTAATTTTGCCTCAGTTGTTCTGGGATCCCCTTCTAGCAGCTCCTTTAATTCGTCATTGTCGAGACTAACATGACGTCCGCGGCCTTCCTTGTCATTAAGATCCTCGTCGTCTTCCCGGAATTGTTTGAACCAGCGGTGAACTGCTGGAACTTCAGCTTTGCCTTCTCCAAAAGCTTGATTGGTGTGTTGGGACGCTTCTGACGCATTGTGGCCAAGCTTGAACTCATTCAAGAAGAGAAGGCGAAAATCTCGATTTTTCATCGATGTAAAAAAATCTAAAAAAACCATTAAGAAAGTTCTAAGCAAAAGTGTTAAACAGAAAAGAAAATTGAGAATATACACAAATGAAATACATAAAAAAGACCCAATATCAATAAGCATCTGCAGCCGCGTAGGCAACGCCGGAAAATGAGACCCACAAACACGACATTAATTTTTTCCGTATCTAAAAAAATAAAAAAATCCTAAAACGGCAACCAGAAGAAGCAGCCGTTAGGCTTCTCTGTTTGTATAATTGTACTCTAATTTCCGGCTGTGATTCTATGATATCTCTATGGTAATCTTCAAAATAGACATCGTAACCCTTTGTACTCATGAAAGCTCTGATTTTTGCATTTTGTAGGTTCTATTTTGTTTTATTCGTTGTCAAATCTGTTATCAAATGTTTATTTTATCCTCTGCTCAACTCGTGTGCAAATAAACTGATGGCAAATCAAAGCTCAAAGAAAAAAAAAGACAAAAATTGGTTGCAGAATGCATAATATTGAATCTATCACTAACTTTTGAATCATTTTCATTTTCTGATATGACTAAATGGATTTGAGATCAAAGAAGAGAAGGGATTTCTGCAAGGAGATCACATATTGAAGATTCTTTTCGAAAATGTACAAAAATCGAGTGCCTATAGAAAATTATTTTCTTTGTTTTTTAAAAAAAGAGATTATCGATGATTTCTAAGGCAAGCTTGAAGGGATTAGATGAAAAAAGGTGGTCATTTGGTTTAAAATTGGAACTTCTCTGGATCCATCACATCTCTTGGCGCAAATCGAGCCATACATTTGCCCACCATCGGATTTTTGAAACAATTCGCCCTGAAAGGGAAAGTTTATGTGAAAATCTATTGGATTCCTGGTTACAATCTGATTTATATCACAATCTGTAATAGTTAGATATCGTAGTATTCTTTCAATAATGCATAGTATGCTCAATCCCGAAGATACAATGGTTAACTGACTTCTCTTTCTTTCTTCTTTTCTTCTTTCTCTGGACAAGTTATGATACCGGATAGTTCAGTGGTTAGAGCAATTGCTCGGAAAGCAAAAGGTGCAAAAGGGGTTTTATTTAAAATTTAAATTCAATGGATTCATCACATCTTTTGCTTTTTGCAAAAGGCAAAAAGGTTCAATCTCCAAGTCTACTTTTTCTTGCCAATTCCTTCATTTTTTATTACAAGACATACACTACTGGACAATGAAATATCATATTTTAAAAAAGGTCGTCACTTTCGCGCGTCTGTAAATCTCTTGTCTTTACCGTATTTTTAAATATTAAAATTACCATTGTGTAGCCCTTGAAAAGAGCTTTCAGAAAATGTATAACACCAATAGTTTAAACTCAAAGACAAGGGAGTTAAAGACGCGCTAAAGTGACGATCGTTTTTCAAATATGATATTTCATTGTCCAGTGCTGTATGTCAAATCAAATCTTCTAGAGATCAAAATATCAAAAGTGAAATCACTCCGATCTTCGACTCTCAGAACTAGAGTCTTGCCCATGAATTCCTTCTTTAATCCCAATTATATTTTACGTAATCTCTCGAATGGTCTACCTGCATCTTGCTCTCACATTTGCCTCCACATGGGAATATAATTCATTGCACAATAAACACACCTGAAAAGAAATGGAGAAGTTAGATTACATGGTACATTCGATGCACGCGTGCCAACTTCTGCCAAGATACCGAAAAGCTCAGTGGTTAGAGCATCTGCCCGGAAAGCAAGGGAAATCAAAGGTCGAGGGTTCAATCCCCTCTCTGGAAATCTTTCTTTCCCATTCCTTACTTTTATTTAAGGGTTATTAGCTTGCAATCAGTCTACAGTATCATTCTCGATCTAGACTTTCACCAACCTCTTCCAAAACATGAGCCAAAATAGGAAAAGCATTCTTTTTCGATTTGCATTCCTCATCATCTTCACTCATTCGTTTCTGAAATTGAAATTGTTTGGCTTAAAACAATCCCAACTAACCACAGGTCTCAATAAAACTTCATCGAAATTTGAGGGTGAAATGAAAAGTGACGAATCGAGATGCCTCTGGAAATGAGATTAACATTTGATCAGTTAAGATCTGACAAATTTTTGATCTTTTCAATTATCTCAAAGTGTTTCACCTGCATTGTTTCCTGTGAGTGAACTATTGATATCAGAAGTGACAATGAAACAAGAGTGGCCAATATTGAGAGAATGGGGACCCGACTGTTTAAGGTTGAAGACATTTTTGTGTGTGTTACCTGGAATATGATAAGTCAAATAACTAGAGCTAGAGGCTCAGGCACAATAAAACTAGAGCCACAATAACAGTCATATAAAGCAGAACTCATCAAAAAAAACCCCAGAAAACAAAAGTAAAAAGCAAATTTTCCAAAAATGAAATAAAATGTTCTTGAGATGATAAGTTTTGAATGACTTTTGCGAGAATCTCTCTAAAACTCATTGAGCCTTGGTTCAACACCAAAAATTATTCACAAATCCACGGGGAAAATACAAGAAAAGGTCGACAGCAACTCGAGGAAATTTGAATTGCAAAAGAAAAAGGAATTTTTGAAAGATTATATAAGTAAATCGAGGTTCTCAATCCATCGTAATTGGAAATATTATAAGAATGGAAAATGAAAGAAGTGTACACGTAGAAATACTCTCGTTCATTCAATTACACGGGAAAAAAACTCAAAGTGTAGAAGAAACGAAGAAACGAGTGGGTGAAAAGGAGAAAGCTACCAAAAACAATGATTTCAGTGTGTTTGTCCAGAAAATGTTTGAATATTTACTTGTTCACTGGATAAGTCAATAAAAATGTTCAAAAAGAGATCAATGATCTTCACTTTTATCAAGGTTTTGATTACTTACCTATTTTACAATTGTAAATGGAAACCAAGCAATCCCTGACCGCGGACATCACTTTTTTTTGGCATCAAATCTCATCTGAGCATCATCAAGCAAAGAAGATTAACTGTGAAACTTTAAAGCAAAAAAGACTCAACACAAATCCCTCAAGAAAGTAAAGATCGTGAAGCTGAGTGGAAATTGAATGAATGTGAAGTATGGCCACTTGAACAATCGCCTCTTGATCTCGGTTTCAACTGACGTGCGACTCTCGTCTATCCCCCAAAAACAGCTACCCAAAGAAAAAAGGTGATTCTTTAAAAAAATCTTTCTCTGAAACCATTTTCCTAGAATGATACGACATTTCTTTTTTATTTATCCTCATCATTTTGAAAAGAAAAGCTGTTTTTTGTTCTCCACAATCCGGAAACATCTTGTGGGGGTGGAAGGGATAATTTCAGGAAAAGGAAAGAAAAGCAAAGGAAAAGGAAAAATGAATGAGCGGCGAACAATTTACGCTCATCGAAAAGCTGCAGCTGCGACCAGATATGAAAATATCTGGTCTTAAAGGCACGGCTCATGAACTCTGTCTGTGATGTTTCGAGTGAAAGCTCTTGAAATTACTAGCCTTACTACTCCAAAAGCTTTCAAAACAGCTTCCTAAAACAAAAATCTAAAACTCATGGCATTCATAAACATTCGAAACTCATGCCATAAGTGCACAGAATATCCGAAATCGTGTAATCTTTGCAAAGATTACTCGATCCCCACTCTGGCTTATTTCTCTCTCCAACGTCAATTTTTCTGTAAATGATGACTTTGCCACTTTCCACTCACGGATTTTGTGGTGATTATCTAGAAAAATGTTGGAAAATGAAAGTGAAAAAATGATGTCAAGTTGTTGCGAGAGAAAATAAAAGAAAATAGGGAAAACATTTCATTTGCAATTGCTTATCGAATTTTTTTGGAGTGAAAAGATTTCCGTTTTGGTAACAATGAAAAGAAAAGAGTTTAGTAAGTTTAGAAAAAATGTTTGTTGTTTGAAAGTTTCGAAATGAGTTCAGTTCTTGAACCTTCTAAGAAAGTTTCGAGTTTCGAATGGTATCATTCGAATAGGGCAAATAAACTAACGAAGAAAACTTTTGGGAGTTCACCTTTTGAGAAGTGGATTCACTTTGATAATACTTCTCGAAAAAGACAATGGCTGAGCAAAGGTCAAGCGCCAATTCCAACTCCAAAGCCGGATTATCATGGGCGTAAAGTGATGTTGTCTTGCTGGTGGAATATCAATGGACTTGTTCATTTTGAATTATTAGAGCCCGGAAAAACAGTCGATTCATCTTATTTTATTCAACGAGTGCCAGAAGGCGCGCGTTTAGGTGAATTCATTCTCTGGGAAAAAGTTCGCTAAGGCACACAGCACAAGGCACAAAACCACCACCAGAAATAAGAACATTTGATTGATTTACCCAATGTTTACCAATTACTCAACCCAATTTACAGCTTTATTTTCAATGATGAAACTCTTATATCAAATTCAAAATCTTAAAATTAAAAAATAAAACTAAAAAATAAGATAAAATCTTTTCCGGAAACTTTTCAAATATTCAGATCCATTTAGGGGTTTTTGCTAGAGAATGTGGGAAAAATGAGCTCATTTCGTATATTTTCCTTGATAAAAAATTAGGAAATAGAATTAATTTGATTCGAAAAATTTGATTATCTCTATTATATATAAAAAGAATCTCTGTCTGTTCGTCCGTGCGCGCACTACGGGCGCTTGAGGCGAGCGCGCTATAAACTACGCCATGGATGCAATTTGCATGGTGGGGTTTTCCAAGACAAGGAGTTCGTTTCTGGCAATTATTTTTAAAAGTTCTATTTTGCTGTTTTCAAAATGAAGAAAGAGAGAAATGAAGATAAAGATCAGAAGCGTACAAATCTGAACAATAAGCAGTTGCAATTTGTGAAATCCCACGAGAAATTACGGGAAACTTATTTGAGCGCTTTTTATGAAGAATAGTTCAATTTAGAGAATGAGTCAGAAATCTTTTCGAGAAAAGAAAAAAAACGGCGAACATTTAGTGCGGATGGGCCCAGCTGGAATGCCGAAAAGGGGAATGGATTCATGAAAAGATGAAAAGAAATAAACTTTGAGGGAATTGAAATAGAATTTGGAAATGGGAAGGAGTCAGTGATCAGAAGGAATCTCAAAAAGTTCGCCAGAAAAGGTTCTAAGGAAAGGAAAGAGTTAAGCGGACATCAGGGTAAATGCTTCAAACAAATGCCAAACCGATTGTGAATTCAGGCCACTTATCCGATAAAGTCCACAGTTGGTGAATCAGTCAAGTACCGAAATTTCTGTATCCTCATTTGTATCCATTTGATGCATTGCTTGGGATAATTAAAAGATCAGACCTGCTTATAGCTTTTATCTTTCAAAATCTAATTTTCATTAATTCTCAATTAATCCATTAATAAATTCAATACATTTTGAGATCTTTAGGCTCAACACTTACAATTAAAATCCATCAAAATTAGCAGATTGCCAAAGGGAAACTTTTTAGTTTGATTCAGAAGTTTGAAAGATTGACTGATTCACGGATTCAGAGCAAATGAGCCACTGAAGTAGAGAAAGAGAAACTTTGCAAGTAAAGAAGCGAAAATCAAAATACAAACACTGGGAACAAACAGCTGGGCTTCTTGAGGAGTCAAATAATAATAAGCTGGGAAACTTGCAATAGCTAGATCAAAAATTGAGAACCTATTTTGACATTGAGAACCGATATTCTTGAGACTGATCTTTGAGAACATTGTCAATGCAAACATTTCGCATCTGGCAGTGAATTCTTACTAGTGTGCCAGATACGAAAGTTGACGTAATCCACCAAGGTTCATTGAGACCAAGTTCATTGAGATCAAGTTCAACGAGTATCTTTGATCAAGCTTTATAGTATCCTTATATTGTCCAATAGTTACCAATTCTTGACTTGAAAACAGATTTTTGCACCCAAATGAATCGTACTTAATGTTTAGAGCTTTAGAACAAAAAGTTCTGTGATTCTTTCAAATGCAAAAACGTAAGAAACCGATGGGAAATGCGTATAATTTTCCCATTACAATAGTGAAAAGATCAACGCCATTTTGTAGCAAAGTTCCTGAAATGATGAAAAATTCTTATTACTGATATTTCGAATTTTTAGCATTTCATTAGCTTTTCATAAATTATGACGTCTTTCAATTATTTTTGGAAGCGGAAAGACGATGAAAATTCTCATTTCAAAGAGAGAAGGGATTCAGAGAAGAACATGCGATTTGTAAAGGAGATAAAGGATAAAAGAGAATCCGGGAAGAGATTTCAACAATTTATGGTTTTGTTTACATTTTGCAGAACATACGACGTGCTTCGTTGTTTTTGAGTACTTTTCCTATCAGTTCCACCTCAGAAACCTAGGAAAAAGGGGTTCAAGTAAACTTGGATTCATAAAAGAGATCCAGTTGTCGATTCATAGCAGAACAGTACGCGCCGATATTCATTCATTAACTCAATCAAAGAATTACTAAACTATCTTAAGAAATAAGAAACAAATTACTACCGAACTATCTTCGATTTCAACGTAAGAAATGTCATTTCTTCTCCGAATTCTATTCCTCATTAGCCTCCTCTTTGTGCTAAATCGAGCAACCACATGGGTTTTGTTGGGTTATCAAGAAAATAGGACTAGAAATTGTAAATGTATCTATAAGATCTTCAGAGAAAATGAGAAGCTTGAATTGAAATCGATCACTGAAGCAAATGTGTCGGAAAAGAAAGATTCGAAGCATCGTATGCGACTCAAATGGAGTCGATAATCAAATGGGAAGTCAATTGCTGCTTTAACAACTGAATAAATAACAGTTCTAAAGGATTTTATAAACAATGTATTAACAAAACATACCCCTATAACATATGAGAAAAGAAGAATGCAAACCTCTTTCAGGTATTTTGTACTCTTGTACTTTTTGTACAGGTGATTTCATCAAAAATGCTGATTTTCATAAGACAAAGCGTCAAATTGGATTATGCTCGCAATGATTTTGAGTATTTTCAGAAAATCTCCAGTACATAGCCGTACCTAGATTTTATTTCAAAAGGAAACAAATAAAATGGTGAGTAAGATATTCAGCGAACAAAACAATGATAATTAATTTCCTGTTTCAAACTCTGATTGAAAAAGAAATCAAAAAAGGAGACTTCAAAACGGATATTGAGAATTACACGTCGAGTGAGTAGAAAGTCATTCAGAGTACTTTT